ACGTCACTACTTATCTTGGATTAAAGTTGTCCTCATACTCTGTACAAGAAATCTTTAAACTTTCCTTTTTGATAGCGGTGCCTCACAGATCCAGGCGGGGATCAGGAACAATTTATGCTGGTTCTGCACAGGCAATACCCATCCTTCCCAGCCCCCAAGTGCTTGCGATCTAACCTTCACACAGGACAACAGATGGATACAGACAGGCAAACAGGAGCACCAGGAAACGATGATGCAGCATTACCCAGCATGATAGATGTACGTGCCTGGCATATGAACTGCTTTCAGACCTTTGTCAGCAGCAGTGCAACGGGATTTCAGAAGAACTGTAACTAGATAATTTTGAGGCTTTATTTCTCTTGTGTTTTTCTTCACTGCATCCGCCGATTTAGTGTGCCGTTTTGCTTGTCCTGCTCTGGATATACACCTTTCTAACAGAGGAATTTGGGATTGCATTTTTCCTTTGGTGATTTAGCAAAGCCCATTCCTTGCTCCTGGCTGTTCTGCCTCCACCTTCCTACAGCATTACTATGGGCTTTTGCTGGGTCCTCCCATTTTTCATCCTCGATATTAGAACACAACCTGCCTTTTCTTGTAAGCGCCGACAGTCAAATCATCAGTACAGAGTTGTCTATTTTCTTATATTACAAATTATATTTCTTACCATCACTGTTGGTAAAACAAAACCAAAACATTCCTCCCCATCCCCTCCCTCCTCACCCCCAGCAACAATCTTTTTCTCCTTTAAACCCATCAGAAATCCTATAAAGACCTTGATCGTGCTATCTGTATCCTTTTCTCCTTCCCTACCCACATATTTCCATTTGCATGTCCCAGCCCTGCAGGGGCTGCATGTGTCCCTGTCCCTTCTTTCCCCTGCTGGGGGCCTTGTCCTTGTCCCGGCACCACGGAGCTGGGCTGTGGGCAGCACCCTGCTGACGGTGCCAGCCTCGCCTCTGCTTTTGAGGGACAGACAGTGAATGATGCCTTCGGGACCAGAAGGACACGGGGCAGGAGGATGGCTGGAGGCGGTGTCATAGGATCTAGGACGAAACAGGAAAAAATCAGCCCAGCCATTTCTCTGAGAGAAAGCGCTGCTGGAAGCACTTCCCCACAAAAGTGATTGCTGAGCTGCATTGTCAAAAACAGTCAGTCCCTTCTGTTTCTTTTTCACATATCTCCACTTTGAAGTGGATGTTTGGGATGCCCGGGGTTCAGCAAGGAGAAGCTCACTCCGATGGTGCTGCCGGCTGCACGCCAGGCCCGGGGAAGGCAAGGCCCCTGGCTGCTGCTCTGGGCCTGCCTTCCTTATAACACAGCTCCTTTTCCCCTATCTCTTAGCTTTTCACCAGCTAGCCTCATCCCTGCCCCTTTTTCTCTCCCCGTGCTTCACTGCTAAGCCTTCCCTGCTTATCTGCAGCAGTTTCCCTCACCCAGAGCCGGGCAGGAAGCCGGGTCTGGCCCTGCCCGCACCACTTCTGCTCAGCCTCTGCCCTGCTGCTTTTCCAGAAACCAGAAGCAACGGGGCCTAATCCGAGCTCGCCGCCTGCCTTCTGAAACCTTTTAAGGGCACAAAACCAAACTGGACTCGGGAATTGCTATTTGGAAGTAGGATGGTTTCAGAGATGAAGGCTCTGTGAGGGCCTAGCCTCCCCGTGCCGTGCCTGGGTCCTGCATTCACAAGCAGGAAGGCCCCACAGACAGAAGCCTCCGTCCCTGCTCCATCCTGGCACCACAACATGGGGTTTTGCACTTCCCAAGGAGCAGATCTTCACAGCCTGGGCACGCAAAGCCAGTCTCCCCCCAGAGAAACCATCACCAAAGCCATGTAGCTGGAAGACCGGGTTTTTTCCAGCCTGTGGGGCTGGTGACTCAGAGCCGGTGGAAGTGCCTCGCTTCCTCGCTTGCCCGTCCAAGCCTGCCTTCCCTGCCAGAAACCTCCCTCGGCACTTGGTGCTGAACTCCCCGACTGGGGTGGGAGGGTTGTTTTGTGTTTTGCTTCCAGTGTTTGCTCCAGTACACAATTAAACACGAGTCCCTCCATTTACTGCTCTCTGGAGGAATGGCGCTGGCTCACGTGCCCCAGTCTTTGGGGACAATTCTATTGTTTCAGCTACTGCCAAAGCCAAGGAAAAATAAATCATGCTCTCCTTCAGTGTGATGGGAGGGAGCTCGCCTGCCAATGTGCCTCAGCAGGGCTTGCAGTTGCCCAAACCTTTTATTTAGTGAGGGACACATCACAGCCGGTTTGGCATTACAAGGTGACCACTGCCAGCCAGGTACTGGCTCTGTCGCTAACCCAAGCAAGGTCAAATCCGTTTGAAACAGTTGAATGGTCTTTCATTGTCAACAAGCAGCCTTGGAAGACTGCAAGGAAAGTCTAAGAGAGGGAAGTTGTTTGACGTAATTCAAGTAACAACAACAAAAAGTAATCTAGGAGCCTCGTGCTACGGGCTTACTGCCAAATCCATCACATCCCTATTCCAAGTGCTTCACCTACCTTAGGAGCAAAAGCAACTTGATGCAAGCGGTGGTGTGCCAGGTCCTGGTTCAGAGATGCACCTACGCTTCTGAAGTGCCAATGCAGAGGTTATTCACTGCCAGCATCCACCCATCTTGATGCATTTGTTATCGGGATTGTGTGGCCCAAGCTACACGACTTCAGACCAGCGTAGTACAAGCCACTTACACCTTTAATGGGTTACAGCTCTGAGGTCAAACTCAAATATTTTTGTTTCTGGCTTGCCAAAGTTTCCAGGGGGCCATTTGCATAGCCACAAAACAGGTTTAGGCTGACTAGTACTAAGCTTGTTCTTCTCATCCCGTGACCTTACCATAACCACAAGCCGTAACCATATACTGCTTTTACCTGCAGCACCGATGTAAGGGATTCTCATCTCCTTCCTCCCCCCGTGCCATGCACTGACTGGAGTTAAATTCAGATTTAGTAAAAAATGCTTCTTTCAAGGTATTTTTAACTGGCTGCTTCTATAGTGCAGCCTCACAAACACTGCTGTCAGATTGCGTGGGCCGCTCCTTCCAGCAGTGAGGCAAGAACAGTCGGCAGCAAGGCATAAAGCCGCTCTGAAACCACAAGCACATTTACCTCTGACTGACCAGAGCTTGAAAAACAGTGCCCTAAATTCACACCTTGCTTCAAGACATCTGTCTTCAAAGGCAGCACCTGTTCCTGAATGCCTGCAGGTTGGACACCCCAGGACAGCATTTAAGGACATGCCAGTGAGCCCAAAAGGGAAGGCCATGCCTGCAAGGCTGTGCTTACCTACCTAATGTCACAAACACCAGCATCTTGTTAGAGAGCACAGACTTCTCAGGGATTTCGTGTGCTGCTTTCCTACACTGTCGATTATTTTCTAAATAGAAACTCCATAAGTAGCCCATCGGTGTTCAAGACCAGAATTAATTCAGCCTGTTAGTCAGTGAGGTGCTTCACTTGGGGCATTACAGCAGCCCTGAGACCAGCTGCACACAGTGAAGAGCCCTGCAACACCTGAAGGCTGGAGATTTCCTGCATATAGGGCATCCACCAGAGCAGAACAGCCATAAACATATCTAACAGCATATTTGTACAGGGTACGAGAACAACTTGTTCATCAGCACTCACTCTTCTACAAGAAGTTACTGTATGCACGCAAAACTCTTGCAAAATCTGGCACAGACCCACTGTGGTTTAATGTAAAATAGCCTAAAAACAACCGCAACAACAAACCCCAACCCTGTCTCTCTATTAAAAACCCTTAAAATAGGGCAGGGAGAGAAAAATAGCAGCGCGGATTTCCTCTTTCACAGTCAGCTAGAGCAGCAGACTGCTAGCTCTGGGGTGTGTATTTATTGCCCAATGGCTCCGGTACCAGACTGGCTTGCTGCAGGGCTGAGTGCTTAACAGTGCTGCGGGAACCTTTCCTCTGCAAGTGTAGTCGTGCCTGTCCAAAATACAGATCTGCAAAATGGGGGTGAGAAGTTTGCCAAGTGGCTACTTGCAACTACCACCCAAACTACGATTTCTATTTGAGGAAGTTTTGCTTCAATCTGATGTTTCCAAGTAGTGCCGCTAAGTATTTGGGAGCACAAATAAATCCTGGCTTTTCACTTCATCTGTCAGCAAAAGCTGCATCTGCTCCCAGTGGAAAAGGCTGGAAGAAAGACAGTGGACTGCAAACAACTCCAGCAAAGGGCGATGCAGATAACAGCAACCAGAAACCACACTGGGAACCCTCACCCTACTCCCAGAAAGCCAGGGCTAGTTTGCCATTAAAATTCCAAGAGAAAATAGCACCCTCCCTTCTTTCACTTAGCATTCCCTGGGAGATACTAGGATAAACTCAAGTTATCCTATTCTTGTCTTCCTTCTTCCCTTTTCTCAGTCTCCGTGCAACCAGTTTGAAAAGGCAGCACAGCCTCTGCAGACCTGATTCCTGGACTTTTATTAAAAAAGAGTAGCCACAATGCTCAGTGGTCAGCTTGCAATCTGACAGCATCACTTAAAAACCAACCAAACAAAACAAAAACAAAACACCACAGCTTCTATGTCAGTCATACTGTTGTTATGCACCTGTATAGCTGAATAAATAAACCAGAGCAGCAAACGGATGCACAGTGTGAGCAAGGGAATGGGGCCTTTGCTACTGGGATTGTCAAATTCACATTACACAAGGAAAAAGAGGACTCGAGCATTCAGGCCACTTACTGGAACTGCTAAGAGCTCACAGCAGTATTTAATTGCAGCACACCTATTGCCTGTCTTCAGGATGGAGCAGTCTCAGCCCAGTCTCCCAGAGATGAAGTACAGACATGCCCAGCTCTGCTTTTCCCTGGCTTTGCTGTTAGTCTGGCTGCCAGCACCTGTGGTACGCAGCAAGGACACACTGCCACCTACCTCGTGCTCGGATGGTGCAGCAGAAAAACGCAGCCACGCAGGTACCTGTGCGACCCAGCATCAGGCAGCAGTATGTAGGCACAAAGCACAGACCCGCAGCAGACTTTCACTCATTTGTGGGTTTATTATTTCAAAGTACAATATATACATAATGTATAGCGATATCTTCAAAAACTTTATACAGAAACAAGTATCTACAAAATTAAATCAATAGACACTCTGTATATTCGGACACCATACATACATATATTGGAAGATTTAACATAGCTTCAGTTTGAACATGGAAACAGGAAGGAAATGCCATCCGTCTTGGAAAAGCTGTAAATGCCACCCAACTCCCTCTGCAGCTCAGCTGTCTGCCTTCTGAAGGGTTTCAGGTGCCTGGGGAGACACGATCAGTCTGATTTCTAGTGCCACCTACTGTTGGTATTTCCCATCACATCGGCAGCTGGAAGGGGCAAAGCCCATTCCTAGAGGGCTGTCAGGCCCCGAGCTCTGAACCGCTCCCTAGGTTCCTGCAGGGTCCCTGCAGCACACAGGCAGCTTTACATTTACACTCAGTTCAGTGGAAGCCAGAGATCTGATCTGTTATTGTCTTGTTTAGTTATGAACTAAACTATTGTAATGAAAGCTATTTCAAAAGACTAACTTCAGTTTTAGCAGCTGGAGAGACTGTAGGTGTTGCCAGCAACAAGTTAAGAAGATGAGAGAATATCTGAGAACAAACTGACCTCCACTGCATTCTGGAGACTGAAATTAAAAATATTGCACAAGCCTATGAAGCAGAAAGCCAGTGATTTCTACAGAAAAAAAAATATATATATATATTTATTTGAGAGGATCTAGCTTTAGACAATGACAGCACAGGATTTTACAGAAGGTAGAAAAGCACCGGCAGCCTTCCTGTAGGGTCTCTGAGAACATCTGGATGTGAGATGTTTGGATTAAAAGAGCACCCTGAGTGTTCAGGAATCAGATGTTTTAGCCTGTGGGATACAACTAGCTACCAGCTAGGAACTTGCAGAAGAGCCTGTGGCAATCACACATCTAATGGACACTGAGATTCAGTGACAGGTATGTGTGCTCACTGCTCCAGGCTGTCTTCAAAATTAGTCTGTCAGTTCATCAGCAAAATTTATTTTATCTGGGGACAGTTTTCAATCTCTTGCTGATAACATAAAAAGTCTTCAGAACAAGGGTAAGTGAAATGTAATAAACCAAGCCTTGCACCCACTGGTGTTCAATGGTGGGAACCATCCCACAGGAGCACCTTTCCACAGGAGTTCTTGTTAATGTGCCCACTACAGCAGAGCTTCTATCTCTAACAGGTATGCTTAAAATAAAGCCTCCCAATGACTTTAGTCTACGTAAATACCATGCACAATAAGCAAAGTGAAATTTCAACAGCTTTGTGTGTCTCCATAACCAGGGGGGGGAAAGTCTGGGAAGTTTTTAGTGCTACAGAGAGGAAAGCAGCATTTCCAGCAGGGCAGGAGGGCAACTAACTAGGTTTCTCAAATAACTTAAATGGAGAAACAACCATGCCAAAAAGAAATAAGAATTTCCACAATGTCATTGCACTTATTCCATCTGCACCACGCCTCTCCTTCATTCACATTGTACACCTGAAGAACATATATTAAATGATTACAATATTAACATCGTATCTAAAATACTGGAGTCATTCAGCTGAACACCTGAAAAGATCCAGAGATCTGGTACGTTAAAGCATGAAAACGCCAACATACAAAAGCTAAGCTATGTCTCGACATGCAAATTGGTCTTTCTCAATACTTTCCTTCAGCAGAAGGTCCAGCTCAGTCATGACCAACTGCCTGTTTGCTTGGGGTTAAATCTCAGCTTCCCAGAAGTTGGGGACAATCTGTTTCAGCAGAGGCAGGAATTTCCCTCTCCACATCACTTAAGTAACAACAAAGCAGAGGTAGTCCCACGACTGCGCTGGTCAAAATACCCTAACGTTTTGAATAAACATTGTTCTCAGGAGTTTAAAAAAAATATACATATATGTATAAAACCCACCCAGATTAAAGGCTCACAGCTTCTACGACGCTCATCAGGGTTTTCATCACTCGTTTTCACCCTCCTTTTCCAAACACTTCACTGACACTGAAGGGACCGGCTATCCAAAGACCCCCTGCAGCTCTCTGGACCACAAACCAGGTCTTGATCTTGTAAAGTCCTTTTAGAAGTGCCTATCCCACTGTCTTGCACCCAACTATTCAAACAAACCAGATCGAGCCCTTCGGCTCAGTTTGGTTCATTACAATGCCCGAGTGACTCAGTGGCACATGAAAATGGAGTACACGCCCCTAAGTCACCTAGATGCTTTCATAAACTCTACTCCTTGTACGCTCCAGCATACAGATGTACACTGAATATTTTTTTCATGATGATAGGAAGTTCAAGTATTTAAGAAAAACCCAACGTATGTATTTACAGTCTGAACTGGTAAATACATTTTGGTCAGAAGGCAATAAACACACTGATAATGCATTTACTGCTGGAATACACATTTCAGATCCTGGGAATTACTTATCTTGGAATTAAAATGTGAACGTGATGTGAGACTAAGAACTTGTCACCTTGATCCTCTTCTGCTGTCACCCTCTCAGACACTGAGGGATTAAACAATTCTCAGTTCATGCCATTTTAACCATCTTAATTCTTCACAACAGTAAAATTAAGGAGTCACACACGTTTCTATGCCACTTTTACAGTCCAACCAACAGAATGAAATCCCATTTAGATATATTTTCCATTTCTTACCACCACTTTCATGGGCTGGTCTATTCAAAGCTAACGAGAGAACTTAGTAAGCTTCTATTTGTCTCTGAAAATTTTTCATTCATCTGAAAACAGATGCAAGCACAATGTCTATCTGTACATATGTAACAGTGGACAGTTTAACTCTTATTTTTTTTTTTTTTAATATTGTTAGTTATAAAAAAAGACAAAGTTTTATTAACCAATTTTCGAAGATCAGACTTCTTTAGACCACACACCTAAAGATCAGGGGTTTACAGGATTTGCTGAATTGATGTTTCTGTTGCACATACTCAATAATTGATTCAGAAAGTTCCTTAATCCCTTAGTTTTACTGTTGTTTCATTTCTTTTGAATAAATTGACCCAATAAATGCTAATCCAAAGCAGAAAATAAGCAATGTCATAGTCATCACTTAAAAATTTTGTGACAAAGCATTTTTCCATGCATTTGTCAAAAATGCTCGATCAACCTAATCATTAGAAGTAATATGCAAGAAAGGAAACAATATCTGAAAGCCCTTAAAGCTCAGTAGCACTGGATATGTTCAACAGCAATTAAAACATAATTGATTTATTTTTTCAAGCTCCATCATTAAAAGACTGATTAATTATACAGTGTAGAAATGAAAATCTCACTGCAACTCACTGAAAACATAGTATGCACTGCAAAGCATCTCTATGTCAATTCAAATAAAAGTTTTAGATAAATGTAGTGTGTACGAAAGTTCAGCAACACCTCAGGCTGGTATTGGGTAGACAGAACCACACTGATGCCAAACCCTGTTATCTCTCTCACGAGTAAGAGCAGCCTGTATGACTACAGGTCGTGTATACAAAATACTGGATGCTTGTGCTGGCAGGCAATCAAATTTCTGGAAAAATGTAGAAAAACAGTGGTCTGTAGCACCTGCCTTTTCTGCATCTTCGTATCAGTTATTCCACAGAAGCTTTAGTTATGTCTGCTTTATTCTCTGTTCCAGTTCGTGCTTGTGTTTAATAAGTCGTTCTATTTCTGTTCCTAGAGTTTGAAGGTTTTCCTTTGGGAGAAAGAAAGGATGGGTTAAGTTAGAAAGAGAAAACAAACCAAATCAGCACAAAATGCACTAATAAAGTCAAAATTAGTGTTTATGTCAGCAGATTGATACTTTCAAGTATCCGAAACAAATGCAAGTGATTAGAGAGAGGTAGAGAAAACCAAGCTCATTTCAGTAAAGGATGCAAACCTTTGAGCAAGTCTTTTTTGCAGTTACCAAGATGGTTACTTCTCAAGTTACTTCTACAGGCTGTCTCTACAAAGTGCAGTGTTTAAGGGGAACAATAATGCCAGGAAGAGATACCCAGCTCCTGCACAACGTAGCAGTTCAGGTGGCAGGCTGCACAACTCTTCCCAGCCTGCTGTTGTTTCCTCACAGCAGACACACTGCCCCAGTGGCTCAATTTGGTACCCAGCAACTGCCACAGGACCAGGCACGCAGAGCCCAAGCAGCCCCCACATGACAGATGGAAGGTGCAAAGGCTTTCTCTCTGCCGAACATGCGGCCCTACATTTACTGCTGAGAACCAGCCCTCTACTTCAGCACATCACACGGTCCCGAAAGAGATTCAGAATGGATCACATTACAGCACTCTTTGATTAACCAATGCTATCAGTATCACCAATTCACAGGGAGCTGACTTCCAAAAAGCCTCCTCCCTTTAACAGCACGCATCTCTTTGAAGAGAGTATCTCAGAACTAGGAGAGCATGCAGAACAAAAGACATACTCACTTTCAGTGTAATATTTTTCAGTAATGTATCTTCTAACACAGCCTGCAGCTTTCTGTTTATCTCTAAGGAGAGTTCTAACGTGAGACCGCTGTCTGCAGGATGAGATGTATACAGAGATGCCATGATCCCACCTCGTCTACTCAAGTGTACTTTGTTGAAGTCAGAGGCCTCTGAGGACAGCGTGCCAGCTTCTTCCCGCAAAATGTAACTCTGAATAATTCTGGGCAAAAATTAAGAAGACATCACAGCGTTACAAGGTAGTTAAGAATGCAGACACTGACATAACTTCACATTCCTGATATACAATAATTTTAATTCCAAGCAGTACTGTATTAGGCAGTAATGGCAGTAAAGTAAATGCCTGCAAAGCCTACGATGGCAGAAAACCTAAGGTACCACAGATGCTATAGTAGGTGATGGAAAGCTGGGACACTAAAATGCACAAGTTTTACATACTTTAAAGTACTTTGAGAAAGTAAGATTGCTACGGGAGCAAAAAAGGTCTCAGCACACTGGACAGACCTGTTACAGAAGTGTGGTAGCATATGCTCAAACTGGAAGACAGTAGGACCATGACCTGTACATGTAGGTACTACACTCAAACTTGCTCAGAGATCTCACGCATGCAAGAAGTGTTGTTTAAACCAGCTTTTCTAGGAGCAACTCTCATTGCATGCTTTATTTATTATCTGTCTGACTCAAGACCCTGGGGTTCGATTTGCAGCACTGCTGACAGTTCTCAGTAGCAATGAGGATCAAGTGATATCAACCCATGAAAACACCAAGTGTGAGACAATTGGGGAGCAATATCCTGCCTTTTTTAAACCAGCACCCACAGTTGAATTCATCTGTTTTTGAATGGTCATTGAAGCAACGCTGTTCATTCAAGTCATAACTTCAACAAATCATTTCAACATTAAGTTGAGAATAGCAGTAGAACTACACTAAGCATTTATAAAGAAATAGAGCCTCGTGCATACTTCAGTATGTGTATACCCAACATCAAAAACTGTACGAACCAAACTCAGAACATACTTAGTTTTTTTCCTGATTTCCTCCACAAGGTGTTTAATGTGATCCTCCATAAACTCCATCTTTTCATTTTTTCGAGCATGTGCTTTCTGTAGCCTCAGGATTCTCTCAACCAGGATAGACTTGTCCACCTCTGGGAAGCTGTCCACAGCCACTGACGATCCAGTGTTCTCAGGTGACCGATCCTCATTGCTGCTGCGCGCATTCAGGGACCCTGCCAACACATTCAGATTTTAAAGCTCTTTTTACTTTTGCCACAAATAAAACGTCTCCACCAGTGCAGTGTGTTCATTACATTTTAGTAGCTTAGGGTATTTTCTTCAGAATGTCAGTTTCCCTTGCACGTGAGTGGGTTTCTACAGTAAGTAGTATTTACACCATTTAAATGCGTGCTGGAACAGCGCGTAGTCCCCTAGTTATGGGCATAATTCCATTAGCATCACTGTATGTACTTCAGTAACAGCCCTGCAGAAGTACCGTCATAATATTAATGATAATATTACTTTGTACAAGACTGAGCTGATTTTCAAACAAGTCTATTCTACAGTCTGCTAAAATCACAACTATGAGAACTGTATACGGACTGACAGGAGCCCTACATTGTAAACCACCTACAGCGCTGTTCACTTAGAGCTTGAAGTATTTTTTTTTCTTTCTGTTCACCTCTTACTTATGCAGAAAGACTGCAAAATACTTCATCATACCTAACCCAGTTTAAAACCCAATGATACTGAGGAAGAAAACAGCTGTTGTTTTCAGCATTAAAGATAACCGTTCTACTTCTAACTGGATAGAAAGTAATGAATTGTACACAAACACACTGATGCCTCTAAACATGCTAATTGATTTTTATCAGTTAAACAGTTGCAACTGTCAATAAGGCAATTAAACAATCTTGGAAGCTGCTGCTAATTTTTGTTTTGCCACAGCTGCATTTAAGAGAGTTCTCTAGAAACTGCAGTCCTCTGAGCTTCCTCCAAACATAAAAGCAACAACAACAACAACAACAACAACAGTCTTGCATTTAAGAAGACCCAAAACACGTAAACATCAAGCTTTAATCTTGTAATAAGGATAAGCACCTTTAACTGCATTCAGCCAAGTGCATTTTGGTGTTCAAAGGCTATTTTGTCAGGCTGAATGGGAGACTGCCCACACACTGCATACGCACAAACCACAGAAAGAGCAAGACTGAGAGCAGCACACCATGGCAACCTTATTAAGATCGAAGGATTGTTTTGGCAGCCCTGCTATTAGCTATATTACCTGATGAACTGGAACGACTCCCCATGCTGCTGACTTCTTTGTCATAATTACCGTTTTCCATCTGATCCAATTTCCTGCGTGCTAAAAGTATAATAAAGTGATTGTTACCAACAGGAGATTAAAAACCAAGACCCAGTGTGATACAACAAACACTCTAATCCTCTGACCTCCGATAATTTAACGTGGCTTGACTACTTAAAGACAATGGTAGCAACTAAAATCTGATGGGGAAAAGACAAAACAAGAACCAAAATAGCTCCCTTCTCTCCCTGCACTCAGCCATGAAGTACCTGGCTGCAACATCTGCTAAGACCCTGCAACAATTTCCAGCTGAAGTAATGTCATACACAGGATTATCTGGGAACAACAAGACTTGAATTTGATTTTGCCTTTGATTGGGACTGCTGTGGAAATAACCACTGAATGACAGAACAGCAGCTCCGTTCTCGGATCTCATGACTATCACTAGTGGGAGCTGAGAGCAGTACTTGTGCCAGAAGCACCACTCATTCAGTAGGGATGAAAAGGGAAAATGCACAGCTGTTCATGTATGTACAAAGAGACAAATAACTTCTCTTGCACAATGTCAGTAAGAGTTCTTCTTTCAAATACATTTCAAAGAAGCCTGAATACATTCAAATCTATCTGCATTCAGAACATATGTGCTATCGAGTATTTAACGATTTCTATCTGTTGAAAAAATTAATCATCAGTCTCTCAACATCCATCCATCCTTCCTTAATGACTAAACTGCTCTGTTTAACATACTAAGCAGTAGCTCTCACCAATAATTCCTGATACAGTCAGGAGTTAGGAAACTTCTGGCAGCTTTTGCCTATACTCATACTCAGACCAGGATCTGTACCTACCCACAGTAACACTTAGGTAGTCCCCTACAGGATAACAAAGACAAAGCTCTCAAAATAAAACTTTCAGTTTATAACTAAGCCCATTTCAAGAGTTTTATTTAAGGCTGACAATTGAGACTGGGCCCTGTTTGCTATCACTGCAGTTTTCTCAAGTCTTAACTTGCTCTATCACTCTTTAGGGACAGTGAGAGTGAGAAGGGCTAAGCTCAAACAGCATGCACACACAGACGGAAGCCTTCGTCTCTACCAGACTCTGTGAAGGGGCTTACAGACTGGGCTGACTTATTATTATATCTGAAATGAATTTCAACCTAGCTGAAGCTGTTTCGTGAGATCTTTCAGGTTTGCTGCATGCTTGCGCTTCTGGGTAGTCAGTTCATCTTTCAGTTCATCCACGTGGGTCTTCAGCGCTGTTAGTTCTTTCTGCTCTGAAGCCAGCTGAGCCTGCAGCGTCTCAACCTCTAGCTTTCGCTGATCCTCCTCCTTCTGCAACTTGGTGGCCTGAAATTATAGTTTGGTTTTAAGTCATGTACCACAAGAATTCCTGCCTAACCACACTGTACACTCAACAATTCCATCTCTGTACTTTGCTTTCTACATGAGAATCTCTTGCATTTTAAATTTGTTAAGCTAAAAACTAGCATTGCAACTGAATACATAGCACAGCATGATGCTGCAGTAAGATTCCTGAATTCTAAATCATCCACACAATGCAGTACAGCACGTAGAGCTGCGCAGCACAGGTACATTAATTTTTCATTTTACAGCAATCACTGAAAATGAAGTTATGTTTATCTTACATTTATAAAAACTACTTAAGAAACAGTAATACAATTCACAAATTACAATCTTTAGGTTGTTTCAGTGTCAGTTGCATGAAGAGTAACTCTGTCCTGCAACACAGAAAGAACAACGCAGGGATACCCATATCCGATTGCAGTGCCGTGTGCCTTAGGATTTCTGTCTTCTTAAGAGAGGTGTTCATTCTACCAGACTAGCAAACTCAACAACAAGTTGCAGGTAGGTGAGGAAAAACACGTGGTGGAATTCACATTCCCCAAACATCTTAGTAACGCATGAACAAGCTGCATGCTGTACTCACCACGTCATCTTTAGCCTGTCGAACACATTCCACCTGATTCTGCAGCTCTCTTTCACTGTAAGAAAGCTTATCCACCTGGCTCTGTAAGGAATTGTTTTCAGACTGAAGCTGCGCATTCTTGCTGGTTAATTTTTCAGTGAATATCAATAGCTCAGATTCTCTTTTCCGACTACCTTCAATGTCCTTCTGGAGATCAGCAATAAGAGAATTGAGACCATCTACTTCTTCCTTTAAAGCACTGATATCTTGTTCATCTCTGCCAAAAGAATTGCGTAGTATTAGGAATAACCTGAGCTTGAAGACATCAGATATGAAACCTTACTGAAATAAAAGTTTGGGTCCAGACCAGGTAGTGCCCAGGAACACTTAGTGACCCTCGTGCGCCACTGGATTGTTTTAAAAATGAAGGGAGCTTGCAGATTCCATTTCATGACAAGCTGCAATGCTGACATGACACAGAAATGAAGTGACCAGCTGTCTGTACTCAACTTCACGTGCTTCAGTACAGGGTGTCAGAAACAAGACTGTAGATTAAGAGGACAGCCTGCAAATGCAATATTCTTGTATTTCCCTTTTCCAAATACGTTGTTTCGTTATGAGAGAAGCAATTTCTACTTAACAGTCAAGGTCAAACCGAACAAAGTTAAATGTTTAGACCATCCTGAAAAGAGATCTCCAACCAATCCTTACAATTCTCCAAAAAGCAAATCCTGCAACACTGGAGGTAATCAGTATCCAACTCAGTGTTATCCAGCATCCAACCTAAAATAATCTTTCCTGCAAAATCCCATTTATTTTTGTCCTTGCTCCAGCACACAAAGACTAGCTGAACATTCCCTTTATAATACCTTTTTACATATTTAAAGATATTTCACCTCAATCTTTTAGGTTCCTTCTAGAAGGAAGAAACCTGCTTCCTCAACCCTTTTCTCATAAAGAAAATAGATGAGATTTTGCATGAATTAAGACAAAATTCTTATTTTCTTGGAAGCAAGTGAAAAAAGGCAGCAAATTTATTTACTCTAAACAACAGTAAGAAAAACAGTTCAAGTTTCCAGAATTTCTGTTTCAGAGAGAACAGGAATTTACTGATCCAAGTTTTCAATCTCTTGCTGAGATTCCACAACTCTGTCAAACATCCTAGGGAGTACTGAAAACACGTCAGTCATTTTAAGAGAGAAATAAAAGACTACACAAAAATTGATGCAGTGGTAGTAAGCACTGTGCAGAGAAGATGTTAAAAAAAAAAACCACACCTCAATCCAAGTTTAACAGGAAAAATAGTGACATGTTTAAGGACATCTCAACTATTGAGAAGAAAAGATAACTGGAAAAACACATTTGTAGTTTTCACACTGTGATCACAGAGTTCATTTTAATTAATTTAACAAGATCCCAAGAGAAAAAAAAAAAAAAGCTGTTGCTGACTGAAGTCTATGCTTCAGTTGTCTCTAGCAGATTACAGTTTCCCTAGGAAAGCTAATGAGACAGTGCCAATGCAGCTGACCAGCATACAGCAAGTGGAAAACGCTTCATTATCTAAACCCCGAACATGTAATCACAGCAATATTTTTCAATGAGATATAAGAATTCTTTAGAAGCACAGTAGGGACATGTGAGTGGCTCTTTGTATCCAAAAGTTGTCTAACTCCATTGTCTTTGCTTAGAATCAGTGAAGTGGATGGCATTTCTGTATTCTACTTCGTATGTACCATACAAAAACAGAAATATGCTTGGCAACTCCTGAACTGTCCATGAACCCAACTCCTTTCCAAGATTTTATATCCCTCACGTTCTTAAATGAGGAAACTTTGAACAGCAGAATGAGTAATCCATCAGAAATACAAGTGCTCCCAACTATCTGCATATTGCACCTATCAAAGATATAAAACCTTTTCTGTTAAATACTTTAATCCATCCATCACAATTTTGAAGTGATGGATCTTTCAATAAAGCAAACACTGGGCAGGCTTCTACAAGACATAACTTCTTATAGGGTACACTTAAAAGTGAACACTTCAGTTAGATTTATGAGACTAAATCCATTAGTTTTATTAAAAGCTATTAAGGTTATCTCTATTACTAGTGAGATTGATTCACCATAGAAATAAACACTTAAATTAGGACAAGGATTCTGCATGTTATTGATGTTTTAAAGCATTTTGTAATTTCAATAAAGAAAAACTTTCCAAATGCCAGAATATCTGTCACATCATTCCTCAAAGAGCATAGCTGTACCTCTGATGTTGATCCTGCAGACGATCGACAGTTTTGACTCTGTCCAGCAAACTCTGAATTTCAGTCTTCTGTCTATTAATGATTTCTTTATACTTGGATAACTCATCTTCTGTTCTTAAGCGCTCATCCTCTAGACACTTCACCTAAATGGGAAAAATCAGAAACTATTTATTCTCCCAAGCTTCAGAGATGAATTATTCCTATCAAATGTCTAACGTTTTGTACAAAATATTTTTATTCCTTTTTGATGATTTTAGCTCAGAACGGTAATATCCTGTTTTTCATACAAAACACAGTCAGAAAAAATAGATAAAATAATACATGCAAAAAATATCAAATTATGCAAGTGTGATTAACATTAGCCTTGTCCAAAGACTCAAACTAATGCACCAGGATTCAACGACTTCAAAGACATCTTTTTTCCAGTTACAAAACCAAATCCAGTCATGTCTTCATCCATTTTTCTAAGTCCCTATTGAGATCTGGGTGGAAGGAACAGGCTAATTTACAGACAGTTCATTAGTTACAGATAGCATAACCTCCTCAACAGACATCAAATGTGTGATGTCTATAAACCTAGCTTCACAAATAGGAAAAGTTTACAGGTATTTTTCATTTTCCAAAGTTACTAAACTCAGGAGATCTTTACTAAATATGTTTCTCCTAACTTCTCAGTCAAATGAGTTGCATACCATAAAACAAAACATTGTACTATGGACCAACTGATTCACTAAGAAAGGTTACCCAGAGTCAGTTATGTGCTCCTTCTGATCTCATGCAAGCCAGTCTCTAATCACAGTATTTATTCAAAGAACTAAAATTACAAACAAAAAATTTAATATAGTCTCACTCCAAAAGCCAATACTACACACTGTGCTCTCCTGCAATCCAACACGTTACCTTTGTCCTCAGTGTTCGAAGTTCATCCATGCCTTCTTTAAATGTTCTCTTCAAGTCTTCCACTTCTTTTATTTTTGCATGATGCACCTTTTTAAAGAGTAAGAAGTTCATTAAGAAATCTACATTGACACTGGCATTTCCTAGGATATCAAAAAAAATCTAGGCGAATGCAGGCCAACACAACAGCTGAGAGGGCTGGGCTTAAAATAAAACCGGTACTTTAAAGGTTTGTTTTGCTTATATAGAGATTGGTAAACAGCCACCACAAACAAAAGCAAAAGCAAAAGCCTAGGGGGAAAAAAGCTAGATTTTTTTTATTTTTTTTTTAAAGAAGCAAGGACAGAAATAGGATTGCACATTTCAGTTTTAGTTGTACAAATTGACATCACAACAGCCCCTGGGGAAAGTTCTATGTTCTGACACTTGCTTAACTGAAGATGATACATGCACATGTGAGCAGGTACTCACCAGAGAATCTAGTTTTTGGGATAGCAAATTTCTACAGAGAATGGAAGCTATCCCCTGACTCATAGTTTAGCAAAATACTGGTCAAAGAAAGACAGCCTTGCCTTAGAATTTGCGCTCTAAATTATGAAAACATTCACACTGATAAATGAAAGAGCAATTATGGGAAAAGCATGATACAATGAGAACAATTCTGTTTTTAAGAAATGAGTCAAGGGTAGTATCTGAAAACATCCTCCCATAATCAGAGTTGGAGGCAGACACCTGGAATGGAGTATTAGGCCAAGAAGAAAAATGTTTGGCAAGAACTGTAAGCAGCTTAAAAAAAAATCTCAAGTTAGAAACTCGTAGCATTCATAACTACCAGGTTAACTGGTAGCCAGGCAACTGTGCTGCCTCCATACAGCAAATACTTACCTCCAGATGATCAGATTTTTCCTGCATTTGTTTTTCTAGTTCTCCTTTAGTTACTCTGAGCTTTGCATCCAATTCATTTGATTTAATTTCTTCCGACTCCTAAAAGGATAGAAGATACAAGGACAGTTTTAGTTTTAGATCCCTCTTTCCTATTTTATGAGCACCGATACAGCTTTTCACATCACTGAACAACTTTCCCATAGGCATGTATCCAATAATTCTGAAAAGGCAAAGATAGACTTGCACCCCAGATGCCAATCAAGACAAACTTTTTCCTTTCTGATTATCAACTTTCCAAGCAAAGCAATCAGTGATTGGTCATCTCAACACGTTAGCTAACACAGGATAATTCTTCCCTGCTACAGCTTAAGATAGAAATGGGTGTCTGTCTGCCTGCCTCTGTGTTCAGGATCTGATTTTACACTAATTCCACCTCCTGAGAAAAAGTGTTTACCTGATAGGTTTTTATCATTTCTTGACAGTTTTTCCTTATCTGATCTGTTTCTTCTTTTGCTTGAGTTAATTTTGTTGTTGCATCTTTGAGTCGCTCTTTTGATTCCTACAGGAACAGGAATGAATAATGGTTAAACCTACTTACATAACATCATTTAGAAAAAAACATTTTTCAGAACAGAAGTTTCCTACTTCAGTTTGAAAAGAATCAACAACAAAAATGTCCAGCATTTTTTCCCTTCTTACTTCCATTCAGCTATTACTTTATGCAATTTTGTTTGTTCCAAAACCACAAAAAAGGACTCCTTGGTTATGTGCTGTAGCTGATAGATCACATTAAATCTATCACAGAAGAACTGAATTAAAAAGACAGTTAAATCTATCATACAAAATCCAAATTAAAAGTTGATGATCAGATTCAACAGAACCCCTCTGCATTTCCCTCCTCGCATCCTTCCACCATTACTACTTCAGTAACAGTATCTAAAAGCACTATTCCAACTTCTGCTGCAGGTGTTCAAATTCAGAACACTTTAAAAATAGATTTTAGTACTATTTAAAGAGAGAACAGTATCGCAACTACGTTCCTCTGACTGTAGTCTCATGTCATGGTAGCATTTTACTAACCCTGTGCGAATCCATTTCAGTTTTCAATTTGTTCTGAGCCCATTTCACTTTGATAACATGAGAATTGATTTCTTCTTTCAGTTTTTCTATTTCTTTGTTGAGTCGAGTGGCTTCAGCATCCTAAAAAAAAAAATCATAAATTTTATTTTATGGATATAAATCATCCAGTGCTTCTTGCAACACACAAACTAGAGCTCTGGTCTACAATAAAAATCTCCTGAGTAAGCTGCACAGGCCCCTTTTTTCCTTTTTTTTTTTTTTTTTTTTTTGGCAACAGGATGAGGAAATGCAGGCGCAAAGCAGTAGTTATATATTACACAAGGCTACAGAGAGAAGTCCTGACACTGACAGAACAGTAATACCAGCTATAAACGTGCAGGGTGAGCACTGGCAGCAACAACATACGTAGGTCAAACCACCAGCCTGTAAGTCAGCGTCAAGTCAGGACATTAAGAAAAGGACACTGCTGGCCCAAACTTCTGTACCAGCATCCACAGATAGGGCATCAACCCACACCTCCAAACTGCTTCTGAAATGATAGGTTCAACTGCTAAATATAGGTTTACTGAAGCACTGTGTGAGGGCAGTATGGATCCTGCAAGGCTCTAGTGTAATCATGAGGTGTTGTGAGGTTTTTTAGTAGGTTAACTTTTAGCAAACCTGAAGCCACGCTCCCACTTCCTGCTCATGTGAGGAACACTGAAGTGATTTTTTGCTTCAGCAGCGTATTTTTCTGACTTTAAATCATATTTTTCTGCTTCTTTTGTCAACTGTGCACAGTAAAATTCATCAGAAGAGACCCAAATCAGCAAGAACCCTACTACTTCATCAATTTTCAGGTCTTCCACATGAAATAGTTGCAAAACAGTACAGAAAGACCTGGGTAATTCAGGAGCCTGATGGGAATCTTACTGGCTTCTAAAACTGAAAGGCAATTTACTTATTTATTTGAATCAGGCCTGAAGAATCCTATTGCCATACCACCAATTTTCAGAAGTACAAAAGAGAACAGAGCGAATACAGAAAAACTGCAATAAAGACTGCAGTAATTTAATGCCATTACAGCCTTTTAAAATTTCAAAAAAAAAAAGTTAGAAACTCCCTCAAAAAAACATGGACCTGCAATAAGCGCTCTTTTATTTCTATTACATAAAATAAATTAGGGAAATATTAAACGGAACTTGAAAAAGATAACGAGAACTCAGTTAATTCTTCCCCTTCCCTCAGAGGAAAGGGTTTTTTCCACAGATATACATCAAAACAAAACGAAAACATGCTTCTTTCCCCAAGTACATTAGCAAACAAGTGTCGATAAGTTTGTACTGACAGTGCTTTTCATCATTCACTCAAGTCACACAGCAATACTCAGAGCACCTTAGTTTCATAGAGCTGGTGTAATCTTCCTTTTTCCTGAGAAAGCTGTTTGATTTTATTAGTATGCTTTTCAATTTCTTTGTTTGCATCTCGCACTCTTCTCTCAAGTATCTCCTTTTCCTTTCGGAGGTCAAGTGACTCTTTCTCCCCTCGGACATATTTCATCACCATTGTTTCCTTTTCATGGCGTGCTTCTTCACATTTCTTATTTGCCTTGAAAAATATTTAAATATGAAATACAAGGTACATATGAAAAACTTGGGTAGACCTGTGCGGTGTCAAGAGTTGGACTTGATGATCCTTAAGGGTCCCTTCCAACTCAGGATATTCTATGATTCTATGATTCTATGAAGGTTGATTCACTCTGGTTTGCTTTTGTAAGACACTACTCCAAAGACATCCAATATAGAAGCATATCAAAGCAGGGCTCAATAGCACCAGTTCTGCAAACCCTAGCATTAGATCCCCACGTAAGTGTCACCAGAACCCAACTGATTCAACTGGAATTACTTGTAACAGTAAATACATCTATGCAGCTGCAGCTTCCCAGCTAAACCTCTCACATGAATTACCACCCCACAAGTAATTCTGAATACAGATTATTTCAGAAGGAAAGAGTTGTATTTGATAAGGTTTAGTCAGAAAATACTTTTGCAAAAACCCAGTACCAATCCTCTGCCTTCCCTTGTCCACGTGCCAACCTCAGCATCATTCGGTGGCTTATTTTTCAGACGGACTTCCCCCCAACCCCAGCATTAATGCATTTTGTTTCATCTAAGAAAATCAAAAGAATCAGAAACAGAGCTTTAGAGTTTACATAGAGAAAATACTTGGCATAATGTATTAGGAAGGAAAAAAAAATCTCAGCTCTCAGTAATACGAGAGAAAAATAAAAGCTTTGTGCTGTATTTGAGAAAAATATTTCATCTGATAAATTAGGGTACGTAATAGCCACTGCTAGCTTTTGCCCTGCTTCTGAGCCAAGACCAGGCTGCATGATTCCTACAGGGATCAAGTTAATTCATGAAATGTTCTGTAATTAAAGGTTTTCTGTCTTACCTGTTCCATTCGATAGGCCATCTCTTTATGCAACTGTTGAATAGCATTTTTGGCTGCTGCATCTTGGGTTAAAAGTTTGTCTTTACCAGCTTTCACTTCTTTAATAAGCTCTTCTATTCTTGCTTCTAGCTAGAAGACAACATTATGATATAATTATAGGAAAAATAAGACTTTGATCATGTTTTGTACAGGCAGGAACATTTCACACAAATTATGTGCTTCAACAGATCTTTACCTGTACTTTACACTTGTCAAGCTGCAACTATCCATATCAACATCTAGCTTTGTACTCGAGTACGAGCATGAAAGATGTCAATTTTCATCTTCAGTGAGACAACTGCATCAAACGGAGTAGAACAGGAGGCACAGTAGTTTATTACACAAAAAAATTGACAGCAAATGCTGAGATGTCAGAGCAGAGCTGGCTGTTGGCTGAAGTTGCTTCTTTTACCCTTTTCTTTGCTGCTACCCCTGTGCCACCACCTCCAGCCTGCACTGCACTGGCAAAGTCATCACGCGTCTGTGCTGAACTGGACTGGGAATTAACGCACTGAAAAACAACTCAGCAAATACAAAGGTGGCGCTTAGTCACCGTGCTGGCACGTTTCCTTAGGCACCCAGTGAACTAGGTGAGACCTGATCTGAAGAATAACCACCAGCTGAAACACCTCCCCAGGCAGGCTCACTGCGCAGCCACACAGGTGCAGTCCAAGAGGAAGCAGCACTCGCACAAAGACAACAAGCTGTGATGCTGCCCACAGGCTCTTCAAACTGTGCCTTAAGGACAACCCTCTCGTTACAGGGGAGAGCCATTTCACCGATGCCAGCCTTTCTTTGTGGGGAAGAAGGGTGTAAAAGTGTAAAGATGCTGGTGTCAGTACCTCACTTCTGTGCAATCCAAGCCACAACACAAAGCAAGAACAAGCTAAAACACTTGTTGCCACACAGTGAATTTGATCACACCCTCTTTGGTTTTGCAAGCTGAGTCATTGCCTAGCATGCAAAACATTTGTTTTTATTTATTTTTAAACGTGCAAGCATGCATATAAACATTTTACTTGCAGCTGTGAGTGCTGCCAAGCTTTCATTTCCTTGAAAGCTACCAGGACACATTAATTCAGAAATCATCACGTTAAAAACACTCACTTCAAAAATGAGAAAACAAAACCCAACAACTCAGGTGTTTCACACTTCATTGTATCCCACAAGTCCAGCTGCTACCAAACTGCAAGTATTACACCACAGAAGTATTTCTGAAACCACCTCCAAACATCCTTATCTGCAATCTTACTCATGGGACTAGAAACCAACATGTGCCTCCCTCACAAAATGTTGTAACAGAGCACCAGTGACACCCAAAGCGATACCTTTCCCTCCCACACTACAGCCAGCCTGCACAACTGCAAACTCTATGCTCCTCTTTGGCCTGTCATGGTCCTGAACCATTCACTGGCCAAATGCCTGCATATAGGAACTGCTAATACCAAAATAGCGTGTAAGGCCACAGTTAACATGCTCTAACCTTTATATGTGTTCCACATAACCATTAGCACTTACAAGTCCAACTATAGCCATTCACTGCCAGATGCAGTAGTTAACAGAAGATAAATATTACTTTTAAAAAATGAGTCATGATAAAACACTTTCCTAAGATTCCCCTTCTATCTACATACAAGAAATAAATCATCCTAAGAGACTGAACTTGCCATTTTGCAAAAAGGCCTACAAGGCCTTTAGCATATGCAGCCTCCGTCAGGAAGACAACCTTGGCACACACAACCAACCCACCTATCAAGGCAACCCAAACTGGAACTGCTCAAACACCTAAAATGAATTTCTGAATTCAGATCACTTAACCATAGACATTAAGCACTTCCAGCCAGTTAATATTTCTTGGCATGGAAGAATGGATTTATCCTCACAAAATACTCAGCATCCATGAGCATGGGCAGTCCTTCCTTCTCCCCTATGCTACCACATATTCTGTTAAAACAGGGGCATCATGTACCGGTGAGAGACCAGCTGCCACTTCTGTTTCATTGTCTGTACCTGTTTGATGATGTTGAGGTGCTGCTTCTCTGTTTCTGTTCGCTTTTTCAGTTCATCTTTTAAGCTGTCCTTTTCTGAGCAGATGTCCAAAATCAGTTCTTGATGTTTTTTATTTTCTTTAATCAATCTGTAAAGAAAAAGAAACAAGCTGTAAGGTACTTCAGTACTGTATTTTTCATTTATTTATTTTGAGATACATGTTTCTTCCTTCTTGACTGCAAATCCTATTGCAATTAGAGCCAGGCACACTAATGAACTCCACCAAAGCCTTACAAAAAAAAAAAAAAAAAAAAAAAAAAGTACATTGTGCCTGTGAAGCTTAACTCTAAACCAGCCAGCAGCATCTTTCTCATGAGAAAACTGCTTGCTTCCAGCGTTTTGCGGTTTCTACTGTCCCTGATGATATGAGATATTTCATGCCTCTAAGCCACTCCAGAACTAGCAGCGGGCTCTGTAAAGGTTAACAATTTTAAGGTACTTTTGTACACAGAAACTTCCAGTGACAGAGCTCCCCAGTCAAAGCTCTGAAAGCACAGACAGTGTGTTCATTTCCTGGATTGGCACAAACTCTCACAGCAGCCTTTGAAGTCCACAACCTGCTAAGAAATAGGACTTAGAAAATCTGGGTTCCACGTAACTACAACAGCATCCGTGCTCGTAGCCCTTGTAAGTTAAAATGTTTAGCTACGGTCTGTTCCTTTGCAGCTGTTTGAAGCCTGAGTTGAAGCTGACACCTTGACAATACTAGATTTAGCCTGACCTTCTAGCAGTGCTATATGTGAAACTCAGAAGTCATATTGTCAGAGTTGCTGAGTAAACAGTCTCAAATGCATTTAAATGGTTAAAGACACAGTTAGGTAGTGGGTATTTCCAAAAGCACCTCGGCAAGTTAGGCCACCAACTGCACGAATTTGCGTGCGGTATGTATTTACCCAAACAAGATATTTAAATACCCTTTTAGATACGTACTTTCATCTTTAGCTTCCCTCCTTCAAAAAGTATTTTCTAAATAAACAAGGCTTCCAAATTACAAGAACTTCAATACCACCAATGAAAGCAAGCTTAGGTTAAAGAACAGTTCTGAAGCAAGGAATATTCCAAGATTACAAATGCTCACAGGGAGTTGAGATTCACACAATCGCTGCTCACTTACCTATCACAGATCTGCTCATAATAGACAGCTGGATTACTTCCAGAACAATGTTACAGGAAATTCTTTTGATCATAAACAAAGGGACAAAAATCAGCCCAACCCAGAATGCCCTTTGGACTAAAGAAAGTATTCCACAGCAGCTTTGCACTCTTGAGGTGAGCACCCAAAATTCAAAGGGGTGCAGCTGGCAAAGAAAGAGACTGAAGGTATGTTTATATAAAAACAAATCTGTGTGTATATGTAATAAATACATATATCTACACGCACATTTGTATCTAAGTAATTGGTCCACTGCTGAAAATGCTGCCTTTGAATTTACTGTAAACAAACATGTAAAACCCAACTGACTTGTTCACTTACCACTTTCTGGAGTTAGAACCATCTACACACCTCTCCCTTCAGATTCTCATTCCTCCTCCACAATTACTAAATGCCTAATCACACATACCCAAGCCTTCCTGTCATCAGCTCACTTTCCTCACGTTTATATTTTGTCAGAGGTTACCTACTGAGGTGCAAGAGAATGCTTTCCCTACTCTACTTTTTGGGAGTTTCTCCCTCCCTGCAATGTCCTAAAGAACAGGGCACTCATTTCCAGCTCTGCAAGCAGGAATAAAATTAAAGTTACAAACCACATTTAGTTAATAAAAAACCTTTTTTGAAGAGGTAACAGAACACTAAAAGCCAAGTGGAGAATCAAAAAAAAAAAAAAATCAATCAATGAACTGGCTTTTGACAAGCATGCTTCATGTAGCAGATGGTAGAACTACTAAGCCCAGCTGAATACAGCAAAGTTTAAGCATTTCAAAAGCCCTCCTGTACCATTTCAAACACAAAGAACAGCTCTCAACCAACTAGAACTTTCTGGATTATGAGAGAAGACTGAATTCTGATATTGCATGAAAAAGAAGCAATTTCAAACTCAAATCAAACACAAATAGTGAGAGTTCGTAATTACAATGTTTTGTTTCTTCAAGGACATACAGGGACAGAACAAATCTTGGACTATTTTTCAATACTGTAAAAGTGATGGTGATATAAGTAATTCTAGGCACTGGCAAGCTATTCGACTGAACAGTTGGCCATTCAGTTCCTGCCAAATCCCACAAGAATTTAGAGATCTAAGCATGCATTTTTATTTAACAGTGCATTCCACACGTAATAATAATTCCTCGTTTACTGACCTTTTTTTAAGGAAGTTCTTCATCTGTCCTTAAAACAACTCAAGACGTTATTTGTTTCATACCACAACATTGTGTTCACGTAATACACATCTGAAACTTTTCAGTACACACCTCCATAGCCATAATAAGAATACTAAAATACTCACTTTTTTATGGTTTGCTCCTGCTCCAGGTATTTATCTTGCACGCATTTTTCAAACACAGCCAAGGCATGTTCACCTTTCCTCACACCGTTTGGACATTTGTGTTCTTTGGAAAAATCTGTAGACAGGAGTTCAGACTCTATTTCCTTCAGCAAATCATCCTGTGAGGAAGTCTGATGCATCGTGGAAATAAGCTTCTTTGTGCAGTCTGTGTCATAAGGGCTTTCCGAGTAGATTTTATCACTGGATTTTTTCACAAAGTCAGATTCCTCCCTTAGCTCCTTCAGTATTTCCATTAATGATTGTTCGGCCTGATTAGTTTTTGGATCTTGTTCAAATTCTTCGCTAGATAAACGCCCTGGCTTCGTGGAGCCCTCAACCTTACTTTCAGAGCAGGTACTGGCAGCGCAGTCTGCCCCTCCGCTGTCATCAAGCGCTGGCTGCTGCTCCTGTCTTTCTGCCAGGCCCCCACCGCTGCTCAGGTCAGTGGCTGATGGATCCTGGGCTGAGGGCAACAACCTCGATTCCATGTCCAGGACACCAGCTCCAGCACAAGCGACATTTGAGCAGTCCTTTGCTCCAGGTGTTTCATCCGTCCTCCTGTTTTCTGGGCACGTGGAAGAGGCATTGCCCGACAGATTGACTGGCTCTGGCGTGCCTTGCGTTTCTGGGACATATTCCTCCATCATTTTCCTTCAGAAAGGTAAAAGAATTCATATTAGACAACGTATTATATTCAAAATCAAAATTAAAGATTAAGAAAGAGGAAAGAAAGTCCACTGTAAAGTAAAATTCAAAGGACAAAAATATTTAGATACAGAAGCTATGCAGAGTTTGTTGTTTTTTTCAGCCTTTTACATCAATTCTCCAAGCTTTTCTGACGGAGGGTGATAAATCAAGGAAAGCAAACTCAAAGGAGTGGGACAGTAAATGCCAATGCAATAAAGAAAAAAAAAGAACTGTCTCAGAATTAATAATTCTATGATTTAAAACCCGAAAAAGTTCAAGTAATCACCTCTGAAAAACATTTCAGATGTAACAAAAATAAGAATCGTGTGCTTTTTAGCTTTCATTGTCCTACACACGATTTGAAAGTAACAATATGCCTTCACTCACTCCTTTTTATAACACAGGGCAACTCCCAGCCAGGGAGAAAATACTTCCTTACTGTCACATCCTCACCCATTACCCATTCAACAAAATGTATCCGTACCCAGCAACCCAAAAGAAAAAAGGGGCTGGGGGTGAGATTCTCTTCTCCCATCTGCTAGCAAGCAGCAGAAATCTCTTGCTGGATGAGCACAGATGGTCTGAGGCAGATTTGCTCTCCCAAAGTAGCTTGCAGAGCAAACACTTGAGGAGTTGAAAAGCTATGCAGAAAGTGTTCTTCTAGAAGGACACCGTACTGTGATCCAAATAGCTAGAACATTTATGGAACAGCCTGGATATGAAGTTGGATCTTCTTTTTCAGGACTCCCAGATGGTCAGGTGTCTGCAAAGCCTGCTGGCATTTTTATCAAGCACAAGAAGCTCTTATCATACCGTGTCCATTAGGGGAAATTCATTACAGCAGTCATAACTTTTAGATGTAACCCTGCCGCCCATACTGGATAAATTACACTATTTATAAACAGAAGTCAATTTTTTCGTTTAGGAATTCAGCTTTGCTTTTCCAACAATTATCTCGAACGAAGCAGTAACTCTGCCACCTTGCAATATCAGGCATGTTTTCATACTTGCCTTCTCATTTGTTTAGCTTTTTCTCACCCATTTCACACAATTGGAGTTGTTCAGCTACACGCTCCAGACTCTGCACTTGAACTCAGACCAAGAGGAAGCCCTCTGTGCCACTTGGCTCAACCCCTCCAAAGTCCCTGCCTTATTAACCAACACTTAGTCCCATGGCTTACCCTGTTAAAACAGAGGGATACACGAATCCCATTATGTCTGTGACTAATTGCTACCACTATGTACCAATAGATATTTAAAAAAAAAAAAAAAAAAAAGTCTCCTCAGCTCAGCTGTTTCTATCAGAAAATACTATCAAAAAAAGACCCACCTGAAAACACTGCCAGGTAATCTCTGGGAGGAAAATGGAAAGGGAAACTAAACCTAAGGCTGAGTATGAAAGAGAACATGCTATGGCAACAGTAACAAATCAGCCAATGACAATTCAATCTCTTTCAGTAACAAACAGACCTCTTTTCCTTTTTGGTTTCAAAACAAAAAACTAAACACCACAGTCTCTAAGACAGTACAAGTCAATAGGAACCAGAAGACAAACGGTAACTAAAGCTACAAATGAGAAAGAGGTGGTGAATGGCAGACTTCTTACACAACACACAATGTGAAACTTTTACAAGGATTCCCAGTTTACAAGCAAATCTTCTCTGACATGAGTAAAATTCCTGATCCCTCTTGGCTTCAAATACTTATGTTTAGGTCAATACCAGAGCCAATGAATCCATCCACTTAGTTTGTCCAGCCAAAACAACTGCTCTTCTGGTAGCTATCTACATTTTGATAACTGCTAGTAATCAAAGTTCAAGATGTTCTTATGTTAGTCTAAAAAAATAAATGGAACAACCCCTACTTAAGATCTAAATTGGCAAGCAAAGAAAATGAATACAGCTGCAAGAAAAAGCATTGAGCTCGACAGTAGCAGAATGCCAGCTTCTACTTAATTAAAAAGCTGTTAAAAATAATGATTGAGACTGGTGCATTTAACACGGTCAATAACCGTCAGATCTGCAAACAATGCCGCTGTTCAGAGGGAAGGCAGGAATTCACCTCCTAGTATCTTGTCACGGGCAGCTTACAATCCACACGCTCAGCAGACGCCTGTTAAAGAAAAAAAAAAAGAAAAAAAAGGCTGTTAGGATAAAGCTGAGGTGCAACTTTTCCCATAGCAGTTCCTGCAGTTTAAGTCCTTGCTGAGACTTTCTCTGGAATGATCAGGGGGAAATTTTGGCTCAATTTAAGCCTTTTCTAAAGTACTTTAGAAAGTGTTATAACCCCCCCCAAGATGTGAAGCTGTTTGACGTATTGCTGCCTCAGAGCTGCCCATCGCTGCCCAGAGGCTGCAGTTAACTCCCACGAGAGAAGAAGTGGTAAAAGCATATCTGGGAGCTTCCACATCGGTTACCACACCTAAACCTCAAGGCCAGTCAGCAAAGTGGATGGTATTTTTCCTCACACAAGAGCAACAAGTGAAAAATAAAGGTCTGTTAGGCTGTACTTTGGGAAGAACACTGACTTTTCACATTGCTGCGTTACTTCCTTCTGTAAATAAGACTGAATTAATATTAGAGACACATGGGGAGTTTGAAGTGACTGTACAAATCTGTTAAAGCTTGAAGAGTAAATTCTGAGGATTCAGTGTTCCCTGCAGACTTGCTCTACATCTCAGTGGTGCCCAGAATGTAATTTCCTACATTAAGAATGTTCCCAGCCCGATTCCAATATTCTGGATTCTACATCTATCTGCCCAAATTGATCCCAACCTGTTCCTGCCCTGAACAGATGTTTTCTTTCCTCCTGCTGCCACCACACAGTACTAGTTTTCACATTCCAAATACTACTTTTAAAATAGAAATAAAATCTTATCCTAGGATCAGAATTTTATCTTCAGAAATATCCAGCCACAGAAATCAGGTGGAGTAGCTGTCAATGCAAATTCACCTTGATATTCAAATGTGTCTCTTGCATATCCAAAGTTTGTCACGTCCATCCCAGGCAACTAAATAGAGCAGATACCTCGTTTGTAAGGCCACAGACAGAAAACTGCAGTAACAAAAGCAAAGAAAAGGTTCCTGCTTGGTAAGCAGAACTGTGTATGTGTGAAAGTAGCTTAAAGAGAATGACACTGCCAGCCTGGCCCCAGCCAGCTGAAACAAAATATGATAATGTTCCCTTGTTTCACATCAAGCATACAAATACAGCAGGTCCCAAATACACCTGATACATATTTGACAGCAGCTCGATCTTTTTCCAGGTTCCATCTACACTTTCTATCACCCTACCTACCCTAAACAACTCTTCCAAAGGTCAGGGAAATAATTAAGTTGTGGTACCACTTCCTTATGCCCCAGCCCAACCACCAGGGCAGGCCTACACCTTCCCTGGTAGGAACTGCCAGGTGAGCACAGGGAGGGGAGCTCGGCCCCAGCGTGCCTGCCTCACACCCCCAGGTACCTCTTGAGCCTGCTGGGCATTGGCACGGTGCGGGGAAGGCTTCCTACAGCTGGGCCATAAGGCTTCTGCTGCTGTGGCAGGGCCAGTTTGCAGCCTTTTCTCCTACTGCTGTAACTTAAACGTGCTTTTCTGCCAAATTGCTGCAGCAAAACTGATGGAAATCAAACTCCAGAAGATTTTGGGGGCCTGCAGGTACAGCAAATGGCCAGCGCAACTTTTTATGGAAGTGTCTCTCAGACACATATATAAAAGAAAGCAAAGACTCAGGAAACCAGCAGTGTTTCTTCACTCACTGTGTTTGGACCAGAACAGAAGCATCCTCTCTAAACTGCAAATCAAACGGCAGAAACACGAACAGAGGTGACAGTCACTCGAGCTCTTCGGCTAAGCACTGATACAAGACAGGTATTGATCCAGGAGGAACATCAAAAGCCTTGCTACACGATCCTGTAAAATACCAAAAAAAAAAAAAAAAAAAGAAAAAATATTCCTTGTAGCTACCTTCAGCAGCAGGCACTCTAACACGTTGTTAAGCCCTGGCCTAGGTGGCTATCTGTAGATAAGAGGTGCTAGCACAAGGAAACGCTTGCAGAATTAAGGCTTGTAATGGTAAAACTTACAAAGGAAAAAACATACAGGTTGCTGGAATTTATTTGGATTACATCTATTTATGTTCTACTGTCTGCAAGTAGCCTATCTCAAGGTTTAAAGTGACTTAAAAATTAAGTCAAATAATGTTTAATATTTAGCTACCGTAACAGTACAGACCTGATCTGTATAGTACCAGCCAGTAAGATCAAGGTCTTAACTCATCCTATGAAATCCAGCTGCTAAGTGGACGAGTCGAGCAACTCTTTCTCACGCAAGATTTGCTCTCATTCTCGCAAGACAAGTAAACACCACGCTGCAGCATGTTAGCTGGATTTATAGAATAAAAAAATCTAATTATGGTACTATAGCCTTGCTGTGGCAATGTATTATGGTAGTACGGTACCTGTTTAGTATGTTATTTTTACCAGGAACTGAAAATGGAATTCCCAGAAAAGCCTGCAGTATCATCTCTGAACAGTAATTTGACTGTTTATTAATCCAAGATTTACTAGTCCACATTAAATAACTATTTAAGGAAGTAGGTGATCAGTCATTAATATTTAGTTCCTGATCTACAACCATAGCAATCACCTGCAGCAATAAGAAGCCAATGAGCAGTTAGAAGATGTCACCTCTTTTAATACATCTTCCAACTCAAATTCTGATTTTCATACTGATATACATTCCAAAAAGTTAGGTTGAGAATTAATTTTCATATGCAGTAACAAAAATAAATGTAATTACTGTTGTTTAAGGATCACGCTTCCAAATATACTACGAGATGATGATGAATGCACAGGTGCCAGAACACAAGCCAGCAAGGGACAGCTTCTATAAGCAGAGATTGAGAAACCAGAGTACAAATGAAAGTATTTCAAACAATAGCTACACTGAACCACCAGACTAACTCCTCTGTTCACCTTCACTAGAAGAATACTGAAGATTTAGGAATTTTTCTGTATGAGCAGAGAGCTAAGACCTATCACGTTCATCTCAAACTTGCAGCTTTTCTCCCTCCTGCTCTCTGCTTTTCTTTTGCCTTTCTGCCTATTGCCAATTCAAAAGCGCAAGAAGATGCAGCAATACAGGTGGGAAGGCAGAGGGAGGAAAACCAGCAGCAGCCCTTCATTCCCATACGTGCTGTAACAATAAATTCTCACTTCAGAGGCCAGTCACTGAGCACAAAAAAAGCAGGTTCTCCAACACTCGATCCTCCCTTTTCAAAAAAACTCTGCTGAAAAGACCGTACACCCTACTTTTTAAGATGCTCTTGACACATTTAGCTGTCCATCCGGTTACCCACTCAGAAATCTTCAGCCCTGTTCCAACACCACTACTTTCCAGCCACCAGAAGTTAATTCATGATGAAAGCAATTCCCTGTGTGCTTCCCATTGCCTGCACTGCTCTCAGCAGGACCACAACCCTCCCCTACCCTGTTATTACAGGCATGCCTTCAGAATCTGGTGCATTTTAATTCAATATCATGCCATTTCAAACTGCCTGCCTTTTCAATCTTACGGAACACAAACACGATCCTTTTAGATCCTGGACTACAAAGACTTCCTAAGCAGATGCACTGTTAATGCCAGCATTCAATTTCATGAAGCAGGGAGTTTGAACCATGCCTCACGTACGCTGTAAACAGCAGAGAAGAACAAAGAGGCTTCAGGCAATTTCAAAACACATCTGACGACTCATTAAATGACAGAGAAGTACAGGAAGCATTTCCTGAAGCTGGACTGTTGAGAAAAATTCACTGGCAATATGGGAAAAAAAGAAAATGTGCATCTTGTCACCGAGTAACTATCACATTTGGGCTTTTACCAGACACAGAGTGAAGTGACAGAAGCATGGCACTGCCAGGACATGGGCTGGCTGTTCAGGGCAGTCTCAGGAGACAAAAATTGCTGCTGTAATAGAAAAAGAATGTATTTAAGCTGCTGAGCTTAGCTATACAGTACAGAAGCAGGACAAGGAAGGGAAGAAAGGAAGTAACGCTTCAGGAGTGTGTGCATAATAACAAAGACTTGCTCAAACCAGAGTGGATTTAGAGAAGCAGTGAAGAGCATTGAGATACAAACCACAGCTCTCACATCAGCAGCTAACACCACACCTGCTCTTCACCTCTGGAAATGTGAAAAATATCCAGATGGGCTTTATAGTATCCGAGACAAGCTTGTTTTTAAAGTACAATGTAACTTACAAAGCCATCCTCTTCCCTCTTATCTGTCACAGCAGAGCACTCAAATTTCCTGCAAGCAGTGGACTGAAGTCCAATGACTAAAGCTGCAGTAGCGGCACGATGCGTTTCGGAGTAGGCGTGGGACAAGGAAAGAAGAGCTGAAGCACTCCGTGGCTCATCAGCAGATGACACCCCCAGGCAGCGGGGTTCTCAGCACCATGACCAGGCAAATAGAGAGCAGAAACATCTGGTGACACCGCAACAAGCAGCCCACATTCCAGAGGGATTCATACAGTCACGCTGAAACTGCAGTCTGCGCTGTATCTAGCTATGGAAACACTGCTCACCTCCACATAGGATGTGGAGAGAAAACCCCTACCTGCAGGACAGGCCCCTTCGAACTGCTCCAGAGCAGCTCTCTGCCCTGGGATTAGAGATCCTTGCTTCATGATCTGTCCTTAAACTCTGCACTGGACCAAGAGCTTACAAAATAGCTGCTGTTATTTATTTTGTTTTTCAAGATGGCACCATCCCAAAGTAAGACCCACTGGAGACTCACCAGAAAATCTTTTGTCATGGGCAGGGACACCTCCCCATTACTGTATCCCAACAGAATAACAAGTGCTACTTTCTTTAACCAGATAACCCTAAAACAAAGACATTAAAGTCACCATTAGCAACCAGACAACTCTCAGAATCCCAGAAATTGCTATTTCTTTTTAGTTTGGGTTTAATTTCCAATCTATTACACTTGGGTAAGAAACGAAGCTGTAGGACAGCTCATGTGCTCTCATACACAGAATGAACCTCCAAGCAGACTGCTAAGGAAATAACTGATGCTGGGGCAGGACAATTTTTTCCCTTCATATAGTAGCGCTGCTCATTTTAAAAGCTATGATGCAGCTCTTCAAGAACTTTTCACATCTTCACTAGACAACAATCATTTAATTTGGATAATTAGTCAGCACTAATTGAGTGCCAACCTGTCATCACAAGAACTCTTGTTAAAAGTTTTATGTGACAGTACGACTAAAAATAAAACGGAAGAAAAATTTTACAGCTTGTGTTAGCAGACAGCTGCAGCGTAATCCTAGTAATACTTTCACCTAGACTAATCTGAATGGACCAAACCTATCTTTGTCCAAGTCACGTATGAGGTTTTTTTGTTTGTTTTAATTATTCTCCTAAAGCAAATATCTTCAGCTATTGTCTACTGCTCATCACACTGATTAGCAAAGCCAACTTCCCTGTTGTTTCCAGTCAGCAGCCAGCGTACCCGTACTGGGCACAGCATCTTTCACAAGAACTCCATCTACAATCATTTTCCCAGTCTAAACAGTGCGTCTCCAGGTAACACTGCAAAAGAGGGAAATTCAACTCCAAGAGATAATTATGTTTTCAATTGGAAATTCTAAGGAAAAGATGATTCACTGAAATAAATTCTGGTTTACAAAACCAGATATGAGAAGTATCTCTACCGTATCGCTGTTATGTAGAGGGGCAGATGAAAGATTTCAGCCAAGAACAGCTTCAGAGGAGGTTCCGTTCCTAACTACTGCCTGCATGCCACACAGAACGGAGAGGAAGGCCAAGAGGCCTCGTACAATGATGGCCATGTATTTAGATGGCACACGTAGGAAGCAGAAGAAAACCACCCGAGTGCCACCTACACCAGCTCTCCCAACACTAATTCATTTTCACCCTAGACCAAAGACTGGATATAGCTCTATGCTAGTCGAAACAAAGGGCTTACAGGGGTACCAGCAGACAGGACACGCACAAGAGGTAAAGCTGGCTGCGTGCTGGGACACCGAGCTCTCCAGCCCAGCCATAACTCGACACAGTTCCTGATTCAGCTCACACAAAGACCTGCATTGATGCAAGTGCTGGGAGAGCAGGGCGTGGAAGCGTGCACATACACAGATCCTCTCTGGATTTCCTTGCTTGTCTCGGTTTAATACTTTAGCTTGCTTTTCTCTTTTTTTTTTAATCTTACTTTATACACATGCACTGATTGCATAGCCCCACGGCAGTCCTAAGGTGCAAAGCTCATCATCGCTATCAATTTTTTTCAACGTGAGTCAAGTGCTGTAGAAGACGAGGCTTACTCATACTTTAACGTTGCTTTTTCTTTGCTTATGTCACAAGTCAAACAGTTGAGCAACACTGTATGAATTCCTTCACTGCATCACCAGGTTTCCTACCGGTGTCTTGCAAGCAGTTAATATCACGATCACATTAACTCCGCACACAGAGCCAAGTAACGGCACAACTCCAAAATAAAGTTTATCAGTTAAGGTTTAACAAGTGGGACTGGACTTGTTCCCCGTAACACGAGGCATCAGGTACTCAGAGTATTGCTTTTTTGTCATTCTAGCCCCAAAGTCAGAAGCCCGTGTCTCAGGGAAAACCACATAGGAGCAAAGCATCCCTTTTACCTTGAGCTTCAAGTGAGACATACGGGATTATGCACAGACCCACAATCATCTGTGGGCAAGCTTCTTCAGCACACAACTCCTACTCTTCTAAGTAAGGAAAGCTGGTCTCACCTACACTGCTCAGCGACTGCTGCAATACCACCAACAGCACCAGCACAGCCGTTCAGGATTTCAGCATCGTGTGTTCAATTCTGCTCAAAAAGGCTAATACCAGACAGTTTAGTCACCACTACTGCCTCGTTTGCATTCACTTTCTCACCTGTGCAGAGCAGAATGCTTTAAGGGAGGAGAAGAAATCCCACTGATGACTGAGATCACAGCCTGGACAAAGCATATATTCTATGACAGGTCTCCATCGCTAACCAGTTAGAAGTTTCATCCATACGATAAAAATTAGAGCACGGGCAGCCCTTCTTACAAAGCTGTAGTGTCATGCTATCAAATTAGTAAGCTATTGGTCTTGGCTTATTTGGCATCGAAGATACCAGCATATTGGCAATCAAAGGCTGTTTTCAAATGTTCTTTCCAGAACATACACCAGGGTTGTGAAACTCCAACCAAGGCGTTTCTGTCTGTCTGACCTCTGTATACTGAAGAACACCATTCACGAGGACGGTGAGGCACTGCTGTTCTCTAACCCGATCCTCTTACAGAGCTTCTCCAGAACCCCTGAGGGGAAAAAAACAAACAGGGAAAAAAAGTTGATCTTTTGCAGACCTGAATGAGTCAACTGAGAGCTCTAAAGAAGACGGACTTCTGTTAATTAATAAGAGGTATTATGTAACATTTGCACATTAAAAACACCAGTGTTCCGTGTGCTTCTTGAAGACAGGATCATTTTCTTCTACATCTCTACTCTTCTGAGACTGTTTTGTTTCTGATGAGATTTTTGTTTCAGCTGGAGGCAGCAGGGTCTCAGCCTATAGTCTGAAGGTAAGCTATCCATAAGGACTACTGATTTAACACACTGCCTTTTACCAAATAACAACAGAGCCTATCCAGAAAAGAACTTGCTTTTTTCTATACCTCTTTAAAAAGCCAGCTTCAGGAAATTCAATATTAGCCTAGGGAAACGATAAGCAGCATACCTGTTAATTAGGACCAAAGAAACCATTCTCTCTGCTTGGTTCCTCAGTCCTCTTCTCAACACTTTGAAATACTGAACTTTGCAAACCTAATAAACATCTGTCAACCATACCAAATCTAGTAAGTCTTTTAAAACAACAGAGAATATTGTTTTAAAGCCAAGGCAAGAAAGGACGATTGAAGAATTCCAGAAAAAGACGAGAAGGGCTCAGAGGCAATAAGGATCAAGTTTACGTTTCACCCCCCTCTAAACTGGATGACGTTTCAAGGGGACTGCCTTCTCTCCTGATGCCTCTTCAGAATTTCAATTTCTCCTGCTTTTAGAGCTCAGCCACCCCCTCCTGAAGCCAATGGCACCGCAAGCATTCATTGCAGTCGCTGATTGCATTTCCTTCTCAATATGAAAGAGCAGCTGTTTTCCATGCTGTTTCGACAATTTCCTTGTACAGCAAAACACAGCAGGACGCCGGTCACATGTGGCTTTTTTAGCACGTTCTGCCTGTCACATTTTAACTTCTGGAAAGTTTACACCATAAACCAAGCCAACAACAAAGCCGGAGGACCCTACCCCTAATCCTACACGCAGCTTTCAGCCCCACAGGAGACCCTCCCGCGGTGTGCACGGTCTGGCTGGAAGCACCCTAACACCAGACCCACCTGGGCAGCCGATTTTGCAGGCCAGGAGCCCCAAACCCGCACCCACACCCCACAACCCAACCCTGCTCACCCACCCAGCAGGGGCTTCAACCACCCCCCCGCAGGAACGAGGACACCCTAATGCTAGAAAACAACCTTCGCACTGATCCACCACAGCGCTATTTTTTTGTCAGGGGATTATTTAGGGGCGTAGCGAGCCCCCAAGCACCCCCAGACACGGGGACGAGCCGCCTCACGGCATGGAGACCTCAACGGGGCGCTCCCACACCCCGCTTTAGTGGCGCCCCGCACCGAGCCCCACCACCACAGGGACACCCCCCCGAGCCCAGCCCCGGCCCCCTCAGGTTCCCCTAGAGCTGAAAGGGCCGACAGCGAGCCGACACCCACCCACCCCTTACCCCTTTCCCCCTTCCCCGCTCCCGGCCGCCTCACCGTGAGGGGCCGGCGGGCAGGGCGGCAGCTCCCCCATGGCCGCGGCCTGACACATCAGCCAAGATGGCGGCGCGGGCGGAGCCATGGCGGAGCCGGCCCGCAGTGGGCGGGAGACGCGCAGGGGGGACGCGGGGACGGCCCCTGAGGGGCCGAGCCTGAGGTGTTGAGGCATTCTCACAGCAATGGGGAATGCCTCTCCCGTCTACCAAGATGGGTGTGTGGCACGAAGTAATCCTCACCCCTTCGTCATGAAGAGAATGGTGCCTCGCTTTTCTGTCGCGGTGCAATAGGACGGGTTAGGGTGTTCCGGGGTCGGGCCCCGGCGAGCGTCTGCCAGAACTTCACCGCTTCTTTGCTGAGGGGGTTAACAAAAAATAAAAATGAAATTTGCCCGGCAGCAAAAGCCTTGATTGCATCTAGTGGTGAGAGAAGCAAGTGCTCTGCGGAACACGGTTTGGAATCCAGAGGACAATATAAATGCCTTTTTTTATCTAATAAAAAATAAATTGATAGAAGTACATTAGCAGACACTGTAAGTGATACCAGCTGCATTTACTGTAGCAGCTTGGCTGCCCCAAGCAATGGCATCTGTCCCCTAGGAAGTTAAACATAACGAGCCACTTGGAGCAACTGGGTCAGGAGGGACCTCAGGAGCGTGTGGTCCAACACCCGCCCCTCGGCAGGGCTGACTTTGCCACCTTACACATACTTTTTTTACACATACTTTTTTATTTGTTTTTTTCAGCAGTGATGAAATCAGGTTAAGAAATTTGAGGCTCTGCTCTCCCAGGGAGGCAGGCAAAAAGGACATTTGTAGGCAGCTGGACTCTCCACAGCACATAGGCTCAGGTACTTCTGACTCTCTTTTAATACCAATGCTGAACCCAAATTTTCACCTAAACACCATCTTCTCCCCAGCAGACAGCTACGGGTACTTTGTGAATGATAATGTCAAGACCACAGGTCAAGCCCCTTCCCCAAACTGTCTGCACTCAAATTAAATAAGAACAACCAAATGACTGCAGCTCTTAGGTAGCCAGCAACAGCTCTCATTCGGCACCACAAATGGTGTGGATGACAATTTCTGAGCAAGAGAACTTACCTTCTAAAAGACAGTCATATGCACAGACTCCCCTTCTGCTGCAGACATAAGCTCTGCATTGCAGAGGCAGAATCAGAATTAGGCCTGTTTTTTCAGAAAGTCACAGTTGGAGCTTTTGCCTCTTGTTTTGTTGTCTTCTAAGAAAACAGAAGAATATATTCATGTAACTGCTCAATTTCTAGCTCATGTTTTTTAATTATATAGCTTTTTATAGCTCTGCCTACTGCAGGGGCTTATGATCCTCCATTCTTCCCTTCAGCTGTAGAAGTGTCAGCATCCCCACTGTAGGGGTAAATAAACAAGGAGGTGGCTGAAGCAGCAGAAGTGCTTAACACCCGTACTCCTCCTCACTCCTCCAGACCACTGGCACTGGAGAGCCGTGGCTGGCAACACTGAGGAGGAGCCAGGAGGAGGGCCCCATCCTCTGCAGTCATTAGCAGGCTGTTCTGTTGTAATGTAATTACTGCAAGCTGATTTAATTTCACATCATGCCTTTCATATAATGGCAAGATGACCTAAAGAGTTATTATTTTCTTCATTAAGAATTGCTTTCATTAACTACCTATTTTACCCTAAGTAAGCATGGCTTGCCATGGGTCTTTGGGAGCACCACCCATGAAGCCCCAGGAAGCCTGCCTTCTCTCCCTGCGTCAGGTAAGTACAGCATTGCAGCCTAAGCTGCAGTCCTGGTGCCAAGGCCTGCCCACCATTGTCGTGTCTAATTTATGCACAGAATCGTTCAGTCCTAAGCATGACTATAATTACACAAGCGCTCCGATTAAGTCATACCTGGAAAAGACTATTTTCATTGTATGCTTCTCAGACTGCCCTTTGTTGAGCATGTAGCACAGTGGTGTCCCAGCTATTTCCTAGGCACTTGGATCCTACAAATTAGAGCTAATGACACACTGGTACAGTATTACAAAACCTACATGCAGGCAAGCCTAAAGCTCTGACTAGTATTTGCAGGCAAAGCACATCGACCTCCAGCAGCTATTGCGATGTTGCTCCTGTTCAGTCTCTGTGCTAACAGCACTCCCCCCAGCTACCTCTAGCACTCCTTTGCATTTATCTTTTTCCATTGTTGAAGCCAGACCTGTTCTTTTTCTTTTCAGAATTAGTTTTCACTGCTGTCATTTTGTGCCCTTTCTGGTTGCAGTATCCTAAGGCATGGAACATCCCAAATGACCGAGTAACATTTAAGAAACAAAAACAACGAAATGAACACGAACATTCGTTGTGGCTCAGTCATTCTTTGACACTTTTAACTGCAAGAAAACTTCATGCCAGTTCACGTGCTGATAAAGTTCTGTCCCCAGTGGGATACTTGATTCTCCTTTTCATTTCACCCTCTCAGTATTCTTCCAGCTCAGTCTAAAATGTTAATTAGTGTCATTCCAAAAGACTGTTCAGACTAGCAGCGTTGCTTTGATTCATCCTTGGGGGTGGAAATGGTAAGCCTGCTAAAGGTACTAAAAATATCTGGATATGTTAAATTACAAAGATAGTATAAACTTTTTTTGAGAGAGAGATTTGAATGCCAGGGAAGCATTTCTTAATGCCTCAGTTATTAGTGTTTCATAGGCACTAATTTCTGGGCTAACCTTAGGGACAGAGGAACATGGCGTGGGGAGGTAATGGAGGCCGCATTGTGATTGCCCCAACTCTCTGCAACCCTGCTGTGCATGCTCTGCTGTAAAATGGTGGCCAAATTGGCCATTTTCCTGAAATGCCACATTCTCCTGTCAAATTTATCAGCAGCCACTCCACTGTAGCCAGCTTCTGCTGCTTGCCACAGTGGGCTGAAGTTCACAGGAGCCAGGAGAGTTGCTTCTCTGACTTGGGTAGGTCACACCCCACACAACTTGTTAAGAATAAACTCTGTACCTGATCTTACACATCTTAGCAGAGGGCACAGCAGCCTAAGCACCAGAAGAGCCACGGTTCACTTATTTTCGGTGAATATTTAACTGTACGGCACTGGGACCACTGGCGTGCTCTGTGGGGTCAGGACATCAGGGTGCACCTCGTCTGAAACACGAGGAAAGGGAAGATGGATGAAGCACCACATCTTGTAGGCCACAGGGGAAAATCCCAACACTTTAAAACAGAAGTTTATTGATTATTGAGCTTCACAGCTCTCAGAGGGAGGGCGCCCACCCCCACAGGGCTTCCCCAGGCATCACCGGCTCCAGCCCCCCCTACAGCCATGTGTCCCGCAGCGCCGGGCCGGACCCTTCCGGGGGAGGAGCGCCGGATCTGAGGAGGAGGAGAAGGAAGAGGAGGAGAAAGAGGGAGAGGAGGGAGAAGCAGACGGGGCGCTCTTGTTTGCCCGTGGCCGTCGAACGAGGCCCAGCAGCTGCGTGGCGCAGCCCGGGGGGCGCAGGGCGGCCCCGGCCCCTCGCAGCGCTCCGGGAGTCGGGGTGAGAGCCGGTGTCCTCGCCCGGCCCCAGACGGGTGTCCTGGGGCTAAAAAGGCTAAATTCTGTCCCCAGTTAGTTAAAGTAGCGCCTGCTAGTTCCATTTGGTTTCAGTTATTAGAGTTAGTGGTTTGCTTGATTGCCATGTAAATGGGTATGCACAAAGGCAGCTCTGCTTTATTTGCAAGTACATTGTAACTTAATTTCCTCAGTATAATGTAGTAGGAGGATCTCTTTATAGCTAAAATAGGCGTATGGTGTGTTAATGTTTGGAAAACAGACGTTAGAAATTCCTTTAGGCAACGTCCTGTAGCCTGACGGTGCTGGTCCAGAAGCTGGCACTCCTCAGGGCTCTGCTGCGGAGCCCTCATGGGGGGCTCTGCCCCCATTATGGGGGGGTTTCAGCTGGTGCTACAAGTAGACATCGCGTACTGAAGCGAGTGGTTTGGTTAGCTCATCACCTTGTTTCTGCTTCTCAGCGAATGCCACTCGTAAAGGACTGCTTCTTACTTACCTTTGGTCAGAAGTGTTTGTTGTTAATGCCTTTGGCACAAGCTATTACTTCTTAGTGTGCAAACTGGTGGTGAATTATCCTTCCAAAAGTGATCTTTAAGTATAACTCCAGATTATGGCTTTAAAATATTCAACTTTTCAATTTGTGTCCTTGCCTGAATTGATTTCTTAAATCTATGCTTCTTCAGTCACCTGGCATGCAGTCGCCTTTTGTCATACTGGGACCTGAACTCTGACACGATGGCCGAGCCCCTTCACGCGAAGTACAGCGGTAATAAAGTTGCAGGTAATGGTTAAAGCAGAGAAGAGCCACTTTTCTGTTGCAAAGTCCTCAGTTTGGAGGCTGAACCTGTGAAATACATAACAAAAATGAGTATTTTGTGAAGCAGTTACATGCTTTTTTTGGTCAAATGTGTGTGTGTGTGTTTTTTGTTTTGTTTTGTTTTTGTTTTTGTAAAAAAAAAAAAAAGGTACAGAAAGCGTTATTTTAAACTGCAGCACAAGAGTGGATGACTGCAATAAAAAGAGATTTTGTCCAAAGCTTGACAAAGGTATTTTAACTTTCTCTGTATATGCATAATCATTATAAGGATCCTCAGTAAAAGTTTGGCTTATAAATGCAAATAATTCCTAATTATTCAGACTTGGATGGCTAGAAAGGCCTTAGATACTAGGGAATTTGGTGCAATTGTGTGGTAGGAATTGGAGGCTTCAGTTATTGTTCTCAATTATTCCAAAATGGGGGGGAGAGGGAAAGGATTGCTACTGGGAGATCTGAGGTAACTCAGTATGCATCCATCTGGAGGGTTCATTAAGTGTGATTAATTTGTTTCCAGGTAGAAAAAGGGCCACACAAGCTTTATATTGGCTTGGTGGAGAATTGGGGCTAAAAAGCCTGTTGGACTGGAACAAGTTCAAAAAGGCATGTGTGGTCTACAACTGAAACCACAGCTTTTTTTTGTAGATGAATGAGTTACCCAGTACTAAAAAAAATATAGTTCTGAATATGTTGGTACGCAGATTTATCAAACAGCTTTTACAAGACAAGCGTTCAGATACAGAATAAACTTGGGAAATCACAAGGCTTATAAGGCACTCAATTGAAAATAAAATCTGTTTAAGTTGTTTCAGAGTATTTTTGGTTTTGAGTACTTGATTTATGGATGGTGGTCATTAAGGCCTCTATTGAGTGATAGGACCAGAGCAGTGAAACTCTTGCTCAAGTAGTACTGATGGTAGGGTTTCAATGAATATGGCATCAGAATGATAAGAAGTGACTAGCAGAATATGTAATGTTCCTGTAGCATCTCCGTTTGCTCACGTGTGCTAGCAGAACAGTAGAAACAGAAGGCTTTTGTGTTTTCCTGTAAATACTCCATAACACAGGCACACATTAGTATTGTTAAGACCACTTTGCAAATATTTCTTCTCTTAGGAAGTTCCATGGAAGGCACAACCAGTAGAAGAAAGTTGCCACAGGCAGCTGGAACTGATAAAGGAAATACTGTGAGTTATTGCACTTTATAATTGCCTCACATACTCTGGGTGTTTCTAGATAGCAGAGTGATCAGCATAAATTGAACATCTCTTTCAAGAACTTTGGAACTTCTGTCACGTTTCGATGCATTAGAATATTTCTATCCAACTGGGTTGCTTTTTCTGGTAAGAATCACCTTAGATTTTTACAGGTGTCGCATTCTGATCTGATTGAGGAGCCAAAGAAGTTGCAATATTCCTATGAGAACGCTTTCTCTATTGGCTATGATAGGAGTCTCTTTAATTCGCTAGCATCACCTCCTCAAACGAAAACTTGCCATCGTTGTGGTCTGTTTGGTAAGTTGCTGTTATTCTGTAGTCTGTGATGCATGATGTATTTGCCAGTGAAGCAGGATCATAAGAATTACTCAAAAATGCCTTAACATAGAAATGTATTTTATTTGTCATATGCAAATGTAGTGACTATTCATAACGTAATTGGATTTACAGAACTGATAAAATGAAGAGAGCGTCTCTTTCTTAATCAAATTGTTGGTTTTTTTTTTACTTAAGTATAGAAGGAATTTTGGGCAACTGGAGCAGTAATAGGTATTTACAGATGAATAAAAACACTTATTTGTATCTGCTTAGAACTGTAGTAAGACCCGCTACTAAGCAGTTATTTAATAATACATGGAGTTAGTATCTTAACAGCTGTTGTCTTTTCCCATAAAGATATTTCTTTGACTTTTTTTTTTTTAGGATCCCTCAGATGTTCGCGATGTAGGCAAATAAACTATTGCTCTGTAGATTGTCAGAAGGAAGATTGGCCATCCCATAGAGTTGTGTGTGAGCCAGTTAAACAGAAGTAAGTTTGTTAAAAGCTCTGTTAAATAATATTTACAGAAATATGATAATATCCCTCTTAATACAACTTAAATTACCATGCCAGGGCACTATTACAGTAAAATAATTTGCTTATTCTTAGGCTAATATTATGTCAGGATGACTTGGTAGTGTTTAGTGTTCTTACGCGTGAATTAAGTCAACAGAAATTAGTTCGTATTGGGATGATGTGAGCATGCAGTAAGAATACCAGTTCATCATCTGTGTTACTGCTGTTGGTGACGTAGGGAATGGAGGACAAATAAGCCTGTACTTTTAAGCAGTGGCACAATTAATGGAGTGTTTTAACAGACTCTAAAGAGGCAAACTGTAAATGTAACTGTAGCATCGTTGAGTTTTATGGATATTTTATCTTTCATCAGCACAGTTGCGATTAGAAGATGTTGTTTCAGCCAGTTCAATTCTCTAGCTGCTCTTTGTCATTTTTTGACATGCCAGTAGAGATGGTCAAGAGATCACTGTCTAGTCTCATTCAGCGAAATGAAGCTCCATTTGGTTATGGTACTGTACAAATTGCCTGGCTTTGGAGAAGTTTTGGAAATCTGAGCATTTAGACTGACTAGTAAAGGGTGATGATAGCAATTGTTCAGTGAGCCTGCAACCAGGTGTCCATAATTAGTTCACAAGAGACATGTCTTTTCCCAAGTTTTGCTACAGTCTCTGAATCATGGGTGTGGGAGAAGGGGATTCAGTCTGGTATGTTATCTGGTTTTTACTTGTGTGTTCAACTGAAACAAAGATTTATCTTTTTTTTCCTGGTTTTGCAGTTTTTAAGGCTTATTTGGGATTGCAATGTTAGCAGAATGCCACAACAGTGTAAGGTTTCTTCTCCAGTTTAACCAAAATTAAATAGTTTTTGTTGATGGAATCAAGAAAAGCATACCAGATGTTATGTGAACAGACCTAACACATTTCTTCTGTGTTTTCTTGGAGGAGGTGTAAGGGTTGAGACAAACCTCATATTATTAACACAACTTTTCTGTTTTATTTGCAAGTAGGTGTTATGAAATGAATATTCCTTGTCTGGTCTTTGGTTCTCTGAAGTTGACACGTTTTTCTTTGATTACAGTTCAAGTAATAACAATGGAGGCAAGATACCTGCTAAAACAGAGACAGGACTTTACCTTAAGGTATAGAATATGATTTTTGCTATGTATTGAATGAAGTTACTGTAAGCTAGTTGCAGGATATGATTTAACCTGTACAGGGAAGGAGCAAATTCCAGAGATAATCATCTGCTCATTTTAGAAAGATCAGTGCTTCTAAGCAAAAGTAACTATGAGAAACATTCAAAAGTATGTTACTTCTAGAGCTATTAGCAAGACTGTCAATAAACTTGATTTCTGTTTGAAATAAAAACATTTGTGATTTGTGTTGCGAGAGAAATATCTTAGGAAGGATACAGATGTAGCTTGTACAGTTCTGAAAAATTCTGGTGTGTTCTTGTTTTCTGCCTATATCCATGAGCTAAAGCTGGGAGTCTTGCAAATATTGGAGAAATACATGTCATGTAGTCCTGTACATTAACAGATGCAGATGAACTCTTGCTTCTTTGCTGTAACAGGATTTAAGCATGATGCAGCTCTCCTTCATAGCATTTTGATCTTATTTTCAGTCAAACATTTCTTTCTGGGGACTTCCTAAGAACAGTTTTGCAGGAGATCATTTTGCTATCATTTTGTTCAGTCATCTGTTTAACTTCTTGAAGCAATTTAGAAAGTACTTCAGCACTTGTTTTTCATCCTCAGTGTCTCTCTTGATAATGTTATTTAGTTGTATAATAATTATTTATCGTATGAACTAAATATAACTATTATAAAATATAACTATTATAAATATAAATATAACTATTTATATTATGGTTATTTCCAAGAGTAATACGAAGTCTTTGAATTCTAATGAGGAGTTCTTAACAAAAGCACATTTGTAGGTACTGGCTGAGATGATAAAATGTTCTTTTTGCATTTGTCATTACACAAAGATGCAGCTGAACAGCTCCAGTCTAAACATAACTTGTAGCTCTTTTAAATAGGGTAATTCAACGTCTGTGGATTCCCTCAAGACAGAAGAGCAGTGCAAGAAAATAATGTTGTCAGATCTCCAGAGTCTAGGTCTCAAAAAAGCTATGGAAGTACAGGTACTTTAATTTTGGAAGAATACAAGAGGTGTTTGAAGCATTGTTAAGTGCGTATAGCTGTATGTTACCTCAGCAATTTGTATCATTTTGTTTGCCTGTAAAATGCCTTTATTTTTATGAAGATAGATAAATGCAAAGGGAGGGAATAATGGGGAGAGATTTATTTCTGTGATGGTGAACATCACTGTCTCCTTGTTCTGAGCAGATACTACTGCTAGATTCAAAACAAAAGAACAGCAGCAGGTGTAGGGTGAAATGCATTTACTGAAATGCATGCTGGTGCTGATTAATGGACTCTGGGGTGTTCTTACATTGTTGTTATGTTCTCTCTTCAGGGTACAGTAACAGAATTCAGGAGTCCAAGTGAATTTTATATGCAGATGAGTTCTCCAGAAGTTTTAGACCAGATCAGTAAACTTTCTGTGAAACTGCAAGACTGTTATGCTAACACAGTTATTCAGGAGCATTATGTTGCTATCAAAGGAGAGGTCTGTGTTGCAAGGAATTCTTTGGATCAGGTAAGATTTGATTGTCCATAAAACAACACTTTTATGTTGAGCGTATCGCGTCTTTGCAAGTTTTGCTTTTATGTCTCTACTGGTGAAAGCTGCTAATTAGAGATCTGTTTATTATATTGAAATTGTGATAGTTAGCAACGTTATAATGCCTGGAACTCAAATTTAAGGCACTCTATTATTTTTTCCATCTAAAAGGTTTACTTTCATATATTTTTACATACTTAAACCAGGTAGAAGTGGTTTGTCCTAGTGTTTCTTGAAGGCTATGGCAGTTTAACAAATCTAAATTACTTTAGTTAGTTTGGAGTATACCTCTGCTTATTTAATTTCTTACCTGGTTGCTAATCACTTTTTTGTAGTCACCTCTAGTTCTCATTTCCCTTCCCATCCCCTTATTTGTATTTCTTCCTCTTTTTTCCTCCTCCATTGTTAGCAGATTTGTGATCCTCTGTAGGAGAGCCCAGATCCATAGGAGAATAACTGTCTTCACAGCAGTCAACGTTGATGTGTTATGTTCATCTCATTTGCTTTAACATTGCTTGGTTGCCTTTGTTTAAAAACAAACCTGGTGAAATAAAGTAAGTTTTGAAGTGTGTGTTTTAGCGAGGAGTGCAGTAATTGTGGTGGTTTGTTATGCTGTGTTCTTACTAACAGTATTATTTATTCCTATGCAGATGTGGAGTAGAGCACTGGTTAAAGATGTGGATACATCACAAAAGAAAGCACAAGTGTTGTATATAGATTATGGAAAGGAAGAAAATATTCCACTTTCCTGGATTAAAGCTCTATGCAAAGACATTGAACTGCTTCCTCCATGTGTGAGTTCTATTTTCCTAACAGTAGTTAAGATTTAAAATGAGTAGCTCTGAAATAAGTATAGCTCGTCTCAGTATAACTACCATTATCGCAGTATTTTGTGTTCAGAGAAAGTGATGCATAAAACTGCTGTATTACACAGGGTTTCATGTCCTGAAATGTTCTATAGGACTGAGGAAGGCCACCCTTTTTTTCGTTATTTTCCTTAGTCGTGGAATTCTTGCTTTCTGAGCTGGTAAAATAACTGTGGGATGGTTGGGTTCACATTTCCCTTTGTGCTGGAAGGGGTAAGGTGGTGCAGCCTTCTTGAGTAATTGAATCAGGTTTTACGCAGTGGTGAAAATGACTTAGAATTTGGGCAAACCTTGTTTGCAGTATTGCTCTTGGTCTGAGTTGCAAGATTGTAATGGTAGCTGTTCATCATCCAACTGATTTCATTGCATGCTGTGTGAATATCTCCCATTACAAAATAAATGGTCTAGCTTTAATCCACAGGTCAAAATAGTATGTTTGACTTGATACAAAGAAGAATAAAGAAGCATTCTTTCAACCAGTGGGTGCCCTGAGTACCAGCTGTTGGAACAGTCTTTCATAGTATGTTCACACGACTCCACTGGGTTTGTAGTAGAACTTGACAGCCTTCTGAACCTTGTCTTAAAACCCTCAGTGTCTACTGCAGGCAAGTTACAACATACACCTGTGGTCAGACATAATGTGACCTTGTAGTCCTGAGGAAATGCAGTGTACAGTTTGAACGTAACTTCCTATTTTTTTTAACTGTTTTGCAAAGAAGTTAGTTGAATTGAGAGCGGTTCAGATTTTAGCAGCAGCTTTTACTCTTCCAAACCAGATGATATTTTGGAGGGCCTTAATTATTTATTCATAGTTTTAAAGGGCAAATAATCCCCGACCTTCCTTGTTTTAATGGTAATTCTTTCCAGGCAATTAAGTGTTCCTTTGCTAATTATGAACCAAAACAAAGAGGATGGAATGAAGGCGACGACATCTTTTCTTCCCAGCTCGTGGGAAAGACCTGTTCAGTAATTGTTGTTGACATATTACAGGAGGAAATGATGTCAAGATTTGCTGTAGATGTTGTTCGTCCAAATTTTTGTAAGTGTTTGTTGTGGGGGTGGAAATGGGCTAGGGGGGAGGTGGGGAACACAACTGTTAAGTCTTTCATACTCACTTCCCCTCTCCACAACACTCCCCAAGACCCTTGGAAGAGGATTTTTTCTTTTTTTGGTTCCCTCCCTCCCCACACCCCTTGATTTTATTTTTTTATATATTTTTAATTATAGAAGCTATTTTAAAGTGTCTGTACCTGAAATATCTAAATGTTTAATGACCTTAAAATTGAGACTGAGTTGATATTTTCAGTTGAGCTTTAAGGGTTTGATTGTAGAACCAGATCAATACAGAAAAAGTGTACCTGTTGTCGTTAAGAGGGCTATTTTTAATCTGGCCACAGAACAAGAACAGTATAGTGATGAGATAATATTCTTTTCGTTAATTTGCAGCCCCAGAAACTTTGAAGAAAGTGATTGTTCATTTTCTTAACTTAACAACTGATAAAATTCCTCACATGCAGGAAGCTTATCTTCATGCCATAGTCTATGGAGTCTATGCAGTCTATGGAGTGATGGCTCACCTTATTCCTGTGTAAATGCCACTGCTTGTGGACCGTGCTGGGCATATTTCACATCCAGTTGCTTTTTGCTACGTTGACAAACTAATATAACGTATCAGCCTCTTGCAGAGAATATCACAGTGATCTCTTGGTCATGGAATAGACACATGCAGTATTTCTTGACCTTACAAGCAATTTAAATATCTGTACTCAGGTTTTGATTTTAAAAGAATTATATTGAAAACTTGAAATACTGATTTCAGTGCTTCTGAAATGGAATAGTAATTACTGAGAAACTCAGGATTTCTTTGTAAATCCTGTGTACTTGGTGTTGCAAGTTCAGACACAGGCTGTGAAGAATTGAAAAGTTCCAATCACTTTTCAGCCAAGTATTCAGTAGTAGTGTCTACAAGAAAATGGTGACTGTGAGTGTTTCATTGAGTCAAACATTCTTGGAGCTATGCGTGTTGTCAGGAAGCTTAAACACTTGAGTTACTCTGAAGCCACTTGGGTCTCCCATTCTAAGTGTATTAGTTGCTTGATAAATAACATGATAGTAACATAGGACAGATTCAGAAGATGGTTCTTAAATTAATCTGAACTATGACTACCTTGTATGCTAAACTGCTTTGCTTCTTGCATCTGTTTAGATAAACTGCCTTTAGAAATGGGGTCTGATTTAACTCCAGGAAGTAGTACCGAAGGAACAGACTCTCCAAAAGGTGAGTGAGCAAACCATACTTTCTAAGTAGGAGACTGAAAAAGGTCGTGGAGTCTTAAATTCTCACATATGAGGTGATGCTTTATGTCTAGTTCACATATTCTACCTGTTCATTAACTTTACCTCCTACTCAAGCATTGGCCAGTGAAGCTTCCTTCAGTGACACTGGCACCTGTGCTTTTTAATAATATAAAATGCTTGTTGAGTGAGGATGTGTCTATTAATTTCATGGATAAAATGGAAGGAGCCTTCAAAGTCCAAAGAGTATAGCAAAACGAATAAACTGCTTCAGCATGTTTTAATTCTGTAGTTTAATTTAGCATAATTTTTATAAATATCTCTGAATCCTGTCTGGGGAGGTCGCACATTGCAAAGTCATCCAGCTTTTGTTCAGTGACATCTTTCTCCTTTTCTTTATTGTACAGTGTCGGAAAACCATTCTCTAGAATGTAAAGAAAAAACACCTGAAGATAAAGATCCGCTTTGCTACGGAAAATCAGTAGCAGAGTATGTCTCTGTGTGTATTGGAGACACATTCTCTGGTGTGGTTTCCCATATTCAAAATCCAGACGACTTCTTCTGTCAGCAGATGCGCAATGGCTGTAAGTGCCTTGTTGAACCTAGGCTGTGAGGTATTTAGCATGACTTTTTGTCTTCAGTAGAGAGCCTCTAGAGGGAGGCATTGCTGGTCTGGTAGTTTGACCTTGTAACGGAGATTTCCTGTGGCTTTAGGCTCTGCCTCAGTTAAGAGCCATGGTGCTGTAAAGCATGTTTTTGGCAGCATTAGCTGTTCACCTCCAAATTAACAGATGATGCTATCATTTGTTGCCAGTCTGAGTAGTCTAAACTAGAAAGATGGTGTTTGTATGGATTATAGCAATCTTGTTGAGTGAATCTGTATATTTAAACAATAAATGTGTTCTCTTAAATGTTAAACATGTTATCACAAGTATTCAGAAGTGTGTGTCGGGTTCTAATTATTCCTTTTTGTTCCTATAATGCCTGTAATGCTGTGCCACTGGGGAGAAGTTGCCTTTTAGGCTGGGTGTGTGGACTGAGCTGCTTTGTTATGTAACGTGGGGAGAATATTTGCACTTCAGAAAGGAGAGAAGGCTGGATTGCAATTCCCAACCCCTGCTTTGTTGTCTTCTGATACAGTAGAGTAACAAGTAACAGTTACAGTGGATCAGGATGCTAGGCTAGAAGGAACTGTGGTGCATCTCACACAATGCCCTTAAACAGATGCTTGGGGGAGAGAGAGCAGAGTAAGTTTGTGGGATGTGTCTTCCTAGCACTCTTGAGTGTACAGTTATTTTCAGCTAAAGTGGCTTTTACAGCTGGATGGGATTTGGCATGCTTACCTTCCTAATCCTTAGTGGTTTTCTCTTTTATACTTACCCAGTCTTTCTCTGAATTCTGGGTAGACCCATAGCTTACGCTTCCTTTGGCAAAAAGTTACTCTAGACATCTACCTGTTGTTTGAAGAGCCATCTTCCTTTTGCTTCTTTGCAGCGTGATTCCACTATCAGTGTTCCAATTCCTACTGGCTTCAGTTATGTTACTGTACTGAAAGAGTCTGACTGGCTTTCCCTGTCTGTTCTCTTTACCATAGTGATTTCTCAGTTGTGCAAGTCTTAGTTTGATCACTTTTTTTATTATTACATTTAACATTACATGAAATAACCTCTGTTATGTTACAGTCTGTTCTTTCTGGCTCTGAACTTAAGATTTATGTACTTAATTATCAAGCAGTGTATTTTCCACAACATGTATTTTAATACCAGGTCATCTTGCTGAGCTTCAGTTGTGTCTTGAAGAACACTGTAACAAACTTCCGAGCAATCCAGATTTCCGTCCTGCTTTAGGAGATTTGTGCTGTGCCCAGTTCACAGGTAAAAGTGAAAGTACGGCTCTGAATCTGTCAGTTTAACTTACTGCCAAATTTAAACGAGTTTTACAATTATGTTTAGAAATGTCTTATACAGGCTATTTCATTTGTCTAGTTTTAGCTATGCATAGCACTTGGTAGTGATTTTTTAATTTAAATTGAAGAGTATTTGATAGATGTCATCGTCATTTACTGATATTTTAAAAAGAATCATCAAATGGCCCCATCATTAAACAAACAACACTGCATTAGTTTGCTGGGTAAAGGACCTTTTAAGGAGACCATGAAGAAATGGATTTAATGCTGCTAAGTGCTATTTCCTGTGGCTGGAAATGAGCATAGTCTTGAAATTTCACACTCCAAAAAGGTGTTTAAAAAAAACAAAACAAAAACAAACAAACAAAAAAACAGGTTATATATAACATTGTTGCCCTGATAGTGTTCTTCACAACACTTTATGTAGCAAAGCGCTGGTAATTATGCACAGTATGTTCATAACTTAGTTTCTGTGTGACAGGCATCACTGTCAAGTTTCTACAAGTCCTATTACAATGTGACATCTTGTTTAAACCTAAACTAGTATTCTGCATAAAGCTGTGTTATGTGCCTGGAGCTGTCAGGTCTATATGAAACATACCTTTTATTTGTAAGAATATGAGGTCCTGTTTGCCTGAGAGCAGGAGGGTAAAGATGAATCTCCTCCTTACGGATATTTCTTCTTTTCATTCACCTTTTCAAAATAGACAAAAAAAAAAAATAAATGCTGCTCTTGTACCTTTTTTCTCACCAGAAATGTTGCTGTTATAACCTCTTTACGTAATCTATGAGCATTCCTGGTCATCTCATTTCCTGTATGTTTTTGCTACTTTTAATAAATTAGCTGTTAAACTGAACAGATAAACTGAAATAAATTAAAAAAAAAAAAAAAAGTTGGTGCTGCCAATAAGCTGTCTTTTTGAGTGGGCATTGGTCTCAGGTGCCTAACTGGGGAAAACCATCAGTTCAGTACTTTAGCTGTCTTGATAAATTTGAGAGAGAGCTTTTATTTCTGCTTCTGAAATCTTTGAGTAGAATTAAAATATATAAATTATATTAGATCATGTTATGTGGCCTTTGAACTGCATGCCATTTCTGTCTGACGAGGTCCTGTTGTGTTTCTTGTTTTTAAATACTGAACTTAACTATATTATGTGGGGTTAGTACTTATTTTTTTCCCTTGCACAATGCCTTTGTGTGTTGGGGCTTCTTAATGGAAAGAATGTTTGTAACATTTAACTACCACGAGGAATGATGGTGGTAGGTGTCTTCTACAGGATTTTGTCAAGGTTAGCATGAACTGTAATGCTGTTGTTTCAAGTCATGTTGAGGTTGCCAAAGTGTGTAAAGTTTTTCTGTCCAAAAAAACACTATGTTCTTGGAAGCAAGTATCTAGTATAAAGAATGCCTGCATGTTCATTTCTAGAAGACAATATTTGGTATCGTGCTGCTGTTATAACGTATACTTCTGAAGATACTGTTCTGGTGGGATACATAGATTATGGGAATTCTGAAGTTCTTCAGACAACCAGACTTCGTCCTATGACTCCAAAATTAATGAACTTGCCAGCTCAAGCCATAAGATGTACCTTGGCAGGTAGGGAATAAACAATGAGCTGTTTCTTTCTGGATAGAGGCAAAATAAGTGTGTTTGTCCAGTTACCATGTGTGCAGTTCTTGGATTGAAGGGTGGCGATACCAGTAGTGAATTCTTAATTAACTGTTGTAGCATATTTACAAAACACGAAGAATTATTTCCTAATCTATTCAGATGCTCAGAAAACTGTTATGTTAGCATACCTATTCTTAGGTTTGAGTGTGCTTTTTTTTTTTTCTAAGCAAAATTCAGTTACCTGCTGGATTTGTGGAGTTCTTAAATCTGTTGTGGCTTTAACACTGCAGGAGAAGGTAAAACTTCATGTTGTATTTTGAAATGCTGAGCTATATCTGTTCCCCTCCCCGGGACTAATCTGATGGAATCAGTCATAGGCTCAGTTGGCAGTCTGCAAAGTTGAAGAGGTCTCTGACACTTAATAGTTTATCCTCCTGTCTCAAGCCAGGATCATGATCTTTTGTTTTTGATGCATTTGTTTAACTTGCTGCTGGAAATTGTTTGTTCCCAATTTGTTCCCATCACTGTGCAAGATAGTCCATCCCTGTGCTTCAGTATTCTTGCCTTAGAATATTTGATTTCTATCCTTTCTTTACAATACTTAATGTTTAACCTCTTATTTCAGGCTTTTTTTTTTTTTTTATTTGGTAAAGGTCAGAGCAGTGTTCTGGCTTCTTGCTTTGTAGGAAAACGTAAGACAGAGGCAGAGATGGAACCAATGCATATAGAATGTGACCTAAAGAAATCACCTTTCTGGGACAATGGGACAAGTTGTGGTATCTGTAACTGTTAACAACTACTCTAGGACTGAGAGACAGAACATGGGGGTACAAAAAAAACAACAAAACATAACAATCACATGAGTTGTTTGCTGATTTGGTTAGGCTTCTGCTGTCCTGTCACTCTAAAGTTCTGGTTATAACTTACTTTTTTGGAAATAAATTTAGTAGTGTAAAGAGTAACCATTTCAGGAAGGAAAAAGCTTACAGTAGCAGATCCTTCTTTCACACAATGTTAATATTGTTCCAAACACACTCAAAACTATAGCTGTATTCATGAGACCCACAGTCTGACACATCTTAGATGTTCAGACTAAGGAAGCATTAAATCCGAATTCATACTTCTTGTGTAATAGACTACTAGCTAATTGCATAATAAAACTCTGACAAGAGAGAGCCCATAACAATGTCCTACAGAAACAGTATCTGAATAATTTGTTTTGGAATATTGTTGCAAGCCTGAGGAGTGAGGGAAGTTTACTGGTATATCTGTTGTTTCAAACAGTGTTGTTTTACCCTTCCACCTATTGTTCAGATATGGACTGCCCTCTGAATCTTTCCATACTGTTTGACTTTTTAGGTGTAAAGCCACTAACGGGAGCCTGGTCCTCAGAAGCTATTTCTCTTATGAAGCAATTAGTGAAAGACAAAGTGCTGACAGTGAAAGTAGTGGATAAAGAGAGTTACAGGTCTGTGGTGGAGCTTGTGGATGCATCCGTTATTCCGGAAATCAATATATCGAGCTATCTCCTACAGAAAAACTGTGCAGCGAAGAAATCAAGGGTGGCCTTGCCAGCAACTGAAATAAGCAATGTTAAGCAAGCAAATGGTGAGTACAAGCACATCCTGCTCAAGTGGTAGTATTTAACCTTCTCCCAGTCTGGATCATGAAGTCTAGCTTCTACAGCTCTGAAGCCTAGCCATCGTGACTTTGACGTGAAGAAATCATGCGTTTGTGTATGTGTGTGCACGTACATAGAAAAGTTGCAATTGTTTACTTGTAGAAGATCATACAAGAATTTCATTTTCTTTGGTCAGCAGTCTTAACATTTCTAGCTGAAGTAAGATATGACTAGCTGATACCTGCCTGTATCTGTGCCCTTGCCCTTTAGCTCATCTTTGTCTATGGTTTACATCTGAAGCCATATGTTCAGTCTTCCAAAAGCTGTTTGACTGCAGTAGCCTGTGTAACTTCAACACTAAAGGGATTAGTGGCCTAAACTGCCTTTCGTGCATTTAGTGACCAAAGCTTTCACATGAGAGATAGGTAGGGGACTAAGGAATCAACTTAGAACCAACTACAATTCCACAGAGTCCCTCATGCTCAAGTTGCTGCTGTCTAGTCTGAAACTTTTGTGATCGCTGCTCCCCAAATACCTATGGCTTGCTCTTCTCTGTAGTGAAGCAACTGGCACATTTCTCTTTTATTACAAAAAGGTTCTCACCAGTAATTAGTCTGGATTACTTATTATGAGAAACTATATTACACAAAGCATGAACATACAGGATGTGATTTTTTTCTCTATAAAAATTAATTTCTCTACTTCTCTTTTAGGTTTTAGGTTAGATGTTAGGAAGAATTTCTTTACTGAAAGGGTTGTTAGACATTGGAACAGGCTGCCCAGGGAGGTGGTTGAGTCACCATCCCTGGAAGTCTTCAAAAGACGTTTAGATGTAGAACTTAGGGATATGGTTTAGTGGGGACTGTTAGTGTTAGGTCAGAGGTTGGACTCGATGATCTTGAGGTCTCTTCCAACCTAGAGATTCTGTGATTCTGTGATTCTGTGATTCTGTGTGATTCTGTGATTCTTTTATCTCTAGAGGACACAGCAAACAAAATAAAGTGGAGATGGAATAAATTAACTCTTCAACAAACAGTAGATGTGATAGTGTGTACACTGTACAACCCTGGAGAATTCTACTGTCAGATTTCAAATAACAGTGGTAAGTTTCTTCAGCTTTTGTCTTCCTGCATAGTTTCTTTGCTTCCTGATATGTTGGTTGTTATAGTTCAAATGCGTTGCTGTTTCAAGTGAGTTTATAGCATGGAGTCTTACCTCTGAATTTTTGTATGTAAGAGCAAAGAGTACGAGTAAAATGATGAAATTGAATCAGGGCATGTAGTGGCTCTGAGAATGAAATGTGAAAATGTTGAAGTTAAGCAATTGAATAGTATTGAAGGGTGCTCAGTGGTAGATAAATCTCTTACCTCATGTGAACTGATGCATGCAACTAAAAAATCTGGCAGTACAGTTATTGGAGGTTCTGTTAATCAGAATGGATCACTGCTAATTTTGGCAACCCATGTCAGAGATGATACACCTCTTTCACAGATGGTTAGACTTGTGGAAGAGGCCCAGACCTCAAAGGCTCCTATACAGCAATTTGCAGACAAACTTTGTGGCTACTTCTTTATTTGTCAGTAAAGATCAGCTTTCTCGCTTCTTGATAAATTAGTCTGCCTGGTAAGTTAACTAGTTAATTCGGTGTCAACAGTTCTTTCAGATAAAATACTAAATTTCACTGAAATCTTCCATTAACTCTTCTTTAAATGTAAACTATACCATAGAAGTATTGATAATGTTCAATCCAACTTACTCTATTGATCTTGTCTTTAATTCTTCTTATTCTTCAGAGTTACGTGCTCTAAACTTACTTAATAAATCATTGTCTGAATACTGCTGGAAAACTCCTCCAAGTATTTTTAAGCCGAAGAGTGGAGAACCTTGCTGTGCTTTATTTTCTGGTAAGTGGCAGACTTAAAATATTTCAGTTTTACAGGGTGAAATAAGGCGCAAAAAACTCCACCCTAACTGATAGTTTATATTGGTAGAAGATAGCAAAGAATTGGTTATATGTATTTTTATTTTTTTTTTTGCTAGTAAATAAATGTGTGTGTGTGTATATCTGCTGGTAAATGCACTAGATGTGTGAAATCATTTTTTCTTTTTTTTAAATCAGGTGATGGTAACTGGTATCGTGCTTTGGTGCAAAATGTTACTTCAGATGGAATTGTTAAAGTATGCTTTATGGACTACGGAAATGTTGAGGAAGTACCATTAGATAAAATACGTCAGATTCCATCCTCGTTCCTACAGCTGCCATTTCAAGGAATTAAATGCTGGCTTTCAGGTGGATCTTCTTAGGAGTTCTCTCCTTATAAGTGTTACTGCGTGTAGAAACTTGTTGCTTGTAGGGAAGGAGCGATGGCATGGTGTACTTCACAGAACTGTTTTATTATAAATGTCTGTCTTGTTTCCAGACTCTGGAAATAATATGCCTCATTTCATCAAGGCACACTCTGCCTTTTTGTCTCTTAAAACACTATAGTTTTCTGCTCCCTCTATAAAGCAGTCTTATACGGTGTTTTCATAAACAGTCCTCAGTGTAATTTGTGCTAAGGGTTAGGGATTTACTTGGTAGAGTATTGTAAGATGTAGAAAATAAAACTTGGGAGTCCTGAGGAAATGTTTCCTTTCTGAGGAAAGGAAGAAGACCAGCTAACAAGTATGAAGTACATTGTGTATTCCCAAGGTAGCAAAAGTAGCCTTGGTATTTCAAGTTGTGTTTTTAAAAAATAAATAGAAATTAGATCTTTAAAGGAAAATACAATGTAGGAGAAGGTCAGTCAGTTAATGGAGTAATCTTGAACAGATCTCCTCCTCCATAGGTATAAAGCCTGCTAACGGCAAATGGATTCCAGAAGCAACAGAAAGATTTCACGCATTCTCTGCAGGGATGAAGCTTCAAGCCAAAGTAACTTCCCTTTCCAGAGACGGGGCAGGTGTAGAGCTTATTAATAATTCCACAGGTTATCCAAAAGTGATCAATGAGATACTAACTTCTGAAAAATTGGCTGTAAGGGAAGATCTACAAGACAAAAGTAATCTTCCAAATAAGTCTGACAATAAAGGTAACTAAATGAATATTAACTTTTGGGTTGAACAGGAATTGTCAACTTTCCAGCCTTTAACCATAGATAATATCAAACTCAAAACTTAGTATGTCTACTATTATTGTGAGGTTTTTATAGTTGAACACAAGTGCCCAGCAGGTGGCAAAAAAAAAGTATAAATCTATGTTTGTTTTGAATGTTATTTGAATGTTTGACAGTGGACATCTGTAAGCTTGCTGCACGATGAAAACTTTTTCCGTGTTTACTTTCCAGTATCTTATTTCTCCAAAGCGTTTTTTAATTATCAGCTTTCATATCTATTAGATAATGAACAGCAAATTAAGCAAGAATTATCTTGGGTTATAGTTCTCTTCTTGAAATAAAGACATGCGGTTGTCACTAAAATTCAAAAGTGTCTTCTGTAACATACTTAAAACATGTACATGCTTGGAAAAAAGCAGCATGAAGCACTTTCTTGCTCTTTCTCTTAGAAACCTCAGTTGGGCGCTGGAAGCCAATAGAATTGGCTATGGATGAAACCATACCTGTCTGTGTAACAGAAGTTGTAAGCCCAGATTTGTTCTATGCTATTCCTGTTCAAAGTAAAGGTAAGAAACAGTGTTCTCTGCTCCTAATACAAGTAAGAAGTTATTGCTGCAAGCTGGTTAATAAAATGATTGCCAGTAGTAAACTGAACTACATAGAAACATAGTTTGGATTGGACAAAAGTACAAACATATATTTAAAAAAAAAAAAAAGCTAAGAGGGGGGGCAGGGGAGCTGAAGAATAAGCTTGCTCTTCATTACATTCATTCTTTTCCCTGTAGATCACGACAAACTACTTAAGCAGATGATTGAACTAGATGACTACTGCAAATCTTGTAAGATGCAGTCATTCACACCAAAACTGGGCGAAGCCTGTTGTGCCAGGTTTTCGGGTGAGGGAATCTATCTATCTTATATTTCCTTAACCAGTAGATTGTGGAATATGTTGTGCACTGCAAAACGTATGGAACCTGAAGAGCAAAGAATAGCTAGTTACTGCTTAAACTGAAATTTACTTGTACTGCCCTGCATCTTGGGGACACTAAATTTATAGCAGAGCAATAGTGCCATTGCATCTATACAGACCCACTTCTGTTTGGTAGGTGGCTGGATGTTTTCTGTTTTGTTGCTTTCTGTGTGCATGGGTAGGTGCCACTGGCTTTAACAACTAATAATTCAGCCTTGTTAGGTTAACAAGCGGTTAGTGAACTGTAATTCAAGTCAAAGGTATTTTTAACTGTTAAGAACCTTCATTTATTGCCTTAATCTCTTAGAAGAGGGCATTCTCTGTTGATGCATTAGCTCACATTTTAAAAAATATGTGTTGAGTAATATTAAACGTTGACTATGTGAATTGCTACAGGAAATCTAGCTAAGCACTGAACAGCCTTAACTCGGAAAATACTATTAAAATAAACACAATGCTAGATCAGATAACAGCTCATGGAAAACAGCATAGATGAATTAAAAAATACTAGATGGAGAACATCAAGCATATGCTAAATGAATGCGTTGGAAAACAGATAAAGGAGCTAGCAATGTGGTGTGTAGATGTCCCAAAAGAGTAGCGTAGTAAAAATCTTATCTGTGTGATTTGGGCAAAATTCTGAAAGAAACACTTAAGTCAGTATAAATACTGCAATCAGAAACTTTTCTCTTGTTCTTCTGTGGGTTTTTATCTTGTCAAGTGGCCTTTGCTATATACCAGAGTACTTAAAAATTCCTGGGAAACTATAAAGCTGAACATCTTTGTTCTCATTATAATCCATCTGATTCTGCTTGTTTTGATCTTTTCAGGTAATGGGCGTTGGTACAGAGCTCTTGTTCTAAAAGTTTCTCAGTCCACAGTGAAAGTACTGTATGCAGACTGTGGGAACACAGAGACTTTACCGGTTTCACATGTCCTGCCAATCACCGATTCCTACTTAAAGTTTCCTTTTCAAACAATTACATGTTCACTTGCAGGTAACAAAAAAAAAACAAAAAAAACAAAAGTTCGACATAAATCTGCATCTATCCTGATGATAGTTTTCATTCCTTAATAAAGACAAACATAATATGTTGAAATAGTATACTGGTGAAGGCTTTTTCAGAAAACATTCTTAACTAGCTGTAAAATCTTAACTATTGACTATGAAAATTTAGTGTTATAGTTTCAGAAGCTACGATGACATTATATGTAAGATGAAGTGATATACTCTTCATAGAACAAATTTGATTGTACTTCTCTTTCTTCCAGGCATAAAGAAAGCTGAGTGCTCTCCATTGTTACTTGACAAGTTGAAAGAAATGTTGTTGAATAAATACGTCACAATTACAGTGAAGGGAATTAATGAAAATGTGAACTTGGTAAAAGTGGAGAAACAGTGTGAAAATGGTAGTCTGAATATAGTTGACAAACTAGTAGCAGAAGGTTTAATCTGCAAAGCTGAGAACTCAGATATTGTGCATCAAGGTACTTATTTTTACAGACTTCGTAATTTAAATTTAATTTGAAGAATTAATTAGGAATTAAGAATTCATTTGACACGTGGGGTGCCTGAGTGACTTGTTCTTCTGAAAATTTTATGGAATTCCATGTACCAACTTTCACACATAAGCACCGCTTTCCTAGTTTATCTAGATCATTCATTTACTTTGTGGTTTGTTTTTCTTTTTTGTAGGCAATGGAAGTGAGACCAGATGTTGCTGCACAGAATTAAAAATGCAAGTAAGATTCAGTCCAAACAATACTTTATTTTTTTTCCAGAATTTAAAAGAAACCCTATGTGGGCAGCAATTGGGAGCAGGGAGATAACAGTTAACTGAAACACTGAAGATACGCGAAGTAAATATCCCGGTACTTTACTCAGTTTTTGTACATGGTAATAATCAAAACATCCCAAAACTGAGGAGATACTGCGTATATATCACTCTGTGTGTTCTGCCACATATCCAGCTCTTTCCCCCCTCCCTCCCAAAGAGTTCAAGGGCTCAGGGATACTACTTTTGTCTACTATGTAAAGAAGGTTGCAGTGTTTTGCATAGACTGTATCATTTTATCCAAGGGCAATGGGATTGTTTTCAATAACAAAGCTGTGTTTTGCTGTGGATGCAACTTGGCAGACAGCTGTGCATATTGTAAGTCCTATGCTACCTGAAATACATGTAGGAGATGAGTCACATAGGGATGAGAATCTGAGTTCACTAGAATGTTGGAACGTGTAACTGTTTGCTAGTTTCAAAATCTTTTTCTCTGTATTTTCAGGGAAAAAAAGTCTTTTATAGAAATAGTGTTTGTGTAATTTTTGAAAGCTTTCTGGTTTTGGCAATGCTAATCTTTAACTTAGGCCACTCATGAAATACTAGAAACAACTCTAGATTACTCAAAGTGATGTAAAGTGCATCTTTTCTGGTATATCAGCCTTTTCTGAACGCAGGGTCTTTGTCAAAGGAATAAACAAAACTTGGAATTCTAAAGGCAAACACCTTTGCAAAGGTGTTTTTTTTTGTTTTTTTTTTTCAGCCAGAGGCATCTAGGCCAAAAGAAAAACATGCACTACAATATTTTGGAGGGAAGAAGAGAGCACTTCTGGCGGTTCAGGGTCTTGCTGTTTCAAAGGCAGCTTAGTTACCAGCAGTTTAGTAGCAGAAAGAAAAAATAACTATGCTCTGGAAGAGCATAGTAAATTTCCCTGTCCCAGTGTAGGCTCTTGAAGCTCCCTTTCCCTTTTGTATCTCTTTTGATCTTTCAGTTCTTCGGGATTTGTTTTCTCTCTAATCTCACGTGACTTCAGTTTGGTTACCTTTTTGTCATCCTTCTTCATTCCAAACAGTTTGGCTCAAAGTCTCATGACATGAAAACAGACAATTTCCTGATCTTTTAAGTTATACTGAGATAGATGTGTGTAAATAACAAAAATTTAACAACGTGACCTATGCCTTAATTTGAGTATTCCGTCGATTTTGGTCTTGAAATTTTCTTTTTAAAAAACAAAACAAAACATCAAGTTGGCTAGAATTCTATTGGCTTCCCCCCTAAAGATTTTAAAGAATATACTGTTCCTTTCTGTAGTGACTTAGTATGGGACTTGGCTGAGTTTGTAGTTTTAGGATATACAAATTAAATTACAACAATTGCAAGTTACAATTGTAATGTAAATTACAAATCTACGCTTCAAGTTATACAAGTGTGTTTCTAATATTTCCTGCTTATTCCACAGCTTAAAAAACATGAACAGATTCTTCTCTTCCTTCTAAACAAATATGGGAATCCAGATGGGTTCAGTGAAATGAAAAAACTGTTGGACTGCTAAGTCCAACGCGCTGTTTCATTTGTATGTATACCAGGTTCCTGCAATTCCTTTTTTTGGAAGAGCAATTGTATTCATCGTACTAAAAATGAGAGTCACTTAGAAGAAATTCTGCTGCCTAAATAACTGTATCAATTTGTATGCTTGGACTGTTATTAGGAAATAAGTATGTAACTTGAATGTTTTAAAATCTGCAAGCTAAATTTTTCTGTTCTTTTTTTTTTTTGGTACCAGTGTTGGTAAGCTTTTTTTTTTTTTTTACTTGGCTATTGAACGTGCATAACTTTATGGAGTGGTCATTGCACTTTGAATATATTATGAAAAATTAGATTTGGATTTAATGTAATCTAAAGCTTGCTTCAACTTTGGTACTGTTAATTTTACTTTCTTTTACCTCCCTTACTTTAATTTGCTGCCTTATGTTGATTACAGTCTTCTGTCAACGTAATTTCCTGTCTGTGAAGTTAGACTGAAAATTTTCTCATAAATTCGTTTTCAGTATTGTTAAAGGACGAATCTTGTGAATCCTGCCTTAGGCTGCATGTAGGTAGTTCTCTAATCAGTAAACGCTTAAGTGTGCACAAGTCTTTGTTTACACTTATGCTGTGTAATTTGCACCTGTGAATATTTTGGAGTTGTACGAGATCTTTATTCTGTCTCTTACAGGTAGCTGCATTGTCAAGATTTCAACCCTGTCATTTTTTTTCCACACTAATAGAGAAGTCCTTTTCTGGGATGTGATAGCCCACTTGTAATTTGATTCAGGAATTCTTAAATGTAGTATTGTCATTGCTGACTGATCTTGCGGTATGTTACTAAGGTTGCGAAATCATTTTAAAGCACATTTATAAAGCACAGTAGATACTTGCTTATTAAAACTGCAGGGATACATTTTTTTCTCTTGATGTAAATGTGTTAAACTCTGCCTCTGTTCAAAGTAGAAGGATGTTGATATTAAATTTCTTTGTGAAAGTAATGTGTTTGTTTGTGTCCTGGTTTCGGTTAGAAAAGAGTTAATTTTCTTCCTAGTAGCTGGTAGAATGCTATGTTTTGGCTTAGGATGAGAAGAGTGCTGATAACACCCCGATGCTTTAATTGTTGCAGAGCAGTGCTTATACTAAGCCAAGGACATCTCAGCCTTCTTGCTCTGTCCTGCCAACAGGCAGGCTGGGGGTGCAGTAAGAGCTGGGAGGGGACAGACCCAGGACAGGTGACCCAAACTAGCCAAAGGGGTATTCCATACCATCTGACGTCATGCTAAACAATATATAGGGGTGGCTAGCCGGGGGAGGGGGCCGGACTGCTCGGGGTTAGGCTGGGCATCAGTCAGCGGGTGGTGAGCAATTGCATTGTGCATCACTTGTTTGTACACATTATTACTAGTAGTACTATGATCATCATTGTATTATTATTGTTGTTATTATTATTTTCCTGTCTTATTAAACTGTCTTTATCTCAACTCACGGGCTTCACTTTCCCGTTTCTCTCCCCCGTCCCAGAGAGGGAGGGGGGAGGTGAGCGAACGGCTGCGTGGTGTTTAGCTGCCGGCCGGGTTAAACCACGGCAGTTTGGCCTAGTGTTCTATTACATTCAAGTTGCCTCAGATACTTTTCCTGCCTCTTTAGGAAATCTTTCTGTTGTAGTTTAATTACAGACGGTGCAGAAACAAACGCACTCTTCCATCTGGCTCTTAGCTCTAGGATGAGTAGCTGCAACAGCGTCACTCTGAAATTAAATCTAGCGCACTGTGTCCTCTGCCTCATGGAGCTCATTGGTAGCCAGGTGCGGGGTGGGGAGGGCTGGGGAAGGAGAAGCCCCCGGAGGTGCAGCCCCAGCCCGGGGGGGAATCGGGATGGAGAGGCTGAGGGGCTGCCGTGACCCCAAAGCCTTGCCCGGCTCCCAGAGAGCCCGACCCCGAGGGGAGGCCGCAAGCGGGAGCCATGTGGCTGCCTGGGCCAGGCTCTATTTCTCTGTTTCTCTCTACTCCTTTAATCTGTAATTTGCGGTTGTGGTATTGCGGTTGTGGTATTGCGGTTGTAGCCACCTAGCACGGTAAAGCCACCACTCAGACATTAAAGTGTGCAAAATTAGATCTGGATTTACTGTAATCTAAAGCTTGCTTCAAGTTTGGTACTGTTAATTTTACTTTTTTACCTCCCTTACTTTAATTTGCTGCCTTATGTTGATTACAGTTTGTGGAAAGCAGAGAGTAATTTTTTTCCTCTGCGCTTCCACATAGCCTTTATTTTATTTTTTTTCCCTTTCCCCCTCCCTTTTCCCCTTTTCCTTTTTTTCCCCCTACAAATTGTTTAGTTAATAATAAATAAAGATTATTATTAATAATAATATTAATAGTTAATTTATCCTTATCTCAACTCATGAGTTGTTATTTACTTCTTCCCCTCCTCATCTAAGGAGGGGGAGTGAGATAGTGGTTGTGGTGTTTAGCCACCTATCACAGTAAACCGATCATACAGACATTAAAGTGTGGCTTGGAAATCGTGGAAATGGCTTAATGGGGGCTTCTGCTAACTTGCCTGCTGTTTTGCATGTTTAAATTTGCCTAGTGGAGCCACGTCCTGGGAAGCAGGGCCTCAAAATGTGTAGTGGTTGTTCAGGAGGATCAGCCCCTCCCCACGAGCTCCCCCCTTTTTATCACTGGAGTGATCCCAGCTAGGAGTGCAGAGCACAGCACTGTGAGGGCTGTGTGGTGGTTTTACCGTGCCGGGCAGCTAAACCCCACAACCGCTCTCTCACTCCCCCTCTTTTAGATGAGGAGGGGGAGAAGTAAAGCAAAGAACAACTCACGGGTTGAGATAAGGATAATTTAATTAAAGGGAATTAATAATACAATTAAATAAAGACTACCATTTAGCAATTTAACTAAGGGAAATAAAAAGGGGAAGGGGAAAAGGAGAGGGAAAAGGAAAAATAAAAAGAAGGGAGGAAAACAAACAAACAAAATAAATGAAGGCTATATGGAAGTGCAGAGGAAATAAATTACTCTCTACTTCCCACAAATGAGCGATGATTGACCACGTCCTTGAAGCGCACGCAGCTGGTGTTCGAGAGGACCGACATTTTCCCAACGAGAGCCCACCCCTCCCCCCTTCTTCCTGTCTCCACCTTTTCTTGCTGAGTGTGACATCCCATGGTATGGAATATCCCTTTGGTTGGTTTAGGCCAGCTGCCCTAGTGATGTTTCTCTCCTCACTTTTTGCCCACCCCGTAGGAGGGTTAGAGAAAGGTCCGATGCTGTGTCACTGCTGCTCAGCAGTAGACACAACACTGGTGTGATAACACTGCTGTTCCAGCTACAAGTACAGAGTACGGCACTGTATGGGCTGCTGCCGGGAAAGTTAACATCCCAGCCAGACCCAGTACAGGCTGCTGCAAGGAAAAGGTGACTCCAGTTCAGACAGACCCAACACAACCCCAAATAGGCACCAGCTGTGGCCTTCCCAGACCTGCATGGGGCAGCAGGGGACAATTACAGTGACTGCACCTAAGCCCATAGCCTTGCATGAGATCCCAGCAGAGTGCGTGACCCAGCCCTCCGCATGTTTTCATGACCTCTATGTAATTGTGTTGTTTGGTTTATCTCAAGACACCAGGTTCACACAGATCGCCATTCCCCTTTTTCTCCCCAAAGCTTTTCTTCCTGGCATCTGCATTTGTATGAGCAAATGCTCAGTGCTTGAGGTGCTCAGGCAGGCCCTGGCTCCCAGGGGTGGCCTCAGATGTGACATCCAGCAGCGGGTGAAAAGGATGAGGCATTCCTGGGAACACTCCTGCTGCTCTTGCCACAGGCAACGTCAATAGCATGAGCGCGGCTGTCAGAACAAACTGCACAGTAAGTTTAGCACGAGCTCCTGGGTCAGAAAAGTGTCTTTTGTTCTGCATCTCGTGGTTGTTGCAGGACCCGATCTGTAATACATAGATTTTGACTGTGCCCCGTGTGAGCGGCGCTACAAGATCAAGGTCTGTGCGCAGGAGCCCGTCTTACCCTGGGGAAAAGAGCTTGTCAAAACCCTTACTCAGTACAAAACCAAGGGTTTTGCGTAAACAAGCTGGTTTTGTCAAGAAAACCACCCTCCCCCTGCATCTCTGGCTCCTATTTCTCCCTGTTAGCTGTCCCCGAGGGGCAGAGGGGACACCTGGAGCTCCCCATGGATATGGGAAACTATGGAGTTCCCCATGGAGTTCCCCATAGATGCGTCCCACCTGCCTCCAACCTCTTAGCAAGCCTTAGGAGATGAAGCAATGAGAATTGCATCACTTGCAGATAATTCCTTACCTTGGACAGCAAATCCACCTTTGGGAGGAAACTTCCAGCCTCCAGGAAATCTCCTTTGTAGGAGGATTTGTAGCAGGTAGGGCAGGGGGTTCCCTTTGGCGAGCCGGTGCCACGTCCCCTCCAGCAGACTGGCGCTGAAGGAAGGCACCGTGTTACAACTGTGCTGTCAGGGTGTCGCCGGCTTGTTAAGGTCATGCTTTGATGAATATGCAGCACAATCCTTTCTGCCTTCTCTCCTGCTGTTAAATAAAAGGACGACAGTTAGAAAAATGAGCTGGAAGTTGCCTTTTGTTGCAAGCCAGGTCTCAGTGTGGTGGGTTTACGTGGCAAGGTTTTGGTAGTAGGGGGCCATGAAAAGGGCTGGTATATAATTAAAGCAGCTGTGACAGGTACTTTTACCCATCTTTCTTCTTGTCCCAGCACTATTTATTTAATGTATCATTTGCTGCAGAGATGAGTCTGTCCTGTGAAAAGCCCCCCCTGTCTTTACAGAAAAATAATTGACGCATAGAGGTGGTGGTCAAGCAACACGCTTATTTTTCTTGAACTATGCAACAAAAATCTGGTTTTGCAATGAGGGAGACCAAAACCCAGCCTGAATCTGGTGAGAATTGCTCTGGTTAGTGTACCCAGCACTCTCACTGGAGAAAAATTAGATATACACATCTTAAATAGAAAGACGAGGCCTCTGCCAGACAAGCTTGGTCTAAATCTGGGTACGGAAGAGCCTGCGGCTGAGTGTTGTTGAGGAAGGGCTGGGCCGTGCGCACTTACCCTGTGAAGTCTGGTTCCTCTGGGCTTGGGAGGAAGAGAGACGGGTATACAGGAAGAGCTTTCTGCTCTATCATTCCTTCTATGTCAATGTTTTGTTTCCTGTTTCCCACCCTTCTTCCCAGGATAGCTGCATTCACTGCTTTTACTCAGACCAGACATTTTGGAGCTCTTCATGAGACAACCAGCAAGGCGATTTTAGCTGCAGGCAAAGAAACCTGCTTTAGGAATTGGATTAATACTCCTTTCATTTTTTTCTTCTCTTTCAGATTTGTCATCATGAACTTCTTGCCACTTGCGATCATCTTTGTTTTCTATCTTCCCCAAGGTATGTTTAAAGTCGTCTTTCTGCATCAATGGTTTCTCTCTCAGCTGCCTCCCCGTCTCCACCTGGAGTTCTGTGCTCAGAGGTGCGAGAGCTGAATCCAGGAGGTTTTTGTGTAAACCTCTGCAACTTAGCTTCACATGGACAGGGGGAAAACGATACCTGGAGAAACAGCTTCCAAACACACGTGACTGTATGTGAAGAGTCTATTTGAAACAGGAAAAGCTGGCGCTATTATTATGATATTAAAAGTTCATAGATGCCTCCAGTTGCAGCTGTTTGGTGTGCAGTCTTCAGAGCTGGAGCCTGGCACAGCTTGCAGTGAGCAGGGCACCGTTCTCCCTTGTGCAGGAGTGAGGTGCTTGGTAAGTTGTGTCCATGTCCCTGCCAGAAGGGATTTCCTCCCGGGGGTGCTGATGGGCTGAGCTGCATCACCACGTTATTTTTTTTGCAAGAGTGAAATCTGCCCAGCAAAACAGCATTTTTACTGCTACAGATTAAAGGCTGTATTTATTTATTTATTTTTTTGAAGGCAGTTTCTGGTATTGATGGATCTGTTTGATCCCACAGTTTTGCCGAAGTCCAAGAATGTACAAGAAATTCATGCCGACCAGGAGACGATTGGCAAGATTTCAGCTGCTGACCAGCGTAAGTTTGTTTTTATAACTCAAGTCTTCTACTTTCTGAATTCTTTTTTCTTTGTTTCTCTTGTGTTTGTTTTCTTTTTCTTTTGGGGCCCTATTAGTTCCTAAAGCACCTCCTACTTACAGACTACATCATTCATTCTCCTGTTAGACGTTTTCTACTGTCTGCCTGTCAATTTACGTCTTTTCTTATGCCGGACATGCCCTCCAGCCCCATCCCGTAGCAGTGCCGTGTGTTCAACTCAGACTTTCCATCGTGGTGTGCTCCACGTGGACGTTTCTCCCTGGTGCACATCACCACCAGCCCCTCAGCTGTGTGCCCTGCCAGAGGAATGAGCGCTTCCCCTGCAGCGCGATGCCTCAACAACGTGCACGGAGGAACCAGTGTGTTCCTGCAGGCAGGGGTGACACAGGGACACAGCCCTGAAGGCAGGAGAATGGTCAGATCTTTGTGAAATGTGTTTCTGTCAGTGCCTTGGAGCTGTGCAGAGTTTGTGTTTAGAAAAGCAGAGCGTGCTTTGAACACCGCTGGAGATGAAACACATCTGGCTCTGCAGAGCCCAGCGTGCCACGAAAGTGCCTACGCCACGGGCTTGGAGAGTGGCTTGCTCTGTGTTTCACATATCTTGCTCTCTCCTAGCTGCAGTTGATATCCTTTTCCTCTTGGATGGCTCCTCCAGCGTTGGTAGCAGCGGCTTTAATAATTCAAAGCACTTCGCAGGCAAACTCTGTGATGCCTTGGACATCGATCCAGACAGGGTGAGTGTCAGGAATGTCTCATTGTAGTTTCAAGCAGCTCGACGACGTGTGGGAAGGCCTGTGATAGCATGCTGAGTGAAATTGCAAAATTCATCCTGGCAGCTCCTCTGGGGTCAGGATAGTTATTCAGAAAGATGCAGCGAAGGTTTGTGAAGCAGTGAGGCTGGAGGACTCTTCTTGAATCTTCATGGATTTAAGCTCTTCCATTTGGTCTTCAGAAAAGACGTAATCTTTCGGGTGAAAGATTCTGATTTGTTTGTTTGTGTTTGTTTGTTTGTTTTTTGTTTGTGTTTGTTTGTGTTTGTTTGTTTGTTTTTTGTTTTACTGATTTTTATTTGATTTTGGATGCTTGTAGACAGACTACAAATGGTAGCACTTTTTTTTTTTTCCCCACCCAGAAAGTAGCATAATTAGTCTCTGTCAAGTTCTCTGTAGTGAGGTCTCTACCTCTCTGTAGGGATGTAAATGACAGTCTGTTGGCCCTGCTTCTAGAAAGTCCCTACTCCAAAATAAGCCCAGAGGGCAGAACAGAAGCAGTTTATGCCAGCTATGTACAGAGGCATTTGGGTATCCATACGCTGCCACAGCTCTTCACGATGTCATTGTCCTCCTCAGCTGCTGGTGGACCTACATTCTCTGCAGCCGACAGGGATGTTGCTCAGAGGGGAGTTTTTCATTCCCATTACAATTTGGTTAAGGACAGGTCCTGGCTGGATGCTGTATTCCTTCATCCCTGCAATATTTGCAGATTCGAGGAGTCGTTTTCTTAAATACCAAGCTTCCCTGTATCTTTCTGTTAATCCTTACATAGGACTGAAAATCAGTAGCCTTTTAACCTTCAAGGTGTCACATTCCATAACACTTCTTGTAAGGCTTCGGTGAAATATTCTGGATATATAATCCAATATAGATAATTTAGTCTGTTTGCATTTTCAGGCATTTTCAACTAAGGCATATAGTTTTAGAGGAAGCAGTGGAAAAATAATTGCCTTGAGTTACCTGCTGTGCTCAGTGCCAGAGGGAGCTGCTTTTAGTAATGGAAAGATTGCCCTTGCAGTGTCTAAATAGTTTGGTGTAAAAGGTGTTATTTATAAACGTATTATTATCCTTGAGACTACAAGCTGCTCTGAATGGATAAATACAGATCCTGAGCTGCCTGCAACTGCAGCAGAGCATCCGATGTTGTCTGCAGTTGAACTTCCTTGTTTGTAATCAAATCAGTACAGGTAATGCTGTGGTTTATGCTCTTTTTTTAAAATATATTTAGAGTGCCAGTGGTTCAACATGCAAAACAATGTTTGTTGTGATACAATTTACTGTTTCTAAATCTGTAAATTGATCAAAAGGCTCGCACCTTCCTTTCATACTCTTCAACCTTTTCTTTTAGGTCCATGTGGGACTGATACAGTTTACTTCAACTCCCTGCATTGAGTTCCCACTGGATTCATACCAAAACAAACAAGAAGTGGAAGAGAGAATCCAGAGCACCAGGTTCAGGTCAGCTTATTTTACAGCTCTTCTCTTTTTCTGGGCTATGAATGATCTCTGGACTGAGACTTTTGCGAGATCCAGGTATTTGCACCTCAGCTGTGCGTGCACCACTCTGATACGTGTAGGAAGGAGGAGGAATGACCAGTGCCTGTGGTCCATAATCCACAGCCTGCGACAAGCATGCATCCTGCTCTGTCTTTGTCAGTGCAGGCTGACAGGGGAGAAAGCTTCCAGTGTCCTGCTGGAATGTGGTAGATAGGGGAGAGTTTCCGTGCAGGGTGGTGGGTTACATCCTTCCTCCTGCTGGCAGGAGGTGCAGGGACACTCTGCTGCTGTTTGCTGGGCTGTACGGTGAGGAGCTTGCACACCCACAGCCCTAGGCTTGCAGAGGAAAAAGCAAGTGTGGCCTTCCCACATGGCTGAGCGCTGGCATGACAGTGTGCACCTTTGGGTTTTGGTGGTTACAATTTCCTTTGACCTAGCAGGTAGTGATGAATTGCTAGCCCCTTGACGTCTGTGATGTGTTGTATCTGCTGAATTCAAGGAAGTTGGGTTTCCAGACAGAAGTTTTCTTCTGAGTGACTTGGATGTGTTCCCATGGTACCAGGAAATAGGTTTAGAAGCCCAAATATACTCTTCTCAGAGGCTCTCAGAATCCAGACTTCTCATCGCCAAGAAGTATATTTGGATCTGCAAAGGGCCTGACAACCAACCCAAATAACACTTTTTTTGGTGACAGATGAGGTATCGATATGGCCTCCAAGTGCATTCTCTTTTGTTGATCTGTTAGGGAGAAAGGTTTGCTCAGCTTTTCTCACAGATGTCTGCTGCTCTCAGCACGGCGTACGTACGGTGCGCAGTGTGACCACTTCTGACTTTTAAGCAACATCAATTAGCTGGGTTTTGGTGCAGTGCTATCAAACCAAGAAAACCTTTTGTGTTGTGTTACAGGGAAAACTTACCAGAAAAAAAAAAAGGAGGGGAGCCAAGCAAGAGGGAATGGATGGTTTCCTGGGGAAGGACAAGAAAGGGCTGATGTAGACAATTTGTATTGTGTTTTAAATGGCCCCATGCTTGTTCCAGATGATCCCATCTCCAAAATGAGAAGGGCTGGGGACAGCTTTTGTGAATGTTGGTGGCTGGTGCACCTTCCCTATCATACCAGTGCTGCTGGCATGCAACCTAGCAGATGAGGGTATTGCTTTCAGTTGAATTTAGTGTAGGTTTAGACAACTGGAGCACCGAGTGGCTTTTTTTTTTATGCTTGCTTTAGTAGTGTAAAGGGCATTGGCAAAGCCATGATGAAGTCATGCCTTGTATTCAGTCCTGCTGAGTTTCTGTGAATACACTAAGAAGCTTAGCATTTGTATTTTCAGGAGCTTTTCTACAGGATAGACAAATGACTTTTGTAAAAAAAAAAATAATAATAATAATAAAAAAAAAAAATTAGCCAGGGAGAAAGAGGCAAGGGATTTCTGCCCACTGCCAGCCTGCAGACTCTTGGCCACAAGCTGCGACGCACGGCTCCCCGGCTGTAGCTCTCATCTCAGAATGGGAGGAGATCCTCTGGAGGAAAAGGGGTGATATGTGACAAGAATGTATACCACATTTATGTGCCTAGAAAAAGGAAAACTTTTGAGGTGCTGGTCTTTGTTCATTACGTCCGTTTGTAGTGTGTTTCTGACCGGACCACAAGAGGTTGCTGTTAGACCGCTTTTCCAAACCACTCTTGAAGAAGTGGCTTTCATTTTCAAATGGAAAAATATAAGCAGTTGATATTTGTCATAACTGGAAATAAAACTTAAACATCATAGAGTGCTCTGTTTTATTAAGTCTTCTTAACACAACTCTGGTTTGGAGAGGAGAGAGGTAGGGATGCGTGATGGGACCTATGGAAAGATGACAAGAATGACAGGATTGGACGTCTCTGTGGATGCCTTGCATGGCAACAGAAATTAGTGAAGTTCCTCCCTTCCAGATGTTAGAAATGTGGAAATCAGCAATAGCGAGAGAAAAAGTTCAATTTCTGCTGTTCCAATTTTATCCCCCTTCTCTCTAGAGATGGGGAAAAAAATATCAAACAGGCTCTGGAATGCATTCTCTGCAAGGGCTTCCCGGGTGGCAGAAACTCGACCGTCCCTGAGATCCTGTTCATCATTTCGAATGGAAAGTCCAGTAAAAGTACCACAACGCTTGCCACGCAGCTGAAGAAGAGAGGGATCACCATTTTCACAGTGGAAATCAAGTCTCGAAGGTAGGAAACTTCACAGTGTTGGGCATGAAGGCCCAGCTTACCAAACAGCAAGTGCGGGGTTTGCTTTGGTACTCAGCTCCTTGGGGACCATTTAGGGCCCGGCTACACAAGTGATTGAACCCCCTCATTGCTTGGCAGGTTGAAGAGGCTGCGCATGCTGGCCAGCGAGCCCACCAAGCAGCACATGTTCTCCATTGAAGATGCCGACGGTGCCATCAACGGCCTGTACAGCGCCCTCACTGGCTCCATCTACAATGCCACCGCCCCAGGTAGCCCCGGTCCCAGCTCTGACCTGGTCACTGAGTGAGAAAAGAGGAGGTGGTGTCTGAAATGCTTCTCTAGCCCTGAAAGGTCTTAGACCTAAGTCTTGGTGTATCTCTGTTCACCTCTCAGAATGGGAACACCAGACCTCACTCATAAGCACGGTTGTGCTTATAAGTGTAAATCTGGAAGGACTGCAAAGAGTTTCTATTTTTTTATTTTTTTATATTTTTAAACTATTTTTTTTAACTATTTTGTATTTACACAAAGGTAACTTCATTGGCATTATTGGAAAGCAAATGGATTGAGGTCAGTCTGGTTTGCTGTCTTCACTGCTGTCTGTCTGAGAACCACCCCAGTAGAGTGAGGGTGCACATGGCCCTGCATTAGCTCTAGCTGTAGGAAGATAGGTTGAAGTTTGACCCATTTCCACACCAAAGGCCATTCTCAAGCCAGCACGGGATGGGAAGGGGCAGGCTCCCTGCTGACTCCCCGTCTTTCCCTTCTCTGGTCCCGTTTAGACCCTTGCAACTCCCAGCTGTGCCAGAACAGCGGCACCTGTGTCCCAGAGGGACTGGACAAATACCACTGCCTGTGCCCGGTCGGGTATGGAGGAGACATCCATTGCGGTAGGTGTGAACTTGTGCTCTCCCTCCTTCCTTCTCAGCTGGGTCCTGCCTTGGTGGTGCCCGTGGCAGGGCCCCAGGAATGACTCTAGGGGTCAGTACACACCGTACACAACACATTGCGCTCTCAGCACCAAAGCTGAGTGAGCCTCAAGTGTGGTGTGGATCTCCTTTTCCTGATAGACAGCTCAGCAGGAGTCACACTGGAGGGGTTCCCGCACTACAAGGTGTTCCTCAAGAGCTTTCTCCAAGCAGCGGTGGGCTGGGACTCACCAACAAACGTGGGGGTGGCCCAATACAATACTGATGTCAGGATACTCATTGAGGTGGGACAACACAGGGATGCATTCAGTCTCATGGAGCACATTGATGCTTTGAATTTCAGTGGAGGAGGAACCTGAGCGAGAGTCCCACTACGGGACACTAAGATTTTGTTTGCATTGCACAGGATTTAATCCTAAATCCAAAGTCTGTCTGGTTTTGGAGCCTGCAGACTGATAAATTGAGGTCTTCAGACACCCTATGCTTAATTTTGTTTGCGGAACTAAATCCTTATCCCCAAAGCATTCAGGAGGGCAGAATTTTCAAATATTCACGTAAATCTCAAGTCTGTGTGCTTTCTTCACAATTTCAAGTTCTGAGGGGCAGTCCCAGTTGGGAAACGAATACTGAAATCAAGTTTGAAACACGTGTGTGCTGAGTGTGAATGCTTGTGTTTGATTGAAATGAGCTTTTCAGAATGGAAAGCCCTGGTTTGCAGACATCGGTGGTGGAGAAAGTCCTTTTAGTTCCTTGCTGCTCATCTCTCCCCCTTTTTAAATGCCATGTCTTATTTCTCATTTGTATCAGTATAATATTCAGCTCTTTGGTCTTGTTATGTTTTAACCCATAAGTAAGATGAAAAGAAGAGGCAAATTGAGCAGTGCTGTGATTAAGAGCACAATCAAAGGTCTTTTTCATCTATTGGCATGCCGTGGCTCTTCCAGGGTTAGAAAAAAATGACAGAGCTGTCTCTTTGGGATGAGGAGCCTGTCTCTTGGCAGGCCTCTGCAGGCAGTTCCTACCTGGCGATGTTCAATGTGCTGCTACTGCAGCGGTATTTTCAGCTGTGTTATTATAAAAACAATCTACCATGAAATTAACCACAAGGACACAGATGAAGGGGAAGAGACAGCAAGGTTCAATGATCCAGGCTAATAACATACCACTTCCTGAGACTGAATCGTCGCTTTCATTTCACGTGCAGGTAATCACTGTTTGTACTGTATAGGCTGGGACCCAGGTTGATGTAAAGATAAACCCTTCATTCACTCTTCTGCTCTAAGTCCAAGACTTAATAGCAGAATCATTGTCTGTGAAAGGACTTAAAAAGAAAGACTCGTGATAGAAGTATGTGAAAAACAGACCCTGCCTCTGGACACCTGGAGTATTGTATTTATTACAAGGCTTAGCTGAAAAGAGACCATAAAAAATGACCTGGGGTCTAGGAGAAAGGATCCTAAGTGTTAATTATAAAAAATAACAAATTAATAGAAATACCGGCATCATCAAAGGGTAAACTCCCTGGAGTGAAAGAAGCTGATTTAAGGTGATGTTGTGTTAACAGGAGGCTTGAGTTCAGAGCAATGGTGTCTGGGCATGGTTCCCCCAAATAGGGACCCCCAGGTTGCGCTGTGTGACAGGCGCGGAGGGAAGTGGTGGACACAAGGCGTGTGGAGCAGAGCACCAGGAAAGCTCTCAGGGGGGCAGCCAGGGCCTGGGAGGTGCGTGGTGGGTCTGAGAGGTCCTTCTGGCTTTGGTTGCCAGCAGCTCTGCCACCCTGCGATGAAGGCAAAGACACCTGTCCATGGGGATGTGCCGTCAGGCAGGACCCCATCTGGGATGTCTGACCACAACAAAAAGGCGTCAAGTTGAGGTCAACTTGACTCCACGTCAAATCAACAGGAACTGATGATTGAGATCCCTCAACTCTAGGACTGGCATCAGTGCTAAAGCTGCCTGTCTCAGGTGTAGGTTTGAGTGTTGACGTGCAATCGTTGTTACCTATACAGGGGGAATGACTGTAACGTGTTGTGGTCTGTAGTAACCATTGTGATGGGTAGAGGATAGAAGTTGCATTCTTTCCCTCTTCTTCCTTTCCTACTCCCTGTGCCTGCTTTTCCTGCTGCAGGAGCAAAGGGCAAGGCTAGCGGGTGCAGCCCCTACACCGCGTGGTTGTTCCCTGGAGGAATTTCACACCCTTGCTAACGCTGCAGTGGAGGTGCCAGAAGACTGGAAGCAAATTTCTCTGGGATGCTGCTATTGAAATGCTGCCAGCCCTGCTGCCAGCTGCGGTCTGCTCCTTTCGGAGGGCTGGGAAATATGTCCCGTATTTCACAAGAACAGAATATCTCAGGCTATTGTTGCAGGCTTTTCTCTCAGATCTCCAAGGAAAAAGCACTGAAATAGTTCCCGTATTGTTTTCCCCTCGTGCCATCCCTGCATCCCAGCTGGCTTCTTGTCCTTGCTGACCTCTGGTACAAACTCAGGGCCTCTCCAGGGCAAAGAGGGGTTTGAATTCCAGGGGTATCTGGGCTTGCAAACTGCTTGGAGCAGGGCACGTGTCTCGCTCTGCACTGGCAGTGTCTGGATCTGGGGGGTTTAGAGGTGCCCATGTCTTCAGCACATGGCTCTGAAGATGCTTCATCTTAGATCAGAACATCCAGCAAAGCCATCCTTCCTCTTCTCCAGGTTAAACACAGGAGTTTGCCCTCTGTGTACAAACAGGGCCGTAGGGTTATGCCCTCTGCTGTGTCTGTGTGCTTCCCACCCCGCTCGCCCCAGCTGACATCTCCTGACCTCGGGGACATTCAGCTGCTATCTCTTTAGAATTTTTTCCTGACAGATGTGGGTCTGAATGATGACCACTCTGTCACCATGCCTGACCCTGCTGTTTTGCTTGCATTTGTTGCAGAAGCGAACAGCACCGTGAGCCTCTGCAAACCCAACCCTTGCCTGAACTAGGGCGTGTGAATCCTCGGGGCTGGAAGCTGCCACTGTGAATGCCACGGCTGTGAAGGAACCCACTGCAAGAGCCATAAACCTCAGGAGACAGCAACCGTGACAGGCCTCATCCGTTCGTCCCAGCCCCGCTAAGCTGCTCCCAAATGCCACTTCTCCCTTTAGCAGAGATGTAGCTGTACCTCCCTGATAGCTTCCTGGTGGCCTTGGTGCTCGCTTGGTGTGTCACCTGGAGAGCAGAGAGGTTTGGGATGCTTCTCTCAGGAAGCTGCACCCTATTTTATGCACTTGCTAAGCAAGCTGAAGCCCAAGAAGGTGTAATAATTTAGTTAGTCTTCCCCTTCTCTCTGTTCCCCTTTCCCATGGGCCCTGCTAGAAGAAACGAACCCGCCTGGGCTCCCGGGATGGAAAGCTCCGGCTGCCCTTTGAAGGGACAAAGTTATCTCTAACGCCAATAGTTCTCTATTGTTAGATAACTCCAAGCCAAACGGTGTTTGTTAGGCTGTAAGGTGCTGAGCTTATCCCTTGGTCCTAAAGCCCTTATCCCATCTGCGTTTCTCTCCTCTGCAACAGGAGCTCTCTGGGGTGACTCTCTGAGATCCTCCAGGCTCCTGTGTGCAGTGGGGACCGAGAGCTTCGCAGCACTTCTCCAGAGCCCAAAGGTACAGGGACCACAGACGCTGCTGACACAGAAGGTGCTCAGGTTCTCCTGCCACCACCACAGGCTGCTACTCACATGCATGACCCTGCAGGCTGCCTCTGGCCTTGGCCCGGATCAAGTGACTGGCACTGAGACTGTGCTGAGGACATTCCCAGTTCCTGCATGCACAAACTGCATGGCATAAGCTTTCTGGTGCTTGCTTTCTTTTTGAATCAAGTAAATATTTGCATTTCAATATTTATTGTTGGCATTTTGCATTTCCTCGTCCGGATTCTGGTGGTGGGGGATTTGTATTTGTTAACAACCTTCTTGAAAGATCTTTGAGTTAGTCTAAAATTATGTGGGAGCCTGAGCAATTCTGGAGTTTCCACCGATGGGGGATAGTGTAGATGGCAGCGTTGTTCCCAGTGCACAGAGATTTTTAAGGAAGTATTTAATCAGCTGAGCCAATAGGCTGGATCAGACTCTTAGTCAGCTGTAATCTTGATGTTAGTTTTTGGATCAGCCTAAAGATTTGTTTGTCTTTCTAAATTTGACTGCTTGATACCTTGGCCAGAATTATTTCTCAATGGAAAAACTGCAGAATGAAATTACTTTTTTTTTTTTTTTTTAATGAGGAAGATTCTTCTTCATGTTTACCTTTCTGAGCTTTTTCATCATCACTTCATCCTGGGGTCTCACAGACCTGGTCAGGACCCTTTGTCACAGCTGGCTCCCTGGTTAGGCAGCGGGTGACGCCGTGACTGGCTTGTTACCTGCAGGAGCACAAGTAAGAGGAAGGAGATCTGGTTGTGAGTTTCTGTTCTGTTTTGTACGTTGTCCGTGCCACTCTCTTCTCTGAATTTACGTGGACTGATCAGATATGGTTAGTTTCACAGGCATTTTTTAGCTGCCTACTTTTGATAAGGAGAGAGGTTTGAAAACGATTGGTTTTACGAGGGTGTGCCATGGTTTGTGCAGCCCAAAGCAGAGGGCACAGAATAGGAAGAGGCCTGGACGTCTCTTCCCAAATCTCAGCCACCATTTCCTTTCTCTTCCTGCTGGCCACTTTTTTGCTGTTGACTTTGTATGGTATGTGCTTTTTCTTACAATTTTTTTGGACGAGCCCTGTGGCATTTCTCCCTCCCCTCTTTGTTTTAAGCTGTCCCCAGCACAGCAGCAGTCCCTGCAGCACAAACCGGGCCTCTGATGGGCTGTGATGGTTCACGCGTCTCCAAAGACGCTTTGGCCTCACGCTTGCATCCTGAGCCTCACTGGATCACCCGATCAGTTTGCCCATGGAGCTATAAGCCTTGTGTTGGGCTCAAGGTTCACACTGTGGTGTTTTTCTCTGCTGCTTTTTCACCGTCACCTCGGCACAGCAAAATGGAGGTTTAGTTGAAGGAAAGGCTGCCATTTGGACAGAAAGAGAAATGAATCCTTTAGAATTACTGACTTAGGCAGGGCTGAAGCACCTGTGGAGCCAGCTGGATTCCAGCTAAGCTGCTTGGAAAACTCTTTCTGGTCTCCCTGCACATCCTCTGCCTTCTGATGGGTGAGAGACACTGCAACGTTCACCCTCGTGGCATGGGGTTTGCAGCTCCCTGGTGGTTTCTGTGCCGTAGCTCATCCAACAGCACCATTTGTTCCCTCCTCGCAGCCTTTTCCCCTCCAGGATACTGATACCTTGCCTGGCACACAGCTCTGGGGCTGGGGTATGCTCAACCTCATCCGGGTGTTTGAAGCCTTTCTCTTGTATCCCTGTTGCCTGCAGGGTGGTTTGTATGGTGCTGCTGAGCAGTTTGGCTTGTGGCACGTGTGGTTTGGGTGTAATCTGTGTGTGCTGTCTTCTTTTTAATATGTGGCTATTAAATACGTTGGTGGAGGGCATGGGCTTTGCTGGGACTGCTTGCTGGGGTCCAGAGTTGGGAGAAACCTGCTGCTGTGTTGAAGCACAGACGGACAAAGCCCTCTGTGAAATTCAGAAGCTGCAGACTGCCAGCTCTTGTGCTGCAGAGTGTGTTTTAACACCAGATGGGATATATCTAGCCCCAGGCATCTGATTGTCAGGTAGAGATGGGATGAAAGCCTCATGGAGTTTCAAGGAAGCTGGTTCCTGTGTTTCACCAGATTTCCAGAGGTGTGCACCTCAGTGGCTGTAAAAGCCAGCCCTTAGCCTCTGGGTGAGTGAGGCAGGGGTCTGAGAGCCCCAAATGCCCCAGGGATCTCTGTGGGAGAGATCCACACCGTGCTGCACCTGTGACCTTCCTCCTCCCTTCCTTGGGTGGTTGCTCAGCCGTGCTCTGCAGAGCCTGCTTGCAGGGTGCCAGCCCTGTCCCACAGCGTGCAGCCCACGCTGGGTTACATCCACCACAGAGCAGCTCTGGATGCGGGGAGCAGCCCCGCAGAGGTCACCCAGGACCCACACAGGTAGGTGCAACTCGCATATGTGGGACAACCCGGCTTGGTCTCAGGTGACTGCAATTCCTCGCCTCTCAGTCCTTGTTTTTGCATCCACAACCTTCCTTCTTCATGGGGTTTTGCCAAGGGAGAGCAAACGCCCAGCAGCAGCAGCCCCGCAGCTCTGCTTTTGTAGGGGACGAAGCGCTTTGCAAGGTAAGGGGGCGTCAGGGCAAGGGGAAGAGGGGGGAAAAGGCAAAGGTCACAAAGGCCAGGGAGTTGGGATGGTCTTGGAGACAGCTGCTGATCCCACAGGCAGGTAGGACAGTGCTGAGCAGCTGGAGTTGTTTTATTTTGCCCTTTTTTTTTTTTTTTTTAATTAGAGTTGAAGATCCTGGCTAGTTTCTAGGCCCTTTCTCCTGCAAATTTTAATTAAAAATGGGTAAGTAAAAAAAGTAAGTGGCTTGGGGCTCTGTTGTGATCCCTTTATTGGGTTTGCTCTCACAGGTTTGCTTTGGGTTGAGTCAGAAATATTTAACAAGAAGGTGTCTGATGGGGGTCGTGCCCTGGAAGCTGGATGCTGCTTGCACTTGGCACAGCTGCCAAGGAATCCCTGTGAAGGTGGCGCTGATCCTGTCTGGCTTAGCGGTGGGTACAGAGGACGAGGCCTGTGCCAGCTCTGTGTGAGGTGTCTGGGCTGCTGTTACCACCAGCCATGAACGCCTCTTACTCTGTAGGATTGCTGCAGGAACCTTCACAGCTCATGGGCCATGCACTCACTGCAGGGGAGAGGCCGTTTCTTCTTTAAAAAACTGGGATTTAGGTAAGTGCCACGAATTTCATCCCCTGTAAGGTCTTAGCTTCCCTCGGGTTTCTTGCACAAAGCAAGCAAAATCATTCCTGTTGTGACTAGTAAATATTTGTTTCACAAAGGCAACTGGTTTGGCATCTGTGCTGTAAAGACAGGCATCAGCAACTTTCTTTACTAACCCTTTTCCTTCCTTTCCAGCTAAACCCCGTCCTGCTTGTCCTGACAGTGACGGCAGCAGGCACCAGCGCTGCACACAGTTGCTACCTGGTGGTGAGCAGGAGGTAAGGGACTTCTGGTACATTTTTCCCTTTGTGCTGAGGACTGTGCTCCTGAGGCTGCTGCATGAATTCGTGCAAACTCCTTGCTATTTTTCAGTGGGTGAGCTGTCAGAAAAATGTGGTTGGCATTGCTGTCACTGTAGAGGACTAAGCTGTTTATTTCAGAGAGAGACTTTGTGGACTGCATAGCCAAGGAACTCTGTAGTATCTAACAGTGTTGGGGTTTGAAGTGCATGAAAGCTACTGGGAAATAGAGCAGGGACAAGGCGTATTACAAATAAATTACACTGGTAATAATATACTCAACATTTTATTATAAAACCCTCTAAAGCGCCACTTTATAGCTCACAGTTACGACAAAGGAAATGCCTTGAGTTAAGAAAACAGTGGGGACACAGAGACATCGTTTAACATTTTTTTGTCTGGGAAACAGGTGTTGCTCAGGACTCGCCTACGTTCACCATCCCCTGGCGGTCCCAGCAAGCCCACCGAAGCTGACGGGGCTGCGGTGTGGGCAGTGGGGCTGCTCCTGCCCAGTGCTGTGTGGGTACCGCTGTGAAATGGATGGACAAGCTCTGGCAGGTGACAGCGGGGTGTAGGGTGAGGGCATGGTGCTGTGTGTCTATTTAGGGGGTGGACAGGCTCTCCTGCCAGCTCATCGTGGGTCAAAACAAAAGCTTTGTGATGGTGGCCGTGGCCTCCTTGTGCTTTGGAGCTGAAAGGCCCCTGGGTCCTGAGCCAGAAGTGGCAGCAGGCGATTTGCGGGAGTTTTTCCCTACGTGCAAACCTTGGTGAGGAACAGGGCTGACAGCTGGGGCTGGTGAAACCCTCCTGAGGCCTGGGATTACAAATTCCCCAGTCTGTGCCACAAGGGCATCCTTCTTGCCTCTGGGGTGCCTTGCCCATGTGCTTTGCTGCGCCCAGGCACTCCTCCCGCACCCCTTCATCCCACGGCCATCAGGCCTCTGTTCAGGGAGAGGCCTCATTTGGAGCTGGTCTCAGGCCTGTCAAAGGCTTTCAAGGGTTAGGAAGGTACAACGTTTTGCCTGTCTTTACCCTGGTTCTGGGGTCTGTTTGTCAGCGTAGCCACAGGACCCCAGGGACAGCCCAGCCAGGTTGGCAGAGGAGCCAGGCAGCGGTGTCTGCAGGCCTTCAGATGTGACAGCAGGCCACAAGGGGGAGGAGAAAACAGGTAGGTGAATTTCTGCCCTGTGCTTTCAAATTTTACTGTCTCTAAGCATACCAGTTCCAGGCACCTAACATTGCTCATTAAAAAGCTTGGCCAGAGAGGAGAGGGATGAGCTTTGCAGGCCACAGCACCCAAAGGCTACGTTAAGTCTAATCATCTGGAAATAAGTGTGATAGCACCAAGACAGCCAGCAGCACACCAGAGACATGAACAAGAACAGATCCAGCACCCTCCTGCACCCATGTGAAGGGTTCCTTTCCCACCAGGAGGTGTCCAGCAGATTGTGCAGCTGCTGCTGTGCTGCAGCCTGCGGGGACCAGAGAGCATCAGCAAAGTGGTGCTTGCAGCCAGGGCAGGAGCACAGGGACACTTTTACCTCTCCTCCCCTTGGAAAGGGCCAGCAACAGGATCCAGCATCCTCATCCAACAGGTAAGCAGGCCTGGGCCTTTGGTAAATTGTTAACAAGCCTTCAAATATGATTTACTTTTTCTTTCTTTTTTTTTTTTTTTTTTTTCCAGAACAAACTCCTCTGGACACGGTCTGAGAGATCTTCTTTGCCCAGAGCCCTTGGTGCCACCAGGCTGTAACGCAGCACAAGAAGGTGAGCAGGGATCTTCCTCCGTATTGTAGCAAATCAGCCCTGCTGCAGGCTGGTAGGAAGAAGGCCACGGTGTGATGCATCTGGTCACTGAAAATCTCTGCTGCAGGTGTAGATATGGTTAGTTCTCTGTTACGCTGGGAGGATCCTTCCCGCTGGTGCATGCTTCTCATCTGTGTCACAGCCATCACTCAGGCCCAGGGTACCTCTCCAGGCTGAAGGCTGGATGATCTGCAGCTGAGTGATGACCAGCAGCAACAGGTGAGACTTCAGCTGACCGGGATTTGCTGTAACAGGTCAAAAACCACTGGGGTATAAAGAATAGCAGAGGCCTGTCCTGAACCCACTACTGCCACTAATATAGAAACCTTAATAACTCATTGATAAACCTTCAGAGTAGAAATAGACAAAACACCCCTATGTACAGTAACATTCTTGTTTACATCGACTGGGTTAGGAATCTGATGCAAGGATTGCCACTGGTTGTTATTGTTTTAGCTACGTGACGGGACTTGTCTGGAAAGAGCAAGATCGTTTGGGCTAATTGGTATTGGCAGCCGTTGGCTCCACTGCTGCATCTGAGCAGGTGGAGCGACGCAGAGGAGGCACGTGGGGTGGGTTGTGTCGCACACCCAACCTCCACCGGCAGGTGATTGAATCCCCTTGTCCATGCCTGGGTAATTCCAGTCTTTAGTCCATCTCTGAGAAACGTCCTTCTAACTAGCGCCCTTCTTCTCCCATTCCTGCCAAAGAATAAAGGCTAATTAGTCAAAAGGCAAATCTGGCAAGCAGCAGGAGCTGTAATATGCTCAGGAGCAACCTGATTATCTGGTACCCGCAGGGTGGGTCGGGGAGGTCTCTGTTAGAAGCAATACTTTCGTTACAGACTTCCCACTCCAGAAAACAGTGGCACTGCCTGCAAGGGACTGGGCACGTGGGTAGGTAGATGGGGTGAGCCATTTAAAGGAAAGGCCGAGAAGCTCAGCCAGTGCCTTTGTTTCATTAAAAAGACAGGTGGTGGTAAGAAGACGGTAAGAAGACCACATGGAGGCCTCCCAGGTGCTCTGAAGCAGACTGCCCGATCACCCTCCCTCCTAGTGAAACTTCAAATGCATTTCAGCACAGTTTCAGTGAGAGGAAACCACTCGTTTACTCCAGATGCTGCCAGTGCAGTCAGCGTGGCGGGGCTCCAGTTACAGGAGCACACAGCGATGAGCTGAAATCGCAGCTGGGACAAGCCCAGGTGACAAGACCAGAGGAAAACCAGGCTGCCCTGAGTCCTGCTCAGCGTGCTGCCCAAACACCAACAGGCCAGACCCCATCACCACCACCCCTGCTGGTCTGCTCAGCTGCTGGGAAAAGCGAGCAGCAGCGACCCCAGGCACAAACCAGCATTTACCTTAGCTTTCTGTAGGACTGTCCCCTTCCCTGTCACCATGACGGACAAAGGCCTGTTTTTCAAAGCCGTTGCTGAGTTGACTGGTGAGCTCTCTGCGCTGTTTCCTGGACTGGCAGTTTTTGTTTGAGTCTATGATACAAATAGTAGAAATAGGGGTGACCATCACTGTTTTGTGGGAACCATATCCTCAGGAAGAAATTTAGGGGCCTAAATCTCCCCCCAGAACAACCCTTTGCTTGGCTGGGTGCAGAAGGAGTGCTGGGCCCTGACCTGCATGGCCCTGATGGTGTGGCTCAAGGTCCCACAACAGCCAGCGTCCTGAGTCCCAGCCTCCTTTTAGCAGCAGTGATGGGGGAGGTATCTCATTGTTTTATTACTCTAGTGTCATATTATTAGAATTTATTTTCATGTTACTGTATTATCATATTACTGTATTACCATATTATATTTTTATATATCACATCATTATAGATAGAGTGTTTTAAAATATGGTGTTACATTATTATTGGTTATGCCATTAAGGAGCAGGCTGAGGTGTTGTGCCCACACCCCCGCATGCACTGGAGTGCCCCCACCTACCCGGGGTGCTGCGTTCTCCAGGTGTGTGGTGTCCACCGTGGTGCCCAGCGTCACGGGGCCGGACTCTGCCTTCTTCAGGTTCTCCTTCACCTCCACCAGGTTCAGCTCCACATCCACCCTTCGGCTCTCCTTTTTCTTGCACTCTTCTTCTATCTCCTTCAGCTTCTGCTCCAGGCTCTTGTCTGCAAAGGGAGGGACAGCTCGGTACCGTGCTTGCTGCCTGGCTCCCAGGGGCTGGCATGAAGCTGGGGGTCCTTGGTAATTGTGGTGCTGGTGGCTGCAGGGGACTTGGGGCACCCAGAGGGGGGGCAGGGACCAGCCACAAGAGTATGCATCACTCCTGCACGTTTTCAGTATTTGTTTCCCCAGGATGGACCATGGCAGAGCGAGCACTTTCTCCAGTGCGTTCTAGGCTATGTGGTTTGGCTCAGAGCACCAGGTCTACCCCCGGAGCTGAGGCAAACCATGCCACTGTGATAGGGCCAGCTTGTCCCTCCTGTGCCGTGAGATAGGAACAGGGTGGCCCAAGCTCCAGCCTTTCCCCGTATTTCAGTACTGACTCCCCTGGCAGCTGGGCTGGTGTTAATGTTCCCATGGTCATGCAGGTGGTGCTGGAGGAGCAAAGCCCCTTCTGGTCCCAGGTTCATCACCCCTCTCCATCCCCGTGGCCCCATCTTGTCCCATTTCTGCATGCTGCCCCTTGCCCAGCTCTACCTGTGCATCCCACGAGCATCTCCTTCAGCTCCCGCCTCTCCTTGCGCAGCTGGGTGAGCTGAGCTCGGATTTCCTCCTTCTCCTTCTCCAGCCGCTCCTTCTCCTCCGTAAACCGCTTCACCTCAGCCTCTGTCCTGTTCTTGCCCAGCTTGGTCTCCACTGCTGCTACTGAAAACACAAGCCACCCAAAACAGCTCAGAGAAAGGAAAAGCAGAAGGGAAAACATCTTTGGGTAGTTGCAAACAAAAATGAATGAGACTGGGGAAACTCAGGGGAGACTCAGCACCAGCCTCAGGACACAGTTCGCACCCAGAGCCCCCTGTCCACATCCCCAGCTCCCCACTCACCAGGCAGGGGCAACTTCGGCCGGTGTGCAGGTGCCAGCTGGGGGCTGCCCACCACTGCTGCAGAGCCCGCGGGTGGCTCGGGGGCCGTCTGCGGGAAGGTGATGTTCTGCTGCTGCGCCTGGGCTTTGATGGGGGGCGTCTGGGGCGGCAGCTCTTCGGGCTCCGGCTTCTCAGGCTGTTTCTGGAGCAGAAGGTGGGAAAGGAGGTGAGATGATGTGGTGAGGAGCTGGACCCCTAATGAAGCCTGGCCCCAAACCTGGTTAAATACCTGCTCTGAGGTCTCCATCGCCTTTCCACTGGGCTCAGCAGCGTCCTTAGCCACCGGGGTTGTCTCATCCGCGCTGTCAGGAGCAGCCTTGGTGCCAGCCCTCTCTAGAGGTGGTGAGCCGAGGGGTGAGGTCTGGCACGACTTCTTGCCAGCGCAGTGCAGGAAGGACTTCACCGGGGTGAGATCCAGGTACACCCTGTCTTGGTCCCCCTCCAGTTTGCTCTCACTCTTGGGTACTTCTCCCTGCAAAAGGCAAATGTTCCCCTGAAAAGGGCCCGTCTGCTGCAGCCAGCAGCACGAAGTCTCACTGGAGAGCAGCAGCATCTTTGGGCAGTCTGGGATATTTTCCATAAACATATAAGTGAGCTAACGAAATTACAACCCCATTTTCTAAGTAATTCCAGGAATTCAAGGAATATTTTCAGAGTACAGAAAGTTCGCCCACTCCTCCACTCTCCTTCGATAAATCTTTCCAGTGCTTGCAGAAGACTCATATGGGGATCTCACCCTGGTGTAGATATTTAGATATTTATTATATTTAGGATACCAGCCCCCATCTCCCCAGCATGGCCTGGGACAGCAGATCCCTATAACGCCCCACTGGAAACCTCTCACATTCCTCAGTGACTCCTCACCAGCGCCCACTTCTGTCCCTTGCAAAAGCCTGGATTTCCCCGGGGGGCTGGGAATTCCCTTCTCCCCAGGTGCTACCAACTGCATGTGGCTTTGGCAAGCCCTCTCCCTTCCCTGCTGGAGATTCCCCCTGGCTGGGAAATGAGATGCTTCCCTGTGAATCATGGATGCCCCTTGATGCAAGCCACCTGTGACAGTGACCAGGGATGTTTGCTGCACCAGCAGGAGCCAAACTCAGTCGCAGTGCTCGCTGCAGGCGGGTGTCGTGCTGGGCACCTTACCTCTGGCACATCGGGCAGCTCCACATCGTCGTAGAGCCCCTCCTGCGGCATCCTCCCCCTGGGCAGGTTGTCGATGTAGGCGTTGGGCTCGGAGTATTTCCTCTGCATTAGGCTGTGAACAGGCAGCAGGACACCCTGTCAGGAGGGGCGGCGCACTCTGCGTGGCCACGCTGCTGAATTTTGGGGCATCTGTGCACATGATGCTGCACCCCCAACCCCACTAAGCTGGCTTCTCAAAGGCCACCCGGGTGCATGTCCCTACTCCCGTGACAACAAGTGCTCTCCTGCCTTGCACTGAGCTTTCAAAGAAAGCCCCCGAGCTGCACCCACACCTGAAGCACCCCTCTCCAGCTCGCTCCCCCTCCACCAGCTCCCAGGAGCCCCGCACCACCCCATGGACGTACAAGAAGGAGTTCTTCGCAGCGCTCACGATGCAGGAGACTCTGTCAGCATCCACGTAATCATAGGTAAATTCCTCCGGGTCTGTTTTTGAGCCTGACTCGGATAAGAGGAGGCCCAGCCAGTGGCCCATTTCCTCCGAGGACTTCGCCTACGAGGTGACCAGAAAGATGTTATGGGTGGCAACAGCAGCATCCCCGGACTCCCTTGGCAAGGGAGTGTACCAGCAGTTCTTTGGCCTTGCAAGGAGCTTTATTTATTTTAAACCTGAGACCACATTAAAAAAAGAAGGCAGTACCACTCTGTGTATGGACCAACTGGCAAACTGGGGAGCTATATACAGGAATGCAGCTCCTCTCTTGACTCCTGACTAAAATTTGCAGTCTGCGTGTTCCTTTCAGTGGTGAACAATTCAGCTCCCTTCCAAACTAAGTCTCCATGGCTGGAGATGCTGTCGGGGAGCCAGCTTTGGGAGGAAAGAGTGCATTTTCTATTTTGCACCAGCAGAGTGCAGTAACATGATTTCCAAACACCAGATGTGCAAGGAGACACAAGCACAGCAAAGAGCCTGCGAGTTCCTTATGCCAGAGCCCCAAATCCTGTCTGCACAGGGAAGAAGGGAACGGGAGAGCTTAAAGCATGGTCAGGGAAGAACATCAAAGGGAGCCCCCAGCTATAACATGGCCAGAACCAAATTCCCAGATGCAACGAACAGCCTGACATTTTGCAAAATTAAGTGCTGAATATTGTGCCTGGAAGTCAGCTCTAGCAAATAGCATTATATACTTCCCAGTAGTGGATGATTTCTCCCTGGAGCATGATGTGGGCTGACACAGATATCGTTTGCTTTGATTTGAGGCATTAGAGCAGTAAGTACAAAGTAAAATTCAGGGCAAGTGAATCCCAAACTGGAAAGCATATTTTAAGCTTCCAATCTGTTTTATTTAGCACAGACTTCCCAGTGCCTGGGAAGCCAGCCAGCCAGTCTGTACATTGAGGCTGGTGGCCCAACAAAATGCAGTTTCTTCCATTCACAAAATGTAAATGCTCCCAGCACCTTTTCTTCACATCTGTAATTAGGCAAAATGTCTTGGACATAGACATAACCTGGATCAGAGGCTAAGCAAAAACACCTAAAAACTTCACGGCAGGCACTCAAAGTCAGTTGTTTAGCTATAAATATTCCACCCACTGGAAAAATACAGGAAATTGCTCACATTGTCCACCTCCTACCATAATCAGGCTGTCGTCAGAGAGAACTAAGATTAGAGATAAGCAGCCTAGATGCAGGCAAAGGAAAGTAGCAGATGGAGACGAATTCACTTGCGCTTTCAGAGGCAGATCTGTGATCGGTTTACTTAGGATGCACTCATGACCCACGGCTTTGGGACTCTCTGTTTTCAGAAGATAAAGTTCATAGAATCACAGAATGGTTTGGGTGGGAAGGGACCTTAAAGATCATCTAATTCCACCCCTCTGCCATGGGCAGGGATGCCACTCACTAGATCAGGTTGGCAAAGCCCCGTCTAACCTGGCTTTGAACACCTCCAGCATCAGAGGCAGCCTGGAGTACCAGGCGGGCAGGACACCTTCTAGGTGACTGTGGTCTGGTAAACCAAAGTCCAATGCTTCAGCCTCTGTTTGCTGAAGTGAAGTCTTCTCTAAAGGACCTTTAAAACATTTAGCTTCTGTGCACTGAGAGGTTTTAGGCCTGCTAAGACACCCAAACCGACCATTTAAAGATGAATGAGCTTGGAGATACACAGCCTACCTCCAGAATGAGCCGTTCCTCCCCATTGTGCAGGATGCGGAAGGAGTAGAGATGATCAGGGCTTGGATCCGGGATAATTTCACAACCCGCCAAACTCAGGGGCTGCTGAGCCAGTTTGCTTCGGTTCTTGTCCTGGTAGAAATGGAGGTGACCATCTTTTATCTGACACCAGCGGGACTTCCACTGGCTGTTCACAAACACGTTCAGGTAACCTGCAAGCAAGCACAGGTTATTGGGTCATATTTTGTACCACACGGGGCAGGGGTGAATCAAAAGTCATTTCTGTGCATGGGGAGTAAGTCAGTTCTGAGTTCACCACAAAAAGCCACAGGCAATGATGAAGAGCAGAAACACAAAGATGAGTGGTCCTGAACCAGACAAAACAGGATGAACGGGTGAAAATCGGTTCAAAATGGGACCCTTAAAATTAAAAAAATTCAAAAATTCAAATTAGGCTTGGAGCAGCAAGCTGACTACAGACACCTGGGCAAAGTTGGTCCCAAATGATAATTCCAGTTGACCCACACAACCTCCTCCCTGTTGAATCCCACGTGTGTCTGGTATTATCTGCCCTTGCTCTTGAGTCACCCTGTGAGCTATGGCCTGCCCTTGTAAGCACCACAGTCACCTTAACATGAGGAGGCACCATAATCTGTGTGGATTTATTGGCACGGACCACGTGGACAGTGGCTTTTTTGCCTCCCAATGCATGCACACTGCAGACCATGATGCCTGGTGCTCACCCCGCACTGCACACCAGGGTCCAGCCCTGAGACAAGTCCCTGCAGAGGAGTTTGTGCTGCCACTTACTTGAGGTCTCCAGGGATCGCTCTGGGCTATCCATGGAGCTGGATTTTTTCCTCCCAAGGTTCATCAGGTTGCTTAGTTTTAGGCCTGTTGTGCCTTTCTTCTTAACTACCAGAAACAAACAAACAAAAAAGTCACTTAGGCTGCATTTATGCCAGCTAAAACCATCCCAAAGCGACTTGCCCAGATTCATGCAGGATCTCTGTGGCAGGGCAGGGCCTCACACCCAGATTTCTCAAGCCCTAGCGAAACACAGTAACTACTGAGAAATCCCAGTGTTCACCTGCCTATTCATTATGGAATGAAAAGCAATGAAATCAAGTTCTCAGTTAGTGAATTTACAGGTGGTTGTCACCCTGCATTGGGTCAGTTTGGGTTGGCAGCAGACTGAGAAGCCACAGAAACCCTCACTGCACACAAAGTTTCCCCTCATTCCCAGGGTGAGTTTTTACCATCTTTTGTCGTCTCAGCTGTCTCTGGGTGCCCCTCTGTGCTGCTCCCACTCTCTGAGGCTGCAGAGTACCTCTCAGAGAGCTCCACCTGCCAACAAGCACCAGACATCAGCTATGCAGACACATACAACCCGCTGCGTCACAGGGAATTTCCCCCCTGGTTGCTCCCCTGTATGGAGGGGAGCTCATGGCTGGGTCAGTTTTGAGGGAAAGATGTGGCAAGAAAGTTCAGATTGTTCCATTAATGCTCCTTTTTAGCAGACCAGGTGGTGGGTTACGTTTGTATCCACCTCTGCTCAGACACAATTAATGTACCTACAACTGCTATTTATTAAAAGAATAGGGTGGAGAAGTCATCCCCCTATTCCTCCTCTCCTTGGGGCAAGGTGTACCTTTGGGTAAGTGAGGCGCTGTGAGTCTGGGATGTACTGGTTGCCTTCACTGCCTCCTTCGCACTGCAGACCGCTGGTCTCCTGGATTACCTGTGCAGAAGACAAAGCCACAGCTGGTGAGTACAGCGCAGGAACAGGACTGATGCTTCCATGGACAGGCAAAATGAGGACATCCTGCTAGACCCCCAGAGTCCCTCCTGTTCCAGGTCAGCCAGGGAGCCCTGGTGCTGCCCCAGGCTCTGCAGAGGCTCCCTCTTCTGCTGCCATCCCAAGGCAAGGGATGCATTGCCCCCTGTCCTCAGCCACTTCACGCTGGGCACTCTCCCCCCACACACTCCTGCTGTGGTGGCTGGGCTGCGAGGTGCTCTGTGGCCTCCCACACACAGGAGGCGGTGGGTTGCTCCAGGAAGAAGCTAACCCAGACATGAAAATGAAGTGGTCTATTTGTATATGGGCTTGCAGGGAGGAAGGAGCCAGAGCACGCGAGAACAGGATGGAAATCAGATACGGTCTTGTTGGGATTCAGAGACGTTCGTCTCTGGAAGATGTACAGCCCTGCGCAGGAGCACGAAGCACGTAGCACTCTCACATTTCTTTCTTACCTTCCCTCTGCATTTCTGAGGAGTCAAGACAATAATGCTAGAGGGCCCTTCCGAAAGGCTTTCCCTGGTTACCTGTCCCTCCCTCCCCGTGTTCACACCTGCCTCACTGAGGCAGGCGCTCCTGCAGCACCAACACCACCCATCAGCATGGGGAGAAGCAGGGGCTGAGCCACACCACATGCATGGAGGGAAGCTGGAGGGAAGTGAGGAGCTTCCCCCTTGGCACACAGGGCTCCCGATGGGCTGGTATGCCAGGCACTGCAGCCTGAAGGAAATGCTCAGGGACCTGCCTTCCCTGGCAGATGAAGACCTGGGCAACCCCAGGGATGTCACTGACCCTGAGCCACTGCTCTGCCTGGTCTTTACTCTGCAGCCCCAGCACGATGACATCAGCGTTCATGGGGATGATCTTCAGCTTGTGCTCTTTCTTCCTCACTTGCTTTTCCTTGTGAATGACGGTGCAGCCCAGCAAGTTCACATCCAGCTGAGGGTTGTGGTCTTTGGAGCTCTTGTAGCACTGGGAAAGGAAGATGGAAGACAAGTGAGAGACAAGAGGAGCCTTCCCTTTTGCTTGCTGGCATGAGCTCACCACTAGAAGTGGCTCCGTGCAACCTCATGCATTAAGTGCACTGAACACAAGAAGGTTTAGGACCTACAAGGATGCCACGTCTATGTATGCAGACTACACACAGGTCATCTCTATGCATATGTCTATACACCTATGGTGTAAATAGGTTGGTTTAGGTTGTTGTAGGCAGCCAGCAGAGGATATACGCACCAGCAGCCTGGTGTCCTTGATGACACACAGCTGTTTCGCCCACTGCCCCAGCCACTTCTTCCTCCATAGGAACGCACAGATACGGGCGTCCTTCATCAGCTCGATGGTGGCCTCTGTGGATGGCCACTGGTGGGTTGCTGACTTGCCTTTGCTGCTCTCTTCTTCATCGTAAGATTCATAGGAGCTGCTGACGGCTTCACCATCTTCTAAAACAAAAGCAAAGCTTTGTCAGTAAGTACATCCCTCGGACAGCTCTGGGCCTATTGCTTGCCACAGCCATGCTCAGCCATGCAAAAGCTGCAAGCAGAGGGATGTGTCTTTTGAACAACTCCTGCAGAGGATAATCAACAGGAAAATGACCCTCGCAGATCTTTTCTTTTTTCTTTTTTTCTTCCTAGCCCAATATTAATCTAATTGAAATGTTTTGAGTCTAATAGCCTCAGTTAGCAAACACTCAAAAGACACATCTCGGTTGACCACAAGTTTGAGAACATTCCCCTAGATGTTTTCTGATGTTTTCTGCCTTTTTTTTTTCCTGCCAAGATGCTTTCTCTGCTTTCCACTTCAAGCCAAATAAAAATTTTAAGGCAATAGCAAGCTATAATCACCCCTTGTTCTCTGAATGTCAAAAGTAAGAATGGTATTTGCAAAGCCATGCAACAAGCAAGGATCTGTTGTATTGGAGATGTCATGCCACTTTCCCTCTCCGGGCTAACAGATCTAAGGGACATCAAGGGGCTTTGAAGTAACACACTGTTGCAGCAGCAAGAATTAGTCATAAGTGGCAGCGGTAAATAGTAACAAGCATATTTTTCATGTTCATTCTTGAACTGATTGCTACTTTATTAGGGTAAGCTGGGATTTTCAATGTTCAGCTCTAATGGGAGGCGATAGGAGTTTTCAAGTTTTCAGCTGATAGGAGCAGCTGGCCATTGGCGTCAGATTCATCAGAAACAACAAAAATGTTCCTGATGGCTGCAGGGGAATTTGCAGTGCTTTGATGGTGTCTACAGTACAGCTCTTATTCACGAGGAACCGGATCCCCATCACTGCTACGTAAGCTCGCGTGGCAAGATGGCAAGATTTGGGCACCGTCTGCGTAGAGTTTGACATTCTTATCTGATCAAACTGAGAAAGGTCATCAAGTTTCCCTCACCAGAATTTAATCTAATTTAGATTCTCATCAAATCTCAATATCCACATAAAAGTAACATTGTTGGATTGGTGTAAAATAAGAGAGGAAAAGCATCAGGAGCTTCATCGAAGAGCATTTCTTAGCTTGGGTTTGTTTTTAAAATAAAAGGAACTGAGATGAAGAAACAAAGCTACAGCCTTACCCCCAGCCTCCTCCAGTGAAATCTCACTCTACAACATCCCTCAAGTGGTCAGCACAAAGCTGCCCCAATTTAACCAACTTAAATAAATAAAATAAAATAAAATAAAATAAATAAAATAAAATAAAATAAATAAAATAAAAAAGACTGCCTTTCAACGTCTTTGAATACTGCTGGCACACACTCCTGGCTCACCATCTCCAGACCCTCCTGGCCTGGCAGCACTGCTGTGGCCTCCTGATGGAAAGGTGTTTTCCACGCTGCGTTTCCAGCTGGCAAACTGGGACAAACTCTGCTTGGGTGACTTGTGCTAACACTGTAATTACCCCTAGAGCTCACTCCATCCCAAGGCAGACAGCTCGGGCACTTCAATACAAGGTCTTTGCCTACTGGCAGTTTCAGCTAAGACCAAAGTTTTATCCTCTTGTTGAAGTGGCATTGGTGGCAGCCTCCTAGATTCAGAAAATTAGACACCAACACACAGCAGAGATGCTCTGATGGCAAATTTTGAAAAACCAGAGTGTGTTTTTCCCCATTTCTTCTCTTACAAGGATTCAGAGCTATTCAACTCCCCTCCTCCAGTTCTGCTGAGATTTCCAGTCTCTCCTGTGCCAAAATAACACCTGCAAGCTACTTTTGACCCAGACAGAATTATGAAACCAAACCACCCCAGAGGCTTTCCGCCATGCCCTTATCTAGACCCAGCTCTGCCTTCCTGTTTGGTCTTCCCACGGCTGCCTGGGCTGCCCATCGATACAGCGATGCAGGGAGCTCCGACCACCCTTCATGCACGTAACAGGCAGTGCCAGGGGGAAGCATTTGATCGCCTTGGCTAAACATGAGGTTTCAAAGAAAAATAATAACAAAGGAAAAGCACTTCGGGGTTAAAAGCATGCCATACCCATCGTTATTGTGGCATAAATAACACCCTCAGTAACCTGCAACCCTGGCCTGGGTCCAGCCGCAGCAAGCCTACCAAAAAGACCTGCACAGTCAAAAGCAAAGAGAAAGGGAAACAAAGAGAGAAAGCCACAGATAAGAAAATGCAAAGAACAAGGGCGACAGCCTGGCTCGGGTCCCGCTCCCCCCTCTGCCGGTGAGGCTGCCCCGTCCCCTGCATCAGCTTCCAACAGGGACAAGGGGCCTGGGGAGCTTGCAACCAGCCCCCTCCAGCAAGGGGATTCCCCTTCAGAAAGGATCATCATAATCAGAATTAAAACCAGCGAAGGCAGACGAGCTGGCTCAGTTGGAGTAATCGTTGCTCAGTCGGCAGGCACCAGTCACGTTGCCCCTTCCATTTTCACTCTGTCTCTTATCACAGCCTTCACTTATGCAAATAGAGCGGAGGAAGGGAACGGTAACGGTTTAACACCTCTCGGTCTGGGAGGAAAAGGAAGCAGCAGCGCTTGCTGAAGCCGTACGGTGAAGGCAGAGGCATCCCCAGCGGAGAGGCGGGGATGATGACGATGAAAGAGGAACCCCAAGACCCAAGGGTCTCTCCTGCCCGTTTCATTTTAATTAGTTCACCCACGGTTTGTTACACTGTTTGCAGTCCCACCTCTGATGATGCACAAACCCTCTATCTCCTCAGCCCATCTGGAGGCTTGCTTTGATGTCCTTTCTTGGCAGCGCGCTCCCTAATTTTACTAGTGTTCCTATTTTTGTTTAATTTCGCTACGCCCATTTGCTTGGAGAGCCAAGGGTGTCTTCCAGGGCTCATGCTGTCAGCAACACCACGAGCAGCTCCCTGCTCTGCCAGCCTGCAGGGGTGAGCAGCGAGGTCTCAGGTGGGTGCTGGGGTCACACTTCAGCATACGTGGCCAGAAGAGCCCTGGGCAAACCCATACGTGTTCCCACCACCCTTTAGCAATGCCAGCCACACTGAGGTCTCCAAGCAGTTGCTGGCAACGAGCATCACTCCCTGTAAGCAGGTACTGCAGGGTGCTGTTTCCTGTCTGTCCCTACTCCTCCTCTTCCCACTCACCCCAACAATTTACCAAATTGACACACGAATTTACCAAAAAACAACAGAGATCCCCAGCAGCACAACGCTCTCTCCCTTCCCACACAAATCCCCTTGAGAGGTACCTGCGTTGCAGCACGCAGGCGCTTTGTGCAGAAGGGACCTGCTGGGGCCTGCAGAGGGCACGGGTGGTGCCACGTTCACGGGTGGTAAAGGCACCACACGCCGTGGCAGCGCTGTCTGGGCTTGCACATCCCATCTCTGTGCCCTTCTCGGGCTTGGATCTCTGCTTTTTGCTGCGATGCTGCACTTGGTGGTGCCTGGCATCACTGTCTGGGCTTGGAGACAAAAGGGTTTCACCTCGCTAGCTCCTGACACACAGCCCAGTGGCGGTGGCCACCCACCCCCTTCTCTTCCTGCTGCTCTCCTCCCTGCAGGCACCCAGGTCTGGCTTTTTCAGGACACCCTTGTTTAAAGCACACGCTGCAGCTGCACCCCGTTAGCACTACACCACAGGGCCAAGGTCAGTGCCTGGTGCTTTCGCTCAGGGCAAGCTGCAGCGTGCTCTGCGTTTAGAGGCGTGAAACACCAAGCCTGCTGGTCAAACAGTTGCTAACAGCAGCCACAGACAGCACCGCCAGCCCCCACAAACACCTTGTTTTGACAGCGCTCCCATCACGTGGGGATCTTCTCTTCTACCAAACTTGCAGTCTGTGATCTCCGGGTGCCTTAGGTCTCTAACTGGCCCTGCTGGGTGTATTTGCATCTCTGAACAGCACTGAAAATCCTAAGCCTGGATGATATCAGGGACCCACACTGAGCTATGAGCCACCCCGGTGTGTGAGGGGGACATGCTGCTGCAAGGATACCCACATAAAACCAGCCCAGGTGGCTTCAAGCAGGGCCACAGGAGTTTTACAGCCTGGTATTGCACACCGGGGCTGTGGAGCACTCAGCTTCTCTCATGGACAGCTCTGATTCAACAGCCGAGAGCTTTGATCCAAATCCCACTTTTATCCCTAGCTCTCACTTCTCTGCTTGCCTCAACTCCTCCTGCTCAGATCTACCCCGTGCCACGTGCACGGCTGCACCCTGCAGTCAATGGTGCTGAGCTGAGAGCTGCCTCTCCTGCAGTGAGGTATCATCTCCATCATTCAGACTCAAATGGCTCCTACAGCAATGACAAGATCAGCTGCTACCAGATTGCAGGGTGGTAATCTCTCATAAAGGGTAGTCCCGAAAAGAAGGACGCACGAAGAAGGACATTACCGGGACACGGGCGTGAGTGAGCGTGCACAGCGAATCCACGCCGTCCCCTCACATGATGGGTGGCTTTTAGAACAAGCTTACAAATAGTTTAATTACCCAAAGAGACAGAGCTGAGTAAATAGTCAATTATAAAACCTGTTACAGCAGCTAACAGGTCAGAGTCATCAATTTTGAGCCCCAAAGGGACAAACAGAGCAGCAGGACATAAATGCAAGCCACCACAGCTACACCACTTCCGAATGGAAACCAGCATTTGACTAGAGCCCATCTTCCAGAAAACCATCAAGACAATGAGAATCCACAATGACTTAAAATATTTTACAGTGATGTCATATTAACCCAGACACACTACTTATTTCTAAAGTAAACTTAAAAATTTGAGTAACTCATTAGACTTTTCTTTTCAGCTGGCATTAGACCTATGATATTACATGTGACCAGAATCAGAAGGCAAAATCTGTCTCATAAGCTGTAAGAATTGTATGTTTTTAGTGTAATTTTCTCATAAACCTCAAGTCTTCCGTCTCACACATAACCCCCCAGACAGTTAGCTGTGATATACCGTTTAGAGAGACATCATATGGCTCGGCCTCTTCATAATATCCTTCTGGGGATTCGATCTTGGGGACCAAAGGTTGTTTTGTTTCAGGAATCTGCAGAATAAGTAAAAAAAAAAAAAAAAAAAAAAAAAAAAAAAAAAGAAGAAGCATGATTTAAGGTAAAAACAGATGCTTGAAAACAATGGGGCATCCTTTCTGTAGCACTAAAATATATTCTAGGGTTTTTATGTAAACAAGCTGAGATGACAGGGAAGAAAAATTATTAGTCTGGTGAAAGTTTCCAGTTAAAGTAGAAAGTTCTCCGAAATTACTGCATAATTGCATCATAAATATTACTTTCTTTAATTTTGCTGAAAGCCCTGGAAGGATGGACTTGTACATTTCCCCATAAGCAGCAGCTCCAGCCCATTGGCCTTATCATGAACTGGGACTTGTGCCTGCCACGCTGACCCCTCCCAGGCTGCTCCTCGGAAGGGGACGATCCTCTGAGCTACCAATTGCCTTCACAGGGAAGCAGCAGGGTGGACACTTGGTGCAATTCTGGCTTTACACTCGAAAGCACAGCCTGAGCACCCACGGGTCATATCTCTAAGTCTGGCAGACAGCAAACCATTGGCTAAAAATCTCTGTTTCAGGAAATATTAGGAATCTTTAATTGTGCTCTGAGCAAAAAATAAAATAAAAATGAAGGAAATGGATAAACAACACTGATGGAAAATAAGTCTTTGAAAGGAGTCTAAGTGTGGAAAATCCCTGTGGTGCCTGCCAAACCCCTCCCTAAACACAAGCAAAGGCAGGCAGGAAAAACAGTGCCTTGATCCTTTAGAAATACCAGCACATGACAAAAAAAAAAAACGGGGGGAAGCTAAGAAACAACCTTTTTACTTCTCAAGTAATTCACATGGCTGTTGAACGTGGTACAGCAGAGCCGGAGATAACAGTCGGATGGGCCCTTAGCTTACAATTTTCCCCAAAACACATGGCATCCCCCCTCTCCCATCACAACCCAAAGCAGCATCCCCTCGTTCCCCAGCGAGGTTTCCCCACTCCTCGCCCAGGCCATAGCACCCCCAGCCATCTGACAGCGCTATGCTCCGGCTCACACCGCTCCCGCTGCCTTCGGACCGAGACAGGACATTCAGGGCATGGGGGTAAAACCCCACGCCTCCCAGGAGGGCAGGCAGAAGAGCCGGCCTCTCTCTGCAGACACAACATTGAAGGTCACGGATCATGCATGGCCCTTCATGCTGGACCATGGTAATTGCTCCAGGTGGCCTTGAGCATCACGGCATAGTCTAAGGCAGGATAATTCCCTTTGCAGGTCACGCCAGCACCATCAAATGGAGGTTCAAAACTGTTCCTCCTGCCCTGGATATGTCCACCAAAGGGTGCTGCTGCCCGAAAGCAGATAGGAAGCCTTGAAGGAAAAGATTTTCCTGGCTAAACTGCCCTTGATAAGAGATGCCACTGAGCCCATGGGAGTTAGGTACCCTGCCCATGGTGCCCAACAATCCTGCTCCCACACGGGTGAGCTGCACACTTGTCACCTTTTCAGGTGTCTTGGATGAAGGCACCTCCTGACACGGGACTGCCAGCTGCTGTGAGCAGGCTCTGAGCTTGCTTCCCATGGCCACACAGGACATGCTGTCAGAAAACACTTGCCTCCAAACACTTCGAGGTTTAGGAACTTGTCCTAATGTGTTAAATTCAAGAAACAAGAACAACCAGTCCAAAGCTTTCCTTAATCCCTTCCCCGGCCCGGAGTATGTCTGTAATTGTCATCTGCGGTGGCCTTGTGCGTGTAGCCAGCTCACATTGTGTTATGACCATAAACAAATTGCCTACACAAAGAAAGGCTGTGGGTTTTCTGACACTATCCCAGGAGTGTCAGGGAAAGGGTGGGGGGAAGGGGCTGCTCTGTTTTGCTTCCTACAGACAATGGAATCCAACGGGGAATAGGTGGGACTGAGCCTCAGCTGCCCCAGAAGTCATTTTTTTTTCCTCTTTTTTTTTTTTTTTCCCCCCCAAAGACGTGGAGTTGCTTTGTCTTTATCTGAAATCAAAGAGCATATGCTGCTGCGTTATCTCAGCTGGGCTGGCCCTTGCAGCACATTTGTCTCTTGCAGTACGACACAGCGGAGCACGCAAACGAAACCATCTCGGGAGTCCGTGCCTGCGCCCTGCCACCTCCCGGGCAGGCAGCTGCAAGAAGAGGCAGAGCACAGAGAGCTGCCAGGGCTACCGGAGGATGGAAGGACCCTGACACCTGAGCTATAGCCCGTGGGACTTAGTGCTTCAAGGCTACTTTGGGACAAAACCAAAGAAATGAGTAGGACCCAGCTGGGTCACCCCCTGTTGCCACAGTTCTTGAAATATTAAGTACCTCTGAGTGCTCAGATCTCTTTGCAGCCAACTCTGCTGATACTTCTCGGATGCTTACAGCGAGGAAGCACCTGACTGCTTTATGTGAGTGAGGTTCACTCCACCAGCAAGCAAAGGTAGCTCCCAGCACAGGCAGCTGGCCTGCGAGCACAGCCTAACCTTGTCAGCTACAGTTGAAAACTGCTTTTCCTAATTTCCTCATTTAATTTTGCAATTGCCCTGTCAGAAAGATGTAGCACTCTTTAGAGCCACCCCATAACACTTGACACAGCACCAGATGCTCAGGACAGGAGCTCCCAGGGGAGGCCAGCAAATATCAGCAGATCAGCTGGTGGCATCCCAGGGGCTTACCCGGGAACGGCAGTGAGCTGAGCTGTTTGGGGAAAATGCTTGGGGTGCTGGATTCCTTGGGGTCTTCCTGCAAAAGTAGTCCCTGCAGTAAGTAGCTAGCTCTGCCATTCCTCTTCCCAAAGACAATGTATGTAAAAAAAAAAAAAAAGTGTTTTTAATTTTCTGGATTTTCTTTGAAGTGGCTTTTCAAAATTCATCATCAACCAGCTGCCAGGGTAGGGAAGAGGCCACCCCACTGGAGCAGTGGCCCCTCCTGCCCAGCTTACAGACGCAGATGTGCAGGAGCTGTCCTGCTAAAGCATGCAGCCTGTCCTGGGCAGAAATCCTGGGGCCTCCACCCGTGCCCAGGGAAGGGGCAGGTTCTCCTCAGGGGTCACGGATGCACCATCCTGTCCTCCTCCATGTCCCCTCCACATACACTCCCTGCCCTCCTTTCCTTTCACATCCCCAAATCCCAGCTGCTGCAATTCCCACGTCAGACCAACAACAGAACAGCCACAATCTCTTGAGGACAGCCGGGCCGGCTTTCTGGCATGGGGACAAAATCCCACTGGAAGCTGACCATGTAAAACTGTACCCTTGCAAGATTTACAGCTCTCCTATGGATGGATCCAAAGGAATGTTCTTTTGTAGTTTTTTGAAGCAAGCCCTCAGCAAGCTGGAGCACAGTGCCTGGGGTCTTGCACCTCTGAGCATCAAAAGCAGTGAGAAAATGGGCTCTGTGGGGCTGTACAGACCCATGTTGCCTTTTCCAACCACTTTTCCCCCGGTCTGGGGCAGGAAACTAATACACAGGGGAGACCCTAGTTGATTATGTATATATTTATATATAGAGAGAGATTTATTAAAGCTCTGTCCATTTGGCTGTGCTGCACACTATGTAATAAAAGTGGCCCCGAAGCCTTCCGGGGCTGATGTCCCCAGGCTGAGGGCTGGGCAGTGAACAGCGGAGGTTTTGTAACACCTACCTTCGGAGGGGGCAGCTCCGGCAGGCTCTTCTGAGGAGGGGATGAATGCAGTCCCAGGTCTCCATTGGTCAAGGAGGTTCTCCCATCCAGTGCTGCAAGCCAGAAACACAATTATATCGATGACGTGGCATTTCCCAGCAAATGGCTACCCGGGAGGTGCAGGAACAGCGAGGTGCTATTTTGGTAGGAAGCAGAATGATAATTACAGGCAGCACTGCGGGGTGACCATGTCACTTCGGGCTAACTTCAGGACTGTGGCACTAGGAGACCCAGCAAAAGAACCCGCCTCTGCCTTTTGGGCATGTTTTTTTCCTTCTGGAAGGAAAACTGTGAAGCCCAGACCCATTGGGTTGGGCTGGGCTGCACAACAGTTCAAAGCCAGCCAAGAACAGTAATTTAATTGCTATTGAATCTACCAGCTGAGGAAGAGATGCTCTTGAAGCAGCAGAAGCCAAACATGTGAAAGGGCATATGGCAGCAGAACTGCTCCAGGCAGTCAGCCTCTGCCTCTGGAAAGTCAGATTTTCCAAGCAGCTGAATGCAGAGTGATTCAGTAGCTGGGGGACATACGGAAAGCTCAGAACACTTGTGTGCAGTCCCTCTTCCCCACCACAGAACTCCTGGGTGGCCTCAATCAAGTCCCCTGATCCCACGACCTCCAAGACAGAGAAATGCATTAATGCTCAGGAACAAGTGGGAGCCAGGCACCCGCCAGCCAAAAAATTAAGGACGTTGAAGGCATTATTCTGTGCGGTGGGGGAAGTCCCCTTTCACACAGTGTCTCTTAGCAAATACTCCGGGAAGAATGAGGCTAAGATGCCCAGATATTGCAGGTCCCATAGATTAAGCAAGGGAATTAGGTCCAAAATCTGCACTGAGCTGGTGCTCTGGGCCCTGTAGTCACCTGCTAGTGCTGCAGCCACGCTCCTCAGGCATACACAGAAATCACCACGGCTCGTGCAATGCTCAGCAGCAGTTAGCACTGTGCTCAGAAGGCACTGGCATGAACTTTGCTGCATACTTCTGGGTTTCAAAAATAGAAGCTGGAAACCACATTACTTTGTTCCAGTCTAGGGCTCGGAAGCCACAATGATAGCTCTGCCCCAGGCTGCAGCGAGCTCGCGGCCAGATGGATGCAGGAAAGCAAAACACATCTCTCAAGTCGAATTGCTCCCTCTTAGACAGGTCTCCTGGTCATCAGCACCAGCCAGCTATCGTGGACGCTCGTGGACTGATGGACACCAAATGCACCACACAACTAGGACTGAGGGATGCCCTGTGAGGTTCCAGGTGAGAGTAAAGCAGCACAGGATGGGGACCTCAGCCTCGGTCCTCACCCTGCTGGAGACCAGCCCTTTCCTGTGGACACAAGCCCACATGCTCCAGCTGAGGAACACAGCAGGATGCAATGGAGCTTTGATTTTCAGGCTCTGCACAGAAAGAACAACCTCCTCTAACCTTCTTCCTGACAGGACTTCTGGGGGATGTTTTGGGGTTTTCTGTTCTGAGGTTTCAAAGGGTACCTATCGCTGTGCCCAGCTGCCAGCAAGGGGGAACTGTGACTGATATGCTCGGTTCCTGCACTGGAAACAAGTCTTGCTCAGGCTTGTGAACCCCAACAGGCCTCCATGTGACAGCGCCTTGAACAGGGCAGCTCATTCATAATAGAGCACCTGGTGAGTGCTCACAGCCGTGACCATGAACAAAGAGGGTACAGCCCTAGAGCAGGTGGCCACTGAAATTCCTCACGGGGAAATAACGAATCACATCACAGGTTGAGAGCAATTCGATAAGAATTTGAAGTCTAACTACAAGCCAATCCATTTATCTTATACAAATAGCAGCAGAGAAAGCCTAATTTGAGCTCTCCCTGCTGAAGCAGAGGGCTGCATGGCATCCCCTTGGGCAGGGATGTCTCTCAAGTTTACTCCAAGAGATCCTTACTAACTACACTTGTTGATGAGTGGAGCTTCAATTTTTAAAGATACATGATTTTTGTTAAGATTAAGCAACTTAATATGCAGTAGACCACTCACTGTGACTCTTATCATAACGAATTAATGATATCGATCTACTTACCATAATAAACCAAACTGACATCCCTGCCCATGATGGGGGGTAGAACTAGATGATCTTTAAGGTCCTTTCCAACCCAAGCCATGCTATGATTCTATGAAATTGCTGCTATATCATTAAAACCATCTAAGAGTTGGATATATTCTGCGACAGACACCTGCACCTAACGTATGCTCTTGGTATGGAGAGTCCACACATGTGCTGTACCTACCCCTTCCTTCTCCTGCTACAGCCATCAGTGTCACAGACCACAAAACTGTTCCTTTTTTTATTGGGGGGGAGGGGGGGAAGGAGAGGGGGTGTGTTCTAGACAAGCATTAACACTTTGCAGATGTCTTTTGATAAAGGTGCCTCTCTAATACCTGGAATTTGAAGTGCATTTAGAAGGAAAGGAAGAAAAAATAGGCAAAACACCAGCTAAAATTCACATTGGTACTAACTGTTTGTTATTTATCTGTGCTTTCTGCTCTTTGTGAAAGTGAATCACTGGTGATATTTGGGATAAAGATGACAGGGTGCACCACAAAGAGCCCTACACTGTGCATCAGGCCCACCTCCCCAAATCCTGCATCCCTTGCTCTCTCTGGTGACTTTCAGAAGACAGCATTCAGCTTTCGAAAGAATGCCATGGACTTGTAGGGTAGAAACTTGCTGTATTTCTCAAATAAATGAAATCAAGCAAATGATGGTGCCTTCTTCACTCATTGCAGTGAATTCAACTTCTGTGCCATAAAGTGGTATCTCAAAAGTAGAGTACAGTTCAGCTTAAATTCTTACTGACAGAACTGGAAGCAGATACAGTGAGCAGTGAAATATGTCATTTATTTGGTTTTTGTTTTTACAGAAACTGCGTTTTTAAGGACCTTAGAGGCTGGTGTATTATCACGTCAAGAAGCATTTCACCCTGTGCTGCTAGAGCACACCCAAGGTGGTGAATAAAACCTGCAGGGGATGAGAGGTCCCACTGACCTCAGCCACAGAAGTGTGGTCACCACATCCCACCAAAGGACTGTGATGAAGCACAAAGCTGCAGCAGATAAAGAGGATAAAGGGAGCTGCATAATCCCTTGGGGATCTACATCACGCTCCCTAGCACCTGTGGGTACTACAGCCCCTTCCACCTGCTAAGCCTGAACCTGCAGGTCCCCGCACTGACCGAGCACGCACAGACCTCCCCATGCCGTGACAGAGACAGGCTCAGGGCTGTACACCCAGATGCAGCTATGGCTAAGATCCCACACATGTGTCTGACTGACTGCATTTCCAAATAACCCAGAAGTTTTACTTAGAATAAGGAAGTTGCTGAAAACAGAGAAAGCGAGAAACGCCAGGTCCCACAGGGAGGGACTGAGTGGCTAGGCTCACAGCCCTGATCAGGAAAAGTCTGAAATAAAAGAAGCAACTCTAAAAATAAATTGTCTGAAATAAATTGTCCCTGAGTTTCAGCATGGTCAATAAGTGCAAGCCTTGTTTCATCCACCTAAACAAGAACTTATATAAAGAGGTATTTCTGTTGCCACTCAGCTACTGGGAGCTACCAGGAGGCTGTGCAATCCTGTTATGGAGCATTACAGCATTACCCAGAGGACCCTGTCCAGGGATCATGTTGAGGTTGCATGCGTAATCCGGGAGGACATCCTGTCTCCCTGGGTATTTAAAAATAATCTAAATTCAGCTGCAGGTAGTTGTTTTTTTTGTTGTTGTTGTTGTTTTTGTTTATGTTTTTTCAAACCAAACCAAAACCAAAACTAACCAACCAAACCAACTACACAAACAAACAAGAAAAAGAAAAACACACACAAAAAAACACAACTGAAAACAGAGCTGGCCTAACTACTGAAGGATCAGCAAGTCAACAGCAGGCTGCACTGAGGCGTCCTCTTGTTTATTTGGACTGAAAACTTTGGGGCTGGGTTTGCCTCTGACTACAAGTGCTTTAAGAAGATGCGTGTCAGCAGTAATTCGCTCCACACAATTATCAAAAACAGCCTTTGTGATGAACTTCAAAGAGCATGGCTACTTTTAAAGAATTATGTTCTTTGACACGCTACAAATTTGAAACTTGGGAAATCTAAATTAGAAATTAATGAGGTTTGATTTCTTGGCTTGTACCCTGCAGAACTCGAGGAACCCCCAGGAGACAAAGCTGCTCTGCCCATGCAGCTGGTGCAGACCGTGCCTGGGAGTTCACTGCACTAGGTTGTGACAACGTGGACCCTATGGGCTACTGAAAAGCGACACACGAAAGAGAACATGCTTTCAGGGGCTCAAAAAGGTGAAGTGACTTATTTCATGGCCAAAGGAAACACAACAGCTTCCTTAAATATTTCAGGCACTGGAATTGCAAGCCTTAGAAGGCAACATTTTAATCCCAAAATAATGCCCTCCAAAGTGCTACTTCCAGGAATAACTTCAGTGTTGGCAAGGACCACGATTTCCAAAGGAATGTAATGAAAACGGCAGTCCTTCCACACCATCAACTGCTTCAGCTCTCAGAGCTGCCAGAGAGACCACCACTGGTCTCAGGAAAGAAAGGCTCTAGTAGCCACACGAACCCCCACCACCCTGTTAGGTATGAGGCACCCAGCAATCTTAAATTCCCTACCTTTGTCTTGTTTCTCCTGGTCACCCTGCTGTTTGTTGACAGTCACTTTGTTCATGTAAATATATTCTTCATCGCCACCTGCAACCAAAGGGAAAAGAGAAGCCTTTATCCACCCTCTGCTTTCCCATTGCTCATTTTTTCACAAAGACGGATGTAAGAAGTGGCTTTGCTGAGTGCACGTGGGGGACAGCATGTTTGTTGAGGCAATGTGCAGAAAAAAAAAAAAAAAAAGAAAACCAATAATAAAAAGCAGAAAAAATAAATGCTGTATAGCCAGGAAATTCCATAAGTTAAAATTTCTACTTAAACACTAACTCAGCCAAACAGTACATCCTGTGTATCTTACAAAGTGGATTAAATAAACTTAAGGTTTAATAAGGAAAACAGAAAGGATCAGGAATCTTGGGAATCCTTTGCTTGTAAAGCTGGACACATAACCAGAGTAATTTTACATAAACAATTAGAGGTCACTGAAAAAATAATGTTTCATTTTCTCCTTTTAATTTTCTCGTCTCCCTTCCCTGCCAACCTCCAAGAAAACGGTGCTTCAGGACCCCATAGGGGTTCCCACGTGAGCCCACCACCCCATCTTCAGCTTTCCCTGCCCGTACCGCTGGTCTTGGTGTACACCCGCAGCAGGTCAGAGAGGAAGCTCTTCTTCACAAGAGCGGTGCTGCTCAAGTTCTCCTTGTCCAGGATCCTCAGAAAATCTTCCAGTTCATTGAGCAGCTGCTCGAGAGCTACGGCAGAAACAGAGACAACTGTTAGCAAAGCAGTTTGGTGGCATTTCAAAAGAGGACAAACATTGATTGTTTTCCTTTTTTCTGCTCAGGAATAATTCATACTTAATTTTCTAGCTTGAACCCTCCCTCTATTTTTTAAAAGAAAGCTCCAAATTCCATTAGCTTGTTCATAAACCACTAAAATCCCAGGTAAACACCTACACTTCCTTCTATAGGACCTTTTGCTCAAGATGACAAAAGCCTAGAGGGATTTTGAGCAATAGGGCTGGGACTATACAAAAGCAGCTAGCAAGATCTTGCCACTTGAATCCCCAAACATAATTGAAACATCACTACAATTAGTCTATCAAAGACCTTGCTCCATAACAATTTGAAAACATCCACATGCTACGTGCCAAATATTCATCTCCCCTCAAAAAAATACAGAAAAAAAAAGGAAAATAAAAGGACATTGAAAATCCATGATTCAGTAACTACTCAAGCCATCTTGCTTGGGTGCTGACCAGTGCTGTGTGTACCATGTGGAACTGAAGATAAACCCAAGGCTGAGCAGCATCCCAGCCAGCCTTCAGGAAAACCTGCCGCACCGATGCCATCCCTTCACACCCACAGCAATAGGTCTGTTTTCCTTCTGAGGAGCTGCTGCTCAGCTCTGCCACTGACAGGGCTCACGCTGAAGCAACAGGCGTTTAATTGCTTGCTTTTGTTTGCTCTGAAATTTATCATGGGCTAATTAGCAGCGGTGGCAGGAGCCTGCTCCGCAGAGGAAATAACAGGGTGTTATGTGGAGAGAGGAAGCGCAGCACAAGAATGACAGCGTGTGGGAAAAGTAGGGAAAAACCAACTTCGGCTCTTCCTCTGGCTGGGAGGCTCCCTGCTCACTTCCCTCCATCGCTCCCTGACGCCAGCGACCTGCAGGGAAGGTGATGGAAGGCTGAAAAGCTTGGGTTTAGCACTGCCAGGCTGCGGATCCTTCGCACGCCATCAAGGAACGTGGGGCTGTGACGTGTGGGTTATTTAACTGGGGCAACGTGCCCTTCCCTTTACTTGCAGCAGTTTCCTGCTTCATGTTCCCACGTGAATCACAGTGCACAGCAGTGAACTAGAAAAGTGTTAATGTTTCAGTTCTGCAGGGCAAAGCACGCATATTGACCCTAAGTGCTACCACCTCCAGTCTCATCACCAATATTTGTGCAGGAAAGAGCCGTCACCTTCTTACTGCCCTGTCTTTACCCAGCTGCTGACCCTTCCTGAGGTGAATACTTGTTAGAAGAGGGAAAAATAAAGCATAAATTACTCTACACTGTGAAGCTTTGTGTTGCTAGCCATTAATTCAAAATCACACTACTGCTCTCAAACTGTATTAACCTTCACTAGCCTGACTCTAAAACAGTCTCACAAGTCCAGACCAATTGATAATAGCTCTGGATGAAACTGCTAAATTCTAGCACTTCACACTTCATTTTATACCCTCTATATCCAATTAATTCTCTTCCGGTCTTATTTAGGACCAGTATGAAATAAAAAATGCCTGTACCATGATGCATTAACTTGAATGCTTTTGTTGGCTGCTTGTTTGCCCAGATATAACCCACTGCTAACTAGAAAAAGTAAAAATGATTTCAAGAAACAATAGCATTTTTCATAAGCTACAATGAAACAGGTAGCATTTGGTGACAATATTAGATGTCATTGATAAGTGTCACTCAGCAATGAACTGTGAGCATTTTGTGTCAAACACGCTTATAACCTGCTTCTCTCAGACGTCAAGGAACCTGCTTCTCCTAAGTTTAAGGAAACTCCACTGGGGCAAATCCCAGTCTTATATACCCCCTCATCCATTACAATGGTGCCTTCCAAAAACCTGAACTGAGGTTGGTTCTGGCTGAAGTCAGGACTAAACGTATGTTCCTATTCATTTGTCCTAGGAACAGGACATTTGTGTGTACCAAAAGAAACAGCTCAAAAAAACACTTAATCTTAATTTGAATCTTCAGAAGTGGGTCAGCTCCCCCAGCTGCCTGCGCAGCAGTCACGATACTGCATTTGCAGGGAAGGGGGGATAATTCCCTCCTCCACCCCCATGACTGCAGAAAATGCCTTTATTCTTCTCCCAGGCATCCACAGCTAGCATACACACAGGACCCGGCTCTTGTGAATAACACAGCCCATACAGTAGGTTACATTTTCCAGCCCACCAAAGCTGAATTCAGGCTTCCAGTGACTCAAAGCAACTCATTTAGGATGTGATCCTGGGGCCACCGAGGTCAGTGGAAAGACTCTGTCAGACTTCAAGGGATTCAGCCTTTAGGGACTCAAGAGAGATTCATTTTGCTCTTCTTCAGCAAGAAGCAGCATATAAACCATCTGCTTCTATAAAAGTGTCTCTTTCATCTCAGCTGGACATTCCCTATCCAAACCTGATACCTGCAAAAATAAACTACCATTGAAATGAATGTGACCATTCATTCTCTCATATCAGAAGAACAAGCTAAAACTCATCAGAGTGATGAATGTGAGAAAGAAGAAGGATGAATAAGAAGAGGCTCCATAAGATCCTTTCTGCAAGCAAGAATCACAGCAGGTCACAGCAGGTCAATAGGACTAAAAACAGTTGAGAGCCCATGTATGTCAAACCATCTCAGGATCTGGAATGCTGGAAACCACTGCTTGACCTCAGCTAAAGACCTGTCGTGCTGTGGTGATGAAGTATTGAACATACTCATGGCAGAACCAGGTTGGTGGTTATCCAAAGCAGCCTGAAACAAATGGCTCTCCCTCTGAGCTGCATTGTTTTGCTCTCCTTATTTTAGCAGTTTAGAACTCAGAGCATATAAAGCCAGACTCTGCGTGGCAGTAGCTACAGATGCAAGGAACACAATTGCAAAATCAAAAGCTGTGTGCAGCAGAATGAGATGTCAGAAGTAGACAGAAGCTGGAGTCACAAGGCAGTGCAATTCTCAAAGATGACTTTGAGAAACCTCCTTGCACATCTGCATTGCTCTTCTCAACTCTCATAGCACTTCACTGTAACCCCCAAGTACAATGTGACCCTTCTAGTAACCCTTCTACCTGTCTACCTCTATCAGAAGGACTACCTCAAATAAATATTTCCATGTCAAAAATTCTGCCTTATTTATGAAAAACAGATTACCTCTAAGGCTAAGAACAGAGAAAGCAATGCCCAGAATTAAAAGATTTAGCCACGGTCACTGTGGAAACCCCTACTGAAGCCAGTCCTCCCAAGCCCCAGGACAGGATACTCCATCTCCTTACAAATTTTGGCCAAAAATATGGAGTACATTAGATAGCACAACACAGTTCATATCATGCTCTTCTTCATGGCCACAGGCATCAGTCATTGAATACTACCATGAGGATTTCTCAGTACGAGATGAAGAGAGCAGTCAATGCATGGAATTTGACTGATTTCAGTGATGACTGTCACCAAAAGTACAATACTTTAAAATACACACAAATCTCACATCTTTGCTGGTATAGGAAGACTTGCAGAGCAGGGGCTACAACCAGAACCATCACCACCCTACATGATCTTAAATGGAGGGTGAGGGATGTTCTCTCTTTTTTTACTCAAAGACAATGAAACCCTTTTTACAGAAACTCCTGGGCAGCCCTCTGACCACAGAAGATGCTCTCTGTATGAAGGTTGGAAATTCGGTTGCAGCAATAAGCAAAGAATTACTTGAAACACAACTGATCTGTTTCGACGTCAATTCAGTGGCAGTCAGAGAGCACTGAAAAGGGCTTCTTTTGGCTCTCTTCTATGGCCTTTCTTTGCAGACAAAGTCCCTTGCATTGCAGCAGTATCTGTCCTAGTTCATGTGAAGCTAGAGCCAAAAATGCAGCAGCTTGCAAAGCTTCCATTGAGGAAGCACATTCCTCGCAATGGAGCTGCCAATTTTGCCTGACACCAAGGTCACTGAAAGGTAAATGACCATAAAACTAGATTATAAAAGCCATTCCTTCCAATAACCACTGATCTTTGTCATTTTGCTACAATAACAACCTATGTCTACATCTAATTACTTCATGTCTTGGCCTTATGAGGAAATGGAAAGACAGACTCAGAATGAACTTTCATTCAAGTGTTTTAGTAACCACTGGGCAGGATTATATTAGACCTTTTAATCTAAATTCAATTATTTATTTTATCAAGGTAGAGGGGCCCCAGCCAATAGACAAAGGACTGTAAGAAGAGACATACTGAATGATAAACTCTTTCCTCTCCCGAGATGAGAGGATAATAAGGAGTACCCTTTACCACCAGGAAACTTGGGCATGCAGCAATGAGAGTGATTTGGCCACGGATATGGGCTTCTTCTCCAGCAGGTCCCCAATACAACCCTGGCTTCCCTGTGTCCCAGCCCACCCTTCCCTGAACCTTGGCATGTTAAGGAGATTCCCAGCTCCACACCCCATTTCAGGCTCCCCACATGCTATGAGTGTCTGTGGGCACACAACATGCACCCTGAAGATGGAGGGGGTACCCCACAACACGGCAGCCCACAGAGAGCAATAATTTTCGCTTTTTTTTTTTTTTGCTCTGGTTCCTCATCCCCCATCAATAGGGCAGCTGAGGAGTGCGTGGAGGGGCCTGGCAGGCACAGAGGCAGCATTCAGAGGGCTGAACAGCGAGCGCTGTCAGCCGAGCCACAGCACTGTCCCCAACCTCCTCAGGCCTCGCTCAGGCTGACGTCGCCCCCGATGACAGCCAGCAGGCCTCTCTCATGGCCCTGAGGAAAGGCAGATGTGGTGACAGTGACAGCTGTAGAGGCTGGATGACCCCTGCTTGGGGCTGCCTTCCAAAACAGCAGAGCAGACCCTTCCTCAGGCCAGCCAGCCCTCCCCACGTGGCTGGCCTCAGTGTCTTGAAGAGGGGCAGCAAAGACAAGGCCACCATGACGCCTTGGCCCTCCTGTAGTGGTTACCCCTCTGCTGTGGCACACTCAGAGGACGTGTGACAGGAGCTGGTGTGG